GTATGGGCAAATAGTTTTTATACCCGTATTACTTTATATTAACTTTTGAATATCTTCTTCGCGCCGTTAAATAAAGTTTATTAAAGGTTTAAACTGTGTAATGATGTAAATTTTATGAAAATAAGATATTTTAAACATCCGTCACTTTTGATTTAAAATTTGCTACCATAAATAGCGAAGTAGCCCGTTTAATGTATACAGAGAAACTACAGAGAAGGCATTGTTTTGCGAACCCCCTGACATCTATTTGTTTCAATAACAAATAGTATTCGTTATTTTCTTATTTTGTCGTCGATATTTTTATAATCTCCAAAGACAGGGAAATAAAATGATATTTTTGCCTAAAAATTAACTTTTGTAATTCTCCCGTCTTTTTATGGTTGAAAATTGAAAATTCTTTAATTTGTCATGGAATAGAGAATTTTACACGCTTGGTTACGAAGTCATCGGCAAACACTTATACTTTTATGAATCGGTATGATTATATCCTTTAAGACTTTGATAAACAATATAATTGTGAATGTATACATGTTTACTCTACATTAAAGTATAGCAATACTTGCAATACACAAGGTATATGTTTTTTTTTTTTTTGTGTTTTCCACTTTTCAATCATGAGAGAGGATGAAGTATACAATGGAATCATTATGTTGAAAAGTGAACTTCCAACAATTAACAATCTTAATATATTTTTCATTATTATGACAAAAATAAATTTGCTAAAAGCTTCAAAGAAAATCTTTGACAAAATACACACGTATTATTATTAGGTTAGACTGGTGTTATTGTAGCGGATGCATGTGGAAATTAAAATCCTTCGGATTTATGACATAAAAGAAGAATCTTCATCGTTATTCCATATATCGTGACCATATAAAACATCAATTGGATTAGGTTCTTTGGTTGCACCAGCTATATTTTTAACACAACAAATGACATGATTTTTTTTAATTATTAAAATTTCAATACTAGTAATTATTATTCCATAATTTTTCCATAACCATAAGCTAACTAACAATAATATCTTCCCTGAAAAACACATAAACTTCCCAATACTATGATAAAGTTTAAAATATGTTTTTAACAAAAATATTTACGAATTAACTTTTTCAACTACATGTACTGCATAAACCTACACACCCCGGGATACCAACATTGATTTGTGTGATTCAAGTAGCTAATTAAGACTGTTCTCCACAGGGAGTGATGCGTGTAATCTGACCGTATATATATTATTAATTTCTCACACTTTTCTTATCATTTCAAGTTGAAATCTTTCAGAGTTTTATCTTTGACGAGTTTTTGATTTGGCTAAGTTAGCTACATGTATTTGGAAAATACCCCGTGTTTACTTAATACTTTGTCATAGTTCACGGAGATCCGTTACATATATTCCTTTAGAAATAAACATAATTATAAAATGATTAATTAAAACGAATATCAAAATAAATCAAAAATAAATAAAAAATACTCGAAACTGTAACATATTTTGAAAAGTTTTAATTAAAATAAATCGCATAATGGATTGTTACTTGACTACACAACGACCGAAATCATAAAGTCTCGCAACATGCAGGGAGGTTTACATCTACTGTGTCAAATAAAAGATACACACACGTATTCCTCATTATCAATTTAAAGTCTAAGTAGACTTATAAGTCCATCTTTTTTTAAGAGGCCATAGTAAAAACAAATGTCTTGCTTTAGGAACGGACAAATCATATTTTAAAAAAACTCTTTAATTCGACAAAAATGTTGAAACTGTGAAACTGACATGATGTTTGATTTTTTTTTATTGACCAAATGTTTTTTTTATTATTATGTTAGGTTGACGTTTTATTTTCAACTGAGACCATATGCAATCCCATTAGAAATAATTATGGTTCTCTTTTCACCGACATGTCCCTTTTTTTAACCAAGCTAATGTTTAAAGCTATTGCTTTAAAGTACATTGGAAAATTCCATTATTGTATGACAAATATTCTACAAATCATGATTTTGCATGGACAAGACTTTTGTGCCAGTGTGTGGCTAGTTAATTTATCATATCCAGTATAAAAATTATCCCAAGCAATGGAGTATAACATATATGGACTTCTTCCATCTGGCAGTAAATGGGTATTCTTTATAGCTTGCTGTTCGGTGTAAACCAAGGCTCCATGTTGAAGGCCGTACTATGACCTATAATTTTTTATTTTACAAATTTTAACTTGGTTATAGAGTTGTCTCATTGGCACTCATACCACATCTTCTTATTTATATTCGCTTCATTGTGCTGAATGTATAAACACGCAGCCACGTCCGATGTCACATCTCTTTTACGTTAGCATATATATATATATATATACCCTTGCAACAACTCTTTCAGGGGTTTGATGGCAAAAAATTCATTTTCGAGTTGCATTCGAAATTTCTGTTCTTCATCGTATTCTTCCTAGTCGTTCCTCTTATCATGCTTATTGAATTATTGCTGATTTGTTCTCGTTCCGAATATGCATGAACTATTTGTCACTCGACGCCAAGCAAAACCGTCAATCATATCCGCGCATGATATAAAATTAATCGTTTACACCTTAAGATGCCGAAAACTTTGCAGTAGAATGTAAAAAATTTCTCATTTGTATTTCAAGGCGCATTCACACTAAAATTGTTCATTCTTTTTTATATCTCAACCCTTCATGGGAAGCTTGTATTAATTCAATGGACAACCGACTGAATAAATCAATAGCATCACTAAACGCTTAACATGATCTTTCAAAGAATGTGCGATGGGTGCGCTGAAGGTTAGAAAAAGAGTTGAATTGAAACGGTATTGAATAAAGACTACGAGCTAGTGGTTGTCATAGAATGTGGACATACTGAGTGTTTTAAGTCAAGAAAATAGTTATAGGACACGGTGGTACTATCTGGATGCACAAACGGGAAAAGTTACCCGAGATGTTGAGATATTGAAATAAAAGCGAAAAAAGGTTAAGTTCCGCTTAACTTCTATAAAGGAATTTAGCCTAACTAAAAAAAATGAGTGTTTAAACAATCTCTGCAATTGTTTAGTCATGACACAGTCTTTCGGATCAACTTGTACTTATTATATCTGCTAAAATGTAAAATGAAATTAGAAAAAAAACTTTTCCAAATGAAAAACTTTGGGATTCATGTCTAACATTGACAATATCACTTCTTTAATGATTTTGATGCGTTCAAAGCGCTTTTCTGTATTTACCTTTATTTTGATATCCAAAGTTATAACACACCATACAATTAATTGGTTAAATGTGTCTTCTTAAAACTAAGGAATATAAGTATGAGAATGATGGCCATAAAATCAGTAGGACATCATCGTTTTCGAAGCAATAACATAAAGGTGTTAATTCTGTTTATTTATGTTTATCTTACTACCTTTACATATAAAAGATCATAAATTTGAAATAGATATTTAACCAAATTTGATTACATAATACTTTTTATTTATTATTAGTGGCTAAAGTTATGTATACCACATGTATTGAAGAAGTGAAATCAATTTTGTTTTAAATCGTTCTCTATTTTAAACTTCGATGCATTTCGCCATCTTGAATTTCAAAGATGAAAAAAAGAAGCAAACATTTCACTAAGTTCGTTAATAGTTAAATTGAGTTAATATGAGTTTATAATTTTTCTCTGTACCGATGTAATGCATTGTCTGTATGAGAATCAAAATATATATAGTCATTCAACCAGACATGGCAAAATTCAGTATTTTAGGTGGGCAGATTTCTTTTTTTTTCTTTTCTCTGTTTTTTTTTCTTTTGTCTTATAAAATCAAATACTTCTATTTTTCTTAACAGAATTTGCATGTTTAGAAAAATGTTCAAAGATTAAGAAAGAAATTTTTTCAATAGATACGCATATATAAAAATGTATAATAAAAACTAATTAAAATTATTATATTAAAACCCTAATAATTCTAATTTGATTCTAAACTCGGTTTCCTATTAAGTTACAAATTATTATACTATTGGATTAAAGCGTGGATATCGATCATCAAACATTCAAAACCTGTTGTGATCCGATATTTAATTATTTATGTACAAGTTGGCGTGCAAAAATTAACATGTTCCTCGGAAATACTGATAAACTCGTTTCCCTTTATAAGAACATTGAGTTACCTCCCTTTTTTTAGTACGAGTTGTCTTTCTTGACCGAACTAATAGTTCAGTATGAGGAGCACAATAGCCTATCAATATGTTTAGCTTATTTTGTTCCTAAACTAATGCTCTTCTGACTTAAAGTATCAATTTTAAATTCTAGATTTTTTTAATTTCACCTAAGTACATCCTTAAGTGAACACAAAAATAAAAGAAAATATGAATAAAAAGAGATGTGAAGGTAAACATATATGAAACAGCAAGCAAACATCACAAGTAACAATATATAACATGAAAATATGGCAAAACTTTCGCATCTCGGTTTCGGCAGAGATATTAAGAGTATACCCCGCCGTACATGTGTATTTCATCGGTCCTATATCAACCTTTATTTGCCGGGCTTTTGGTCAGGTTTATTATAGAAACGAATACTCTAGTTCAAAGAAAATATCACTTATAAATGTCATTGTCCGAAGCGCTTTTTTTTGGATTTACCTTCATTCGGCATGATAAAATTCGAACATTAAAAGGCAAGGGATGTATAAATACGTAGAAACAATAGGACGTACGTATTAACTAACATGATGATATACGTCCTTGGTTGAAGGTAATAGAATTAGTCAATCCTGCTGGATACCTCGATAAAGTATTAATTAATTACATGAAATGTATCGTTTTACACATTCAATTTAATTTAGACTTTTCAATCATCGTAAAGTATGTAATTTCACTTTGTAAAATAATGTTTTGCGCGATTGTTAAAGAATTTATATTGATGATAATTAATTTAAATGTCACTGCATGCAATACGAATGCCCAACCCACAACTATAAAGGACAAGACACAACCTACTGGTCAGCTTACCGTCATAGAATCATGAAGGGGTTTATCCTTGGAATTGTCATTGTCCTGTTTGTCCAAGGTTAGATACATACTATTACTTTTTGTTTATTATACTATATATGTTGACTGTTTATTCATTGTGTTACAAGTATGTTTTGCTTATTTTTTAGTATCTCTTATCTTATTTCATGCCATGGCTGTGAAGATCTATATGCATATTAAACTGTTGTTTGATTGATTGATTGATTGATTGATTGTTGGTTGCTTAACGTCCGATGGCAAATATTTCATGCATGTTCTTGACGAGAAAAAAATTACAAGAAATACAAAAAGTATGTGCTGTAAAAGATGCCGTCCAGGATGAGGGTCGGGGAAATTTTGACTTCCACTCGAAAATGACGGTATATTTGATAGGAACAGAAATAAAATTTTGTTTTTGATATAACATTTTATTTAGATAATTTCAACATACTGTGTGACAAAAAACTCAGGAAAAATCTTCAGAAAATCTCATTCCCATTGTTTTTGATTGGAAATAAATCTTAAAAAAAGGAATTTTTCAAAATCAGTCTAAAAAGAAATAAGAAAAAAAGAATAATAATGTAAATGATGTAATGTTTCCTTTTGTTAACAGGTATTCTGCACTAAAGTGGTGATTGCTTTGCAAATCTAACCTCTAATCAGAATCTAAATGTAACTCCGGATAAATTGTCATCTTTCAATTTTTGAGCCACTTATCTGTCGTAAACTGGTTTTTATTTTTTAATTTTGCGACTTAAGGTGGTACCTAACACCTTGACTAAAATAAATTTGGCTCGTTGAATTTTCATAAAAATTTTACAAAATACTTACTTTGACCCTTTGACAAAAATATAAAAATTTCAAAAACTTTGAACCACACATTTTCTCGGAAATATTTCATTGGATATATAGCAGTTTGACAAACACTAATTTTTATCATTGAAAAGCTTAATATTTTCTTTACAATACAACGTGATTAAAACGTTTAGCTGATTTTTACAGAGTTATCTCCCTGTAGTGTTAGGTACCACCTTAATTGTATCATTCAGCGTGGTGTTGATATAATGCAAATAGAAAATTGAAAATAGTTTTTATGTTTAATGTTCTCACGTGAAAATAATGGTCGTGTGAGATATATCTTAATCCCGCTTAAAAATGTTCAAAATTGCGACATGGTCAGCTATTTTAGATAAGAAGTTAGATTACATATTCATTCCTTATTGGAGTCTATGAAAAAGTAACAGCAATTGGATATTCAGTACACACACGTGATAAAGTCACACGAACAGAACTTGACTTGAAACTCAGACACACAAAACTATTTCAAAGTACATGGATTATATCAGATTCCTAGAAAGTTGAGAGTGTACTGCTTTGTATAGTAAAGCTATTTTTTTAAATTTTAATAATGATGAGAAACACGACGGGTGCCACATGTGAAACAGGATCTGCTTACCCTTTTCAGAGCACCTGAGATCACCCCCAGTTTTTGGTGAGATTCGTTTTGCTCAGTCTTTGGTTTTCTATGTTGTGTTTTGTGTACTGTTGTTTGTCTGTTTGTCTTTTTTCTTTTTTAGCCATGCCTTTTTCAGTTTATTTTCGACTTATGAGTTTGAATGTCCGTTTGGTATCCTTCGCCTCTCTTTTTAATGAATGTATTCATATTTATCCTGTATTCTGTCCTCGTACAATGATAATGGGTAGAGATTAGATATATTGGTCCGATGCGTGTTCAAGGGTCAATAGAGCTGGTCGTGACCCAATACGACTATACGAGGACATTACAAAGGCACCAATATATGCCACATGACTTTCAATTTCCATCAGCAGCTAAATAAACTCATCATAGATACGAGGATTGAAATTTTGTACGCCAGACGCGCGTTGCGTCTGCAAAAGACTTATCAGTGACGCTCGAATAAAAAAAGTCAAAAATGCCAAATAAAGTACGAAGTTGAAGACCCAAAATTCCTAAAAGTTTTGTCAAATACAGCTAAGGTTGGGTTAGAAAATCATTAGAATTTAGAAAAATTCCAAGTTTTGTAAATAGTTAATTTATGATTATAACTGTGACACACCTCGGGTTTTTACCGGTTAATAATTTCAAAAACCATTTACTAGAAGCATACATTTTCCTGTGCTTTCTGTATAATAAAACACTTATTTATTGGCTATTCGGACAATAGTAAGTTTAGTGTCCTCATAGCCACTAAATAAGTGTATACAAAACCAAAATAGTACCCAAGATACGAGTCTTGATGAAAGTTATAAGACTTTGGTTAAGCAAGAAAAAGTAGAAAACCCGAGGTGTGTCACAGCTATAATCATAAATTAACTATTTACAAAACTTAGAGACGAATGATTAACTTTTTTCACGAAAAGTTCTTTTCCAGACAATTTCGTGAAAAAAGTTAATCATTCATCTATAATTTTATAAAGAAATCATACACTGAGGTATGATAATGTGTTTTACAAAAGTAATGTGGAACAAAATATTCTTTTGTTATTTAAAAACTATGATCAAAGAATAACTTAGCATGATCAAACATGGCATATGAAAAACGACAACTAAATTGTTGAACATCTAACATTTCACTTAACACATGCACACTTCCATTTTTCTCACCAGAAGTTTAATTCTGGTATTAGAACTACTAAAATTCTGTTTTAGACCTGTATGAATGACCAGCTCTTCGACACATGGAATTGTACTAAATGGACAGTTTATGAATTATTTTAAGTGATTGGTTAATAAATAGCAGTTTAAATATTCCATTGAAAATTCTCTTTCTGACTAATTTAAAGATTTCCGTAAATAAACTAAAGCTACAATATAAAAATAAGATGTGAAATGATTGCCAATGAAATGACGATGTAAAACAATTTAAAACAGAAAAATAACGGATTGACTTATGTACAAAAAAAAAAAGACAAAAAAAAGCCAAATATGATATACATAATTGTTCTTTTCATCGTAAGTTTCTATTGTTCACATATGATTGACACATGTCGTACTGAGTAGCGTGAAACTTTGTATGGAAGATAATCTGTCTATTTATCAATAATAAACAAAAAAAATCTCCAGTTCAAAGAAAATACACTGCTGATCTCTGTGATTTTACTTTCAATGGTGTTTTAATACGGCTTGTATAAAAATCAGAAGATGTGGTATGATTGACGATAAGTCAACTATCCACCAGCCTTCAACAATAAGCAAAACCTATACTGTATAGTAAGCTTTTTAGTGGTTGAAGTCGATAATAGGTTAGATTTGGTAAAGCTATAAACATTGTTAAAATGAAAGTTTTTACATGGGTATGTTATATCTTATAAATTGGAATTTCCAGATATATACTTGCTTCAGTAACGTTTTCATAGATGAAATATTTGGTAATAGTTATTGTCAATTTGATTATTATAAAAGAGGAAAATTATTGAAAGAACGGACATGGAACTACTAATTAAGAATACGATGTTTCCAATCAAATGGGATTTGAAAATTTATCGAAAAATTGGAATTTCCAGAAGCTATATGCTTGCATTAGTAACGTTTTCTTAGATGAAATATTTGGTAATATGTATTGTCAATTTGATTACTATGAAAGAGGAAAATTATTGAAAGAACGGACATGGAACTACTAATTTAGAATACGATGTTTCCAATCAAATGGAATTTGAAAATTTATTGAAAAATCAGAATGGTGAAAATCATGTCTAAATATTTAATTTATTTTCATTCAGAAGTGAACTCTTCAAACAAAAAGCCTTACCTATTGTTATTTTAAAAATAATACTATTGACAGGAGTCTATGGGATCGACTATTTAACTTTGAAGGCGTTTTAGGAATATGCTTTTTTTTCATCTGAAATTGTTTTTCGTACTACGCAAGCATCAAATATTGTTTTTTGGCAATAAAAACCATAACCCCCTCCTTCTCCCTTTTAGAGTTAAATGGTTGTTCCCTTACTACTGACCTGAGTCTTACAATGTGTCGACTATGGTAAATGCAAACTGTGTGATAATCGAATATAAATATAATATAAAAATTAATTATTTTTCAAAGTAAAACATATGGCACATCATTTGTTAGAATAGAAAATATGTTGGAAAGCTTTACATTACAAATATCTGTAACATATCAGTCGAAATTCAAATGCCCCCGCTCCCAAATAAAACAAATTCGTAGACATAATTTGTAATGTGAAAAGTAAGGTACATGGCAGTTTTGATAAATTACAATTTTAGATATAGTGAAAATGACGTCCTGAAAATTTTTATTTGAAAATATTGATTCAAAATTTCGATGAAATAATAATTTTCCTCCAGTAGTACTAGTAACATGCTATGAGTTATTAATTTATCTGTAGACACTTGAAACTTCAAACATATGTAAAATATTTTGCATGCTGATTATGAATACAATCAATGTCATATGAATTGTTCACTATTTCTTTTAAGGTATTACTTCTTCAGGCAAGGAGAGTAGTAAAGCACCAAACAAAACATCCAGCGGACATATCAAGTTCAGAGCCACAGGATATGAAGATGCAATCAAAAATCATAAACTTATAGCATCCAGCAAGAGTGGTTCCAAAAAAGACCGGTACAAGCCCACAGGATATGATGATTATAAAGTCCAAACTAAAAAATACCAGCCCATAGTTGTGAGAATTACCGGATCTAAAGATTCTAACAAAATTGGGTATGGTAGCTACGAGACGAATACGTATAGCACTAACCAGAAAGGATATGATAGCGACAATTATGGGTATGATGGCTCTAGCAGTAAAGGATATGATACCTACATACCCGGATATGACGGTTCTAGCAATATCAAATATGGAAGCATCAACCAGGGATACGATTTTTCCAGTAAGATAGGATATGATACATACCCTTCACAACATGTAAGTTCTAGCAAGATTGCATATGTAAGCAACAATCAGGGATATGATGATTCCAGTCAGAAGGGATATGACACCTTAAGTAAAGGGTATGTCAGTTCAAGTAAGATAGCACATGGAAGCAACAATCAGCGATATGATGATTCCAGTCAGAAAGGATATGGTACGTACCCTGCGAGCTATGATAATTCTAGAAAACACAAGAAATATGATGTTTCTAGTAAGAAAGGGTATGATACCTACCCTACACAATATGACAGTTCTAGCAAGATAACATATGGAACCACCAATCAAGGATATGTTGTTTCCAGTCAGAAGGGATATGATAGTCCTAGCCAGATCGCATATGGAAACAACAATCAAGGATATGATGTTTCCAGTCAGAAGGGATATGATAGTTCTAGCAAGATAGCATATGTGAGCAACAATCAGGGATATGAGGATTCCAGTAAGAAAGGATATGGTACCTACCCTGCTAGTTATGATAATTCTATAAGCAACCAGAAATATGATACTTCCAGTAAGAAAGGATATGACACCTACCTTACACAACATGACAGTTCTAACAAGATAGCATATGTGAGCAACAATCAAGGATATGATGATTTCAGTAAGAAAGGATATGGTACCTACCCTGCGAGAAATGATAATTCTAAAAACAACCAGAAATATGATGTTTCCAGTAAGAAAGGATTTGGTACCTACCCAGCGAGCTCGAGCTATGATAATTCTAAAAACAACCAGAAATATGAAGTTTCCAGTAAGAAAGGATTTGGTACCTACCCAGCGAGAAATGATAATTCTAAAAACAACCAGATATATGATGTTTCCAGTAAGAAAGGATTTGGTACCTACCCAGCGAGCTCTGATAATTCTAAAATTAACCAGAAATATGATGTTTCAAGTAAGAAAGGATTTGGTACCTACCCAGCGAGCTCGAGCTATGATAATTCTAAAAACAACCAGAAATATGATGTTTCCAGTAGGAAAGGATTTGGTACCTACCCAGCGAGAAATGATAATTCTAAAAACAACCAGAAATATGATGTTTCCAGTAAGAAAGGATTCGGTACCTACCCAGCGAGCTCTGATAATTCTAAAATCAACCAGAAATATGATGTTTCAAGTAAGAAAGGATTTGGTACCTACCCAGCGAGCTCGAGCTATGATAATTCTAAAAACAACCAGAAATATGATGTTTCCAGTAAGAAAGGATTTGGTACCTACCCAGCGAGAAATGATAATTCTAAAAACAACCAGAAATATGATGTTTCCAGTAAGAAAGGATTTGGTACCTACCCAGCGAGCTCTGATAATTCTAAAAACAACCAGAAATATGATGTTTCCAGCAAGAAAGGATATGACGCCTACACTATACAATATGACAGTTCTAGGAAGATAGCATATGTGAGCAATAATAAGGGATATGATGTTCCCAGACAGAAAGGATATGATAGTTCTAGCAAGATCGCATATGGGAGCAACAATCAAAGATATGAGGATCCCAGTAAGAAAGGATATGGTACCTACCCTGCGAGGTATGATACTTCTAGAAACAACCAGAAATATGTTTCCAGTAAGAAAGAATATGACACCTACCCTACACAATATGACAGTCAGAAGGGATATGACACCTCAGTTAAGGAATATGACGGTTCTAGAAAAATAGCATATATGAGCAACAATCAGGGATATGATGATTCCAGTCAGAAGGGATATGACACCTTAAGTAAAGGATATGACAGTTCTAGCAAAAGTGCATTTGAAAGCAACAATCAAGGATATGTTGATCCCAGTCAAGAAGGATATGACACCTTAAGTAAAGGATATGTCAGTTCTAGCAAGAACGCATATGGAAGCAACAACCAGGGATACGATGCGTCTAGTAAGAACGTGTTTGATACCTTAAGTCAAGGGTATGACGATTCTAGCAAGAACCAGAGGTACGATGGCCTCGGTTTAGGATATGACGGTTCTAGCAAGAACACATATGAAAGCAATAGTAAGGGATACGATGTTTCAAGTAAGGAGTATGATAAATACAACAAAGGATATGACGCATCTAGCAAGAATGCATATGGAAGCAACAAACAGGTATACGATGACTTCAATTTCGGATATGACGGTTCTAGCCAAAACGCATATGGAAGCAACAAACAGAAATATGATGCATCAAGTAAGAAAGGGTATGATACATCAAGTAAAGGATATGACATTTCTAGCAAGAACAAACCCACGGGATACGAAGTTTCCAGTAAGAAAGGATATGATCCCGTCAGTCAAGATCGATATAGCAGCCCTAACAATGATGAATACAACAGTTACAATCAGAAACTATATAAAAGCAAACCTAAGGGATATGATGACTCTGCCAATAAAGGATACGATAGTTATGTCCTAGGATATGAAAGTTCCAGTCAACAAGTATATGATAGCTCAAACCCAAAATATAAAGGCTCCAGCAAGAAAGATTATGAAAGCCATAGGCAGGGAGATGATGGTTCCAACAATAAGGGATATATAAGCTTCAGTCAATCATTTGATAGCTCCAATAAAAAGATATATGACGGCTATAGCACTATCAAAGACAGTTACAAAGGGAAAAATAATGCAAATTACGATCAAAACAATTATGACACGTATGGAAAAAACGATAATTTGGATTTTGGACTGAATAGTTATGCTATTTATGACATGCGCAGTATTGACAATCTGGCTCAAAGCAGTTATGATAAATACACCAAAAACAGTTATGAAAAAGACATGGACGATGGAAATAGCCGGTTTCAAGCTACCGGATACGATAACTATCTGAACAAGGGGTATAATAGCTATGGAATCGTTGTAAACAATAAGTATGAGAAAGAAAGCTCCGGGAGATCAAATATTCGTGATGGCGAATATGATATAAAATACAATGGACGCCGTGATAACGGATATGAAAAAGATAAACAGAGCTCGGGTGGATCTGGAAGGAAACGAGTACCAAATAGAAAGAACTATTAGGACTTTGTGCAAGTTGATAAATGGCGAATGTATGTATATATGTATAAATAAACTATACAAACAGATTTTTTTAAAGTATGCACGAGTATAACATTTCTTAAGAGTGAGCTAATAAAAACATACAACTTACATGAAAATACGTACATTGATTAGTATATATTGGCATGATGCCATCCAGGTGCGGATCCAAGATTTTGATGGGGCTGGCAAACCAACGTTTGGAGTGATACTTGTAAAAAGCCTATGCATTTATCATATATATGAAGCTCCAAAGGGGGCTTGGACCCTCTGGCATCCATACCTTATACCGAGTTTCTATAGAATATGTAACTGATGACGTGAAACGTACATGGTCATGTGTATGTTAATCATATTGTAACAAGATGAGAGGATTGTACGTTATTCCTTAAGTTTTGAAATACGGAGTAAAAAATTTGTTTAACTTCAGATTATTTTTCCGTAAATTTCTTTTATGGAAAATCTGTTCAAAGGCTCCTTGTTAAAACTGTCTGTCAACAGTCTTGACTTATTACTTTACATGCAATATTAAAAAGTGGTGGGACACACCAGGTTGTGTCACACGCCAAACCTCAGATCACCCCGCCTCTTTGGTGGCCTGGGTAGGTGTTGCTCGGTCTCTATTATTTTATGTAGTGTTTTGTGGACTGTTTTTTATGTCCCCGCACCTAAAATTTTGGGGGGCATGTTGTTTTACCACTGTCCGTCCGTCCCATTATGGGTATATAGTTATTCCACATAACTCCTCCTACAGTTTGAATGCTAGGAAGTTTTCACTCTGTTGGCTGTTTGTACATATATTGAAGGTGTGCATGTGGTCAGGGTTTTGATTTTTATTAATATTTGCTCTTTTGGGAGATAGTTGAACTTTATCATTTTTGTTTTTTGAAATAAAACTTTGCATCTGCGGGGGCATCATTTGTGTCTCCCAGACACAATAATATCTCAAAGAAGGTAGTCCTACATTGACTTTGTTATAATACACTTACTTCAGAGTGGGCATCACTTTGTCTTGTTATTTTTTATCTTATGCCATGGTTTTGTTGGTTTTTCTATGATTTTCGATTGTCCCTTGGTGTTTTTTGTTTCTTTTATTCAACTCATTTATGCATCATGGACATGTTGGAGTTACGTGCCTAGCCAATTTTGACTTGATCTTATCTCTTATACTATTTATACATCCTGTATAGCATTTCTTTAGAATAAAAGTTCACTCCACACAGATTCCTTAGAAACAGCAAACATCCCAGAGGAAAAATTAAAATCTGCAGTTACATCTGAGACTAATTCAGTAATCCCTTACATGGACATCAACAGAGAGGGCATCTATAAATTAATAAACAACATAAATTAGACGTAAGGCCCAGATAACCAAACTGCCATAGTATTAAAAGAAAATCTAAACACTTGCACACATATAAATGTACTAACTATAACTTTACCAAAATATATACAAACAAGATAAGTACCTTCTGGAGATTGAAAACTTGCAAAATTTACACCTGTCATTTAAAAAGGGAACAAACGTGACCCTGGGAAATAACGGACAATCTCACTAAGGGAGCTACCATTTGATTTTTATTGGGGGGGGGGCTAGGATGAAATTTGAAAAAAATAGGCAGGACAGGAGTTTTGAGTAAAAAAAAGGCAGGATGAGATTATTTGCAAAAAAAAGGCAGGATGACAATTTAGTTAAATAAAAAAGTCAGGATAAACTAAAACAATAAAGGCAGGACCGAATAGAGTGAAAAATAAAAAGGCAGGACCGAATAGAGGGGAAAATAAAAAGGCAGGACAAAATTTTTCATCCTAGCCCCCCATAAAAATTAAATGGTAGCTCCCTACCATGTATTCTTTACAAATTACTAGAGCACATGCTTGCTTGCAGGCAGCATAATGAAAAACCTTGCGTTAAATAACATACATTACGACCTAATCGGATTAAGAGAAAACTAGATCATTTCACGTGTACACCAACAAGCCATCAAATAAGGACAAAACCTATACAAACAGACAGGAATTTTGCGTAAAAGCTTTTTAATAAGCTCCGCACAAATCTCAGAGTTTATATGGTACCGGTATATCAGAACAATTTACGAAGTGGATAGAATTTTCTACTTAACCGAACACAAACGCTTGTACTAGAAAACCATAACATTGACAAAATAGCAGTAACATCCGCATGGCACTGTATTAGGCTCCAAACTATTCTTAATTTATGTTAACGACTTACCGGACTACATACATCTCAGCTAAATCAGACCCTTTTCTGACGACATGATCATTTACCGATAGATAAGATCAAAAGCAGATTTCTTAATACCACATGAAGTCCTGGAAGGTGCTATGAATTAAGGCGACAGTAGTTAATCGATGTTCTATTTTCGTAAGACAAATCAAGTTAACAAACAAAAATCAGGGGTTCGCATGAACTCCAACAGGAGCGAAACCGGGTGCGTCGTTGGGATAAGCGTCTCCAGCTATGCATTCCCCTCCCGCCATGGCTAGAAATTTACACACAGTCAAAATGTCACAATCGGGAACAGGACGTACACAATCGGTAAAATTATAGATCAGGCAACTATCACTATACTGGTATCTAAAGATCTAAGACAGCGAAAGCACGTCGCTAGTGAATTAAGACACCGAAACATCGAATCGGTTAACCAATTCGTGATGTTGACTGAGAAACTTGTGAAGTGTCGATTTCAGTCGTTCTTTCTCATAACACCGCTGGTGCAATTTTTGTGTTGATGAAGTCTATGTAGTGTGAACATGCAAAATCGTGATGTATTGACTGAGATATGTATATGCAAAAGAGCAGAAATAGGGACACAACTGGTTGATACATTTCTATCCTGGTAAATGATCATAAATGTATATCATATTATGAGTTACTACAAAGAAAACACCTATAATATGCATGGTTACATTGTTGAATCTGTTTCAAAATGGAAAATATATTAGAGTTATTAAATCATCAAACATAAAGTCGAACAAACACAAAAAGCAAGCAAGGCTATAACATTTGTAAGAAGAATTTGAAAAATAAAGTCAGTAAGAATTATTACTGAGTATACCAATATAAAAATAAGAAGATTTGGTATGATTGCCAATGAGAAAACTCTCCAAAAGAAACAAACTGACATAGAAATTAAAAACTATAGGTCATCGTACGGCCCTCAACAATGAGCAAAACCCATACCACATAGTCAGCTATAAAAGGCTCCGAAATGACATATGTAAAACAATTCAAACGAGAAAAATAACTGCCTGATTTATGTACAAAATAATGAATGAAAAACAAATATGATATACAACAACAAACGACAACCACTGACTGATAACAGGCTCCTGACTTGGGACAGGCACCTACAGAATGTGGCAGGGTTAGACTAGTTTGAAGGCGTCAACCCTCCCCTAACCTGGGATGTGGTGTAACAGTGCAACATAAGAACAAACTATAAAAGTCAGTTGAAAAGGGTGTTACACCACTGTCCCAGGTTAGGGGAGGGTTGGCGCCTTCAAGCGAGTTTAACACCGCCACATTCTATATGTGCCTGTCCCAATTTTAGTTAGATAGGAAAACTTTTGTTTGATAGGATTACGTGGAAGTGTAGTGTAAAGAGTTGAAAAGTCAAAACTATCAAAAGAATCAAAAGGACCATCAAAAGCACGTAATTTATCTAAAACATCCAAAGATTTTTTTACACTCCAAAAATAGTTAATTCCACTATTTTCATATTTTTATGACAAAAGTTCTTTGATAGTAGTTAAGGAACTGTTAAAAGTACTGAAAGATCAGTTGTAGAACACTTACTTGAGGCCGAGATGAAACGATATTTTACTGGTTTTTTGTGTAGTTTAGGTAACCAATACATAGAAGGGACCTTCTAAAGTTCAGAAGAGGCCTTAAGCAAACATATATCATACCAAAACTTGAATACTGTTGCACGTGTGGGACCCTTATACAACCGAAAACATCAACTCCATAGAGAAGTTTACAAGACGTGCAGTGAGATATGTATTTCCCAAATACATCATTCCACATTTTTAACATGTTAACATCCTCGTCCTTTGGTCTCTGTTGGATATAGTTACTCTCATTGGCAATCATAACACAGCTCCCTGATAGTGTTATATTAACACATAAAAAAGTATCAAAAGTGCCATTCAAGAGGGTCTGGGTGGCATTTACAGAATAGAGAATAATGGACAATACCATCGCAGGATAAAGGACAAAAAGAAAAGAAAATAGAGACAAAAGTTTAACAAAATAAAGAATAGAGAAAAATGGGATGCAAAAATAAAAAAAATACAGTAAAAATAATAAAGAATAGAGAAGAATGATATAAAGAAATTAAAGAGTAAAGAAATAAGGGATCCCCATCCAGACCCTCTTTCAATATAACGATATTTTCATTAACACCAGGTCTACTCATGAACAAAAAAACAGGCAAATCCGAAGCATCTAAGAGAGACATTTTTTTTTCTTCCAAACTATAATAGATTGGAACAAACTTCCTGAACCAATAGCAGGAACCGCTGCTGACTATTTCGAGGAGAAATTCGCCCAAGAAATTCTTCTCCATGCTTACTCATACCTACATGTATTACGAATACCTTTTTATCTTATACAAATTGATGAAAAATGTCATGAATTACACAACTTTTTATACAAAATTGTAAAAATCTAAAATCTAATATAAAAAAAACTTGTAGCCAATTAACAATGTTTGACCATGCAAGCATGCGCCGACAAATTATCAACTTGTTGAAATTTTTCCGTATACACGGAAGAAGAAGATGAAACGGGAAATTATTGTAGAAATATGTGTAGAGAAAACAGTTGATTTTCATATATTTTTCCGAGTTCCTGCATAAAAGCCATAGTTTTCATAAATAAGTAAGATTTAATCTAAATATAAAAATACAGATGTGCATATCAGTTTGATTGCCAATGAGATAATCATAAAACGAAGAATGAGGATGTAAAAATGAAAAAAAAAAAAAAAAAAATAGCAGAAAACTCGTACAGTATGGTCATCTATAAAAGGGTTTAAGGCCCATACATGGGACAGCTATATGCCTGATTTAAGCAAATAACATTAAACGAAAAACATTTGTTGACAGAGGTCAATGCCTTTATTATTACCCTTTGTTGAATTCCCAATGTTACTTTCATTTCAAAATGTATCATCTTTAATACATTATCCTTAAATTTTATTTACATTTTCTCCCGAACCTCTCTAGTATAGCTTTATATTGATACGGAGTATTTGCGTATTCCTGTAGCAAGTATAGTGTATTAATACGGAGTATTTACGTATTCCTGTAGCAAGTATAGTGTATTGATACGGAGTATTTACGTATTCCTGTAGCAAGTATAGTGTATTGATACGGAGTATTTACGTATTCCTGTAGCAAGTATAGTGTATTGATACGGAGTATTTGCGTATTCCTTTAGCAAGTATAGTGTATTGATACGAAGTATTTGCGTATTCCTTTAGCAAGTATAGTGTATTGATACGGAGTATTTGCGTATTCCTGTAGCAAGTATAGTGTATTGATACGGAGTATTTACGTATTCCTGTAGCAAGTATAGTGTATTGATACGGAGTATTTACGTATTCCTGAAGCAAGTATAGTGTATTGATACGCAGTATTTGCGTTTTCCTGTAGCAAGTATAGTGTATTGATACGGAGTATTTGCGTATTCCTGTAGCAAGTATAGTGTATTGATACGGAGTATTTTCGTATTCCTGTAGCAAGTATAGTGTATTGATACGGAGTATTTTCGTATTCCTGTAGCAAGTATAGTGTATTGATACGGAGTATTTGCGTATTCCTGTAGCAAGTATAGTGTATTGATACGGAGTATTTGCGTATTCCTGTAGCAAGTATAGTGTATTGATACGGAGTATTTTCGTATTCCTGTAGCAAGTATAGCATGTTTTAAAAAAGAGGCAGAAGATAAGGAGGGAACAATCAAAAATCATTTTTCAACGAAAAACAGACAATACCAAGGAAAAATCCGCACGAATCTTCAAAACACAACATAGAAAACTTATGATTGAGCAATTCGAACCCCACAAAAAAATGCGATCATGAATAAGACCTTAATACTTAATAACTTAATTTGCATAGCAACATTACTAAGAATTAATTTTTAACGAAATGCCCCTGTAACAAATGAGCTTTATGTTGAGAAGAAAATATTATCTATATAATAACATACCAGAATTTTCCAAATAAAATAAGGGAGATGTGACATGATTGACATGCAACGAGACAACTATCTATAAGAGTCCAAAAAGAAACTCGTCATAGATACGAGGCTACATTTTAGACGCGTTTTGTCTACAAAAGACTCATTAGTGACGCTCGAATAAAAAAAAAAGTATAAAAGGCCAAATAAAGTACGAAGTAGAAGAGTATTGAGGACATAAAATGTCGAAATGTTTTGCCAATTACGGACATGGTAATCTGTTCTTGGGGTAGAAAATACTTAGTTTTTCGAAAAGATCAAAGTTTTGTAAAAAGTTAATCTATGATTATGACCATATCAATTAATGATATGCGAAACAACTATGAGTAACTAGTCTATTTATTATTGCGCTCGCATCGTAGAATTTGCCAATTTTGGAACATTGAAGATTCATATAGATGCTAATTGTGCATTCAATTTTGTCCTACTAGTATTACGTTCGAGGATTTTGGAACTGTTGTTGAAAACTACTGAGGGAATTGCATGAACTACAAAAGTAGCAATACCGGGTGCGAGAACTTGGAAATTGACAATGCATGGGGAGACTGAAAGACACGAAACTTGACAGACCTTTTAGTTTCAGTGGTATCTTAAATGTCAACTTCAATGAGGTTACTGGAATATATAAGACCAGACAAAATGTAATGGTATGAAATTATCTAGTGGAAAGACATCACCTACAAAGTTAATGTTTATGAATAATGAAAACCTCTGATTAGGTACAGGCTCTATATGAAATGTTGGTTATTAAGTAATATGACAATATATCTTAACGTGAAAGTAATAGTACTTGGCAAGATCTGTTTTTATTTTTGAAAAGGTTTTGTAGGTATTCTGCTTCATGTGAATACAAAACAAGTCGGTAATTCATATCAATGTGCAAACATTGTTAAGCGAGACAAGAGATACACATAGCATCTTTATAAACACTGATAAAATAAGCAACAAAGCATTTAAAAACTAAGGAGTGTGGCACCTGCATATCTATAAAGGAATGCAAGCCATGACAGGATGTTCTCAACTTAACTACTTCCATATTGTTTCCCCATAAAATAATACGAATATTTTTTTTAACTAAAAGCTAGGTTTTTCTGCGTCATAGTCCGAGTCTAAGAATCTTTACATAATTGTTAAGTAATTCCTCATAACAACTTGAATTGCTGGTCATCAAATTTAAATCTAGGTGCTCTTATTAGGATATTTTCAATTTTCTACAGGACAATAGTTAAAATTACAGAACTAATCTTTCCGCTAATCTTACTTAAAAATAGTCAGTTTTTTTGCCTTCTTTTACGGAACATTTAACTGCCGAGGCTTTTTAATGTTTGAGATATGACAATTTAACATGGTTTAGCTGACTGTCCATTATTATGATATATAAGTCGCACCAAGGTTTGAATAAAATATCACATTTTGCATGTTGCCGTACAGGCAGAATTCACACAGAAGCTTATCAAGATAAATAAAAGAAGTTGGCATTATCCTTTCATTTCATTATGTAGATGTATAGATCTATGGTCCGCAAAAATCAAAAAATATAATAAGGACCATCATAAGAGACGGTGCCGCAGCTAACTCCCGTCAGTATATTACGTCCTAGATGAACGGAGCACCCGGAGTACTGATACTTTGTTAAACAAAACGACCCGGAAGTTATGTTGCTGTCGTGACTTTCCCAACTCGTTCAAAGTGCAATATTGCTGTGTGATTTTACATTATTCACGTGCTTTAGATAGATGACAACACAATTTACTATCAAGACAGATAAACAGAAGTGAATTTTTTTAATTTTCTTCGTCTAATCTATTAGGTTTAACGAGTGTGACAAGTGTAACTCCCATCTCGGCATCTGTCAATCTCTTTAACACGGATGTTAATATACAAACAACATTTCCAAGAATAACACGTTTTGAGAAGAAGGTAAAACATAACTGATTTTGATTATGATAAAGATTTTGATCAATTTACAGTTTCAGTATCCAAATATTGTATGCTATGTCTATAATATTTCAACCGACTTGCTCCACAATCAGCAGGATGAAAAATCATCTGTTTCTGTACCTGTATGTTTACCTTGTGGATACCAATACTGGCTTTAAGACAACAGTGGGGAGTCGGCACCATCAATAAATTGATGATAAATTAAGAGCAGTTTCGAAGCTTTCAATGCTTGGTGTGCACACTACAGTGTTTTCAAGGCCAAGGGCAAGGGGGTAACAAGACACTTCAGCACCAAGTTATTTCGGCACATGATATTGTTCCAAATAGTTTCTGACATTGCGACATTGCGGCATCAGGAAATTTTAGGACCAAGACAAATCAGCACTTCGTTTTTTATCTCTCTATATTTTCCTCACAGGCACTTGTCTCTGATTAAAAAAAATCCCAATTTACCTTTATTATTGTGCCTTAAATTAATTCATGTGATTTAATAAAAATAAAAACTAAAAATAATTTAACAATAGGCTGTAAAACAAGAATTTTGATAAGTGATATTAAAATCTTTACATATAAAGTATTTAATTCAATACAAAATATGACAGTGTTTGCATAAACATATATCCAATCAATTAAATCATTATTTTATGTGACTTTTATATAATATAAAGAGTTTTGATCATTAATTCCCAATTAAGATAAAAAGTAAACAGCTTGTATTTGCAGCTTGGGTTATCATTTGATCCCCACAATTCTCACAACAAAGTTATTATAAATACCTACAAACTATATTTTATTGTTAATATTTTTTTTTAATATTTATAATAATGTAATAAATGTTTAAAAACGACAGTCTGGGAATAATATATTGTAATGAATGTGGTTTGGGTAGTCTCCCTTCAATTGTTTCAGATTAGTATTTTCTTAATTAAATGTTTATTTTAGGTTTAATTTTATTTAAACATACTAGAATACAAAGTAGCTTTATTAATTTAACTATAAAAAGTATTCAAATTTCATATTACTTTATAAATTGGATGATTTTAATCATTTATTCAACATTTCTTCAATACCATATTTTAAAATATATCTTTGGAAGTTATAAGTTTTTCATTAAAACTTGATCAGGAGTTGCTCCGGTGGGGAGAAGTTCACTCTCCACATATATGTATGACCCGGCAGTGTAGTACTGCCACCCTTCTCTAATATACAGATTGCAGGAATGAATCATTCCACTCGAGTTATTTTGCAGCAACTACATTCAATTTGGCATTATTTTGTTACGATTTACTAAATTCTAAAACACAACGCAAAGTATATAAATACAGATACATTTACTTTTTTTAACTAAGTTATTGAAATACTTTACATTTCCATTTCGTTTGCTTTTTTTAACTAAGTTATTGAAATACTATTTAATTTATATTCATTTGACTTGAAATACTTTACATTTCCATTTCATTTGCAAACTATTACTATTTCATTACCACATGATTACATTTCATTTTTTAACTTAACTTTTGAAATACTATTCTTTTTCATTTCAGTTGACTATGTTTTATTTGAATGTTGTACATTTGTAAATAAATTGTTGAGTTCTATTTGATTTATGTCTCTGTTCATCCAAAATCTGATATCAGGTATACCAAGGATCGAATAGGGAAGAAGTACTAGCCACTACACGTCCTGGGAGGTGTCCAACCGATCCCCTCCTGTTACAATATACTGTCAAAATTAATATATTATGTCCCAGACTAACCAAAATAAAAATAAAACCTACATTTGTAAATCAGTATCAGGCCACTGTGGCCATAGAATTAGTTAATAATAAGGTCTGAAAGCTTAACAGTGGAATATAAAGGTGGTTATAGGGGAGGGTTGAGATCTCAAAAAACATGTTTAACCCCGCCGCATTTTTGCGCCTGTCCCAAGTGTGGAGCCTCTGGCCTTTGTTAGTCTTGTATCATTTTTAATTTTAGTTTCTTGTGTATAATTTGGAGTTTAGTATGACGTCCATTATCACTGAACTAGTATACATATTTGTTTAGGGGCCAGCTGAAGGACGCCTCCGGGTGCGGGAGTTTCTCGCTGCATTGAAGACCCATTGGTGGCCTTCGGCTGTTGTCTGCTCTATGGTCGGGTTGTTGTCTCTTTGACACATTCCCCATTTCCATTATCAATTTTATTCCACGGATCACTGTTTTCACAAAGAATGAGTTATATGTGGTGTTTTGCTAGATGGAATTTCAAAACACTTTGTGTTGTTCTTTACTTGTTTTTCCTCAATATTTATTGTCTGGTAGTTGTCAAATTTCTTGGCAGTAATTGTTCATTTTTAACATGATTGTTACAAACATTTGTCTGGTTCTATAGCAGGAACCAGCCCCTCAACCACTTTGTATAGAAATATAAGCTTCTGGCTTAAGCGTCTTATTTATATAGATCTTGAAGTTCCAGTTTGGGGCGCGTATTTGAGACGCAATCATATCTTATTTGGATTTGTAGTCTCCCGATATAAATCTCGCTGCTTGTCGTTGTATCCTTTCAAGCTTGTTGATGTTTGTAGATGTGTAGGTGTTCCATACTATTGCTCCACATGCTCCAGACTCCATTGTTGACCTGACAAGCAAAATGATTTTATGCTGAACTTGTCTCTTGCATTCTTGTGGGCAATATCTCAAATTCCTTCTTTTTAAGTCACTTATGAACAGTAAAATTTGTTTTCTATACATATATTCACTGGACATCAGACTTCCTCTTCTCCCATCATCATTATGGCGACCAAAGAGTCTGGAACAGTTTCGTTGTTGAAATCAGAAAACAAGTATTTATCATATATAAATGATATAGATATTTATTAAAAGGTGTTGTCTTTTCCTTATAAATCCTGTGAATTTAGAATATGTATGTTATATGTTTAACCCTCTTGCTGACGGAGGAACACATGTGTCCACACTCGCTGTGCTGGAGGGACATATATGTCCATATGTTTAATAATGCAAACTTCTAATTATTGCTGTATCTCATTCAAATAAGATATTGAAGATTTAACTTGTAATATTTTTCTTGAACATGTTCAATGGTTCCCCAACATAACGTCATTAAGGGCGCGACTTCATATACTGTAAACAGGGAATTAATTTTCGTGGCTGTTTGATTTTCGCTATTTTTGCGGTAAGAGTTGAAACGCAAAATTCAAAACAGCCACCAATATTTCAAGGAAAGCCGATTCATAAGATGAAGACCATACATAAACATATATGAATAGAATATGAACAGGACCACTGCAGAACATCGGTTAACACACCACAGATCTATATACGAAAAATCATAACTTTAAATGTATTTCTAAATGAAAGGCAATGTAAGAAATCACAATTTAACTCATGTTAGCCTAATTAACATAGAACAAATCTCAAGCAAGAGGATATTATGGATATTGTTATATAAACAATTGTTTCAAATATGTAAACAGCTGTCAATCAGTTTTACAAGGATTACCTCATTACAGCTGCTACACAGACTAATCAAATCAAAAGACAAGTCTTCACGCTTAACCACAAGCCCACCAGCACAGGCTTGTAAAATTGCTTTCTGACTTGTAAAAATCTTCTCTACAGGCGAACAGAATCCAACTAAAATTTTTCGTAAAATTGAACTTCGGGCCTGACTGTATTCAAAAGTTTATTGTGAAGACTTAAAAGAACGATTAATTAATTAGCAGTAATCCTGACATTTAATTGATTCTTAATTTGAGTCTAATATATGTCATAATTCTTCTCTGTTTATTGTGTAATTTGTGTTTTTAAAAGCAAACATGACTTATAACTTTAAACTACTTTTACATTAATGAACCGACACAAAGGATTTCTGATTGATTTTATCACTTGATTTAGGACACATGTAAAATTGTTTACTTTCAAAATCATTTATTATAAATACTTATGTAGGACACTGGTATTATCGCGAATTCAAAACTGCTCGAATTTAGATTTGGTTGGAGAAAAAAAGATTGTGCGAAAATTTCCAGGTTTACAGTATGGAATGACATCATTGTTGGGCATGTTTATGATTTAAGTTACAAACGTTCAGCTGTCGTATTTTGTGGCACACGCAATGCAACCATTTAAAATTAGCAGCAGCAAGAGGGTTAAAGACGTTTAACTGGTAAAAAAACTGTATTTTCCAACCAGACTGTTACGTAGTCTATATAACGTTACGATCAAAGTCCTGTCAGTGAATTTAATATGAGCAAGTAAAATATAAATTAAACTTCAAAACACTACAATAATACATATATTAGAACACATATATCTGTACGTGAACTATACTGGTTTTAAACAACAAAACTTTACCATATTCCAGGGCTAGGGTCGCCATTTCCAGAGATCTGGAAGTCTGATGTTCAGTGAACATATGTATCAAAAACCACTCTTTATTAATTGACAGTAAATTTGTCATTTTCTAGATCGGATCAAACAAACAGAATTTTTACAGATAAAGTAAAATTATTTGTCTAATTTACATATCAGCATGCAGTCAGTTGTTTTTACACAACGCTTCCTTTATTGAATGTGAAATGCCAAAATATAAGTACAATGTATCCACAACCATAGGGTGTAGGACCATCACAGGGGTGGATCCAGCCATTTTCAAAAGGGGGGGGGGGGGGGGGGGGGGTTCCAACCCAGGATAAAGGGGGGTTCCAAATGTCCCCATTCAAAAGCATTGATTGTAAAAAAAAAAGGAACCCCCCCCCCCCCCCCTTGGATCCACCACTGCTTTACTGTATAACTCACAGTATAGCAATACCAGTACATATTTAGTTATGTTTTAATTTATTCATTACTAAATCAATGTTTATACCAATATAGACTTATCAAGGGTCTGGAATTAAAGATCTAACTAGTGCATCTTTAAATTGGTAACCTTTTAGACAAGTTTATACAAAGGTTAGTAAGTTTATATGGATCATATCTAAATTTACAAGCTCTATAAACAACATCACTACAAAAATTATGATGTGACAGGGACGTGGTTGTAATCCCTTTACAGGTTCGGATTCCTGAGATTTGTTTCTGATTTTGGTGCCCACCAAATCCGTTATCAACCCTCTTAAGTCTATTAAAAAGATGACTACACCTGGGTTGGCAGCAAGATGAGAAAAAGTGCTCTTGATTTCAAATTCCTGAAGGGATTGTGTCCATGATGTTTGTAAAAATGATGTCAAGAGAGTTGGATATGTTTAACAAATGATGTATAACGTGTTACCATGACACCTGAAATGACCAGAACAATTGTGATTTTGGAAGGAAAATCATACTCTTCTGTTTCAAAACCAACAGACCTTATGTCATATTTTAACAAACAATGGTGGTGCCAAAAAGAAGGTTGTAGTAGTCAAAATATTTTATTAATGTCGAGATTTAGATTTTGACTATTACAGTCAGGGTGGCATGACCCCAAATATGCCTCTAGAAGACATCCACTGCTACGGGTCTGCATATTTTATATTTCATAATAAATAAGGGGAATGCAAATGAACTTAACTGCTTTATTAAGTTCAAGGAAGATTAAAAAGGTTTATGTTCAGATAATCAATTGATTTTATGCATGTAAACATGTACATTTTATTACCTTATCATAATTAGTTTATATACTTATCAACAAAGTACAAACTTTACAAACTTTGCTTTAATAAATACCGACTAATATACACTTAATTATTGATTTATTAATATATACTATGAACATATTTTATAATATTTTTGCATTAAAACAAAGATATATAACTCTAACAATATGTAGTAATTATTTTGGATACACATATTCATGTGAAGATCAAAGACTAATTTAAGGTTTGTTAATGATCATGTCCCATTAGTCAGGAAATTTGTGAATGTTTTTTTGGTGTCAATAATTATCTTAAGGTAGATGGGGTGTCTAAATTATAATCCATAGAATTTTTTAATAATTTGCCAAAATGTAGTTTATATCAAGCTTTTTAAAAAAAAATAATAAAAAGAATGGGTCACGGGGCTTATTTTCACGCTACAGGTTGTACAAAATTGACAGATTTTGTATAGATTATGCATGGAAAACCCAATTTTCTGCCTTAAAACAAAAACTACACCATAGAATTTTGAGATAAAATATGAGAAGATAGCTCTATTTTTATGCTTTCAGATAAGAAAAAGAAAAAATGGGGTCACGGGACCCGTTTTCTTGCTACATAATAAAATAGGTAAATTCCTAACACATTCTATTGTAAAAGTAACTTTATCTGAATTATCTGCCCTTAATTTGAGTTGCCTCCCCTTATGTGGCAAAGTTGGGAAAAATTGAATCAAACAAAAGTATTCTGTTTTTTGTAAAATACAACCATAAATATGATAAAACATGTCATTTTCTATATTGAAATGAAAATTCTTACACATGAATTGACTATTATTCTCAAAATTTGCACATTTTCTTAAAGATCTAGACCGATTGTTTTCTGGTATTTCAAAATCCAAGATGGAGGAAGACACCCTATCTACCTTAACAGAGTTCTTGAAATATTTTTTCCCTGGTCCTTGAGGAAAATATAGTGGCTCTCACTATTATTTCTATTGCAAAATACTAAAATTGTGTCGGTCCTTTGCAAATTTTGGTGGTCAAATCCCTAGGACCAACACTTTTCGAGAACTGTCTTAATATTTTTTGTAATTTGGAGAATGTTGATGACATATATCTTTGATAGTGTCTGCTCAATAAGTTCTCAACTTTTTTAGACTTAGAGGAATTAAGTCCAGGTATAAATCTTCTATTGGCATGTAGTAGAAATTCTTACAGGCAAGGAGATAGAATTTTACAATATGAAAAAAAAAAGTGTGGTATGAATGTCAATGAGACAGCTCTCCTCCAGAGACCAAATGATGTAGATGTTAGAAACTAAAGGCCACCATACAGTCTTCAACAATGAGCAAAACCCATACCACATACTGACAGCCTGATTTATCATATTTATGTACAAAACAATAAAGGAAAAACAAATATATAATATACAGCAACAAACAACAACCACTAAATACAGGCTTGGGACAGGAACATACAGAATATGACAGGTTTTAAACATGTTTGCAGGCAACCAACCCTCCCCTTAACCTAGGAGAGTGGTTAGTAACAGCACAACATAAGAACAGACTAAAAATCAGTTGAAAAGGGCATAAATCAGCATGATCAGTGGAAACAATCACAAAAACAACCAACAAAAACACTAAAAACACAAACAGAATAGAGAATGGAAAACAAAGTACCGATCTGAGAGTACTTGCAGTTAATGAAAGCTAGTTCAAAGCCAATAACAACTTAAAAAAATCATGTATCTAAGACATAAATATCAATCAGTACATGTACATCAAATAGATTTAGTGTAAAGAAGTCATAAACAGTCAGAGAAAAACCTGAAGCCTGAGTTGGTGAGCCTGTGATCAGACCAAGCATGAAGACTGCAATGCACATTAAACAGCAAATTGATTACAAGAAGATTTGTTTATTAATTTTGATATATCTATATTTTTTAGCTTTCATAGATAAAAATGAGTGGTTTCATTGGAAAACTGGTACGAAAGAAGTATATAGACATATCAACAGTGACAGATACCAAGTTAAACAGAGTTCTAAATACATTTGATTTAACAGCTTTAGGTTAGTATCAATGTCCTGAAATCTAGGAGGCATGAATTTAAACAGTAGTTTTTCAATAGGTGCCACTATGACTTAGCAGTGAATGCTTAATTCTCTTGAGGACCTGATTTTATCTATTGTCTTTAATTATAGGATTTGTTTTGCTGAATCTTTAGTTGTTTGTGTTTTTTGTTTCAATATTACATGGACTGCAACACTGTTAGTGTTTGTTTTTTCTTTTGGTCATATAAGTGACTGTGTTCAGCAGCTTATTTTATTTATTGTCCCCTTTTCTTTTGTATACTGCAAACCAACTTATTTTTGTGTATTCTTTATTTATCATTAAGTTCTTTTAAGCCAACTTTGCAGTGATTTATTTCGTGATCTTATCATTTTCATGATATATGTCTCAGGGAAGATCCATGTTTCAAATATTAGTGGCGATTTAAATTTGGGTCATTTTTATACGGCAGCCAAATTTATTTTAGATCTTTGACCACATTTAATTTGTGTCAGAAACCTATATTATGTCAAAAATTTGATCACAATCCAAATTCAGACAGTATCAAGCTTGAATATTGTGTCCAAATTTGCCCCAACTGTTCAGGGTTTGACCTCTACGGTTGTATCAGGCTGCGTTCAGCGAAGCACTTTATTCCACTTGCAAAAGTCGTGAAAATGAATTATTTACAAAAGTCCAGGCCTATACCTTTATATGGTTTTCAAGTAATTGTTAGGCCTATCAGGAAAATTTCAGGCCATCAGGATTCAAGTTTACCTTATTTTCTAACAGAAATAAGAATTGTATTGTCAAAAATGTGATTATTCTCTTTGCTGATTGATAGCATGTAGATTCAGGTGAAACTTTTAGGAGGGTAACACTCAGATGAAAATATAATCAAATGACGATTAATGTCTTGACTACAATTATTTCAACATAAATTTTCAACACAAAATCAAATTTACTAGACCTAGATTTAAGAAAGGAGAAACCAAACTATGTGATAATATGTATTAGGAAAATAAATCTATTTAATTTTTTTTTACATAACATAGGTATTGGCAGTACCTTGGGTGCTGGTATATATGTTGTTGCTGGACAGGTTGCCAAGGAGAAAGCAGGACCTGCTGTTGTGTTGTCATTTTTCATAGCTGCCGTGGCATCAGTTTTGGCAGGTGAGTGGAAGTTCATATATCTAGGAAAGGTTTGTTCTCTTATATAACGTCAAGTGAATAAAACAGTTTGAATAACATAATTTAATTTTGATCTGACACTGTAAGAAGATTAATATTGAATGGGAAGATTTAAAAGAAAAATAAATAAAATAACTACTTTGATTTCCATGACACATGACGGTTTTTCTGAAGAAAAAAAAACAACATTAATTTAGACTTACCAAAAGTTGATAATTTCCGCATGATGTTTTGTCAGCCAAATGGAAAAAAATTAATTTGGATTAACAGATTTTCTATTTAATTCAATTTGATGCGACTTTTAATGGAAGCTTTGGTAACCAAGTGTACAAAAATCTTTAATCAGTCGCTTTCAAGGATATTTTTAATTGATGCTGATTTCCCTTTAACTTGGAAAGTCAAACCTGTATCTAAAGGTCACCCTTGGGACCAGAGAAAAATTGACCTTATAAGAGAGGCGACCTTTGAATTGAGGTTCAAAACCTACGGATGCAGGATTTCCTTGCTGTGTTGAAAACCTATTGGTGGCTTTGAGCTTATTTATGCTCTTTGGTCGGGTTGTTGTCTCTTTGACACATTCCCAATTTCCATTCTCAATATTATTGATATTACTTCAATGGGGATAAAAACATGGTGACCAGACAAGACAGGATATTGCTTAACCTAGAAGTGACTTTTATAGCCTCTCCTGCTTTGCATGTTTCACCCACCATGGAGGCCTCTCATGGGGGTGTCCAAGTAATCACATAATCCCAAATTGTTTGCCAATATAATCACATAATCATTAATTATTTTTTTAAACAAGATAATCAAATAATCAAAAATACAGTCCTAAATTATCAAATAATCAAATAATCATGAAATATTTGGTCTGGTAATCAAATAATCACTATAAAAACGGCCAAGTAATCACATAATCAAAAACCCCATGAGGAGGCTCCCCATGCGAATCCACGTTCAGTCAAAACTTCACAATTAGGAATAAGAGACAATTAAAACCATGATATTGAGAACCCTACTCAAATTGGAAAACTGCACCTTATTTTTTTCTTTTTCAGGTCTTTGTTATGCAGAATTTGGTGCACGTGTACCTAAAACAGGATCTGCCTATGTGTATAGTTATGTTACAGTTGGAGAGTTCATAGCTTTTATTATTGGATGGAATCTTATACTGGAATATGTCATAGGTATGTATATAGCTTAATTGATTATTTTTATGCCCTGCTAAAGATAGTAGGGAAGCATGATATTTTCTGGTCTGTGCAAAAAGTAAAATCACAAAAATACTGAACTCCGAGGAAAATTCAAAACTGAAATTCCCTAATCAAATGGCAAAATCAAGAGCTCAAACACATCAAAAGAATGGATAACAACTGTCATATTCCTGACTTGGTACAGGGATGTGTGTCAGTGGAATTGTGATCACATCAACTTAAAAACTTAATACACATAATTATTTTGGTTTGAACTTTTAAGAAAATAGGCTTTTGACCTAGATTTCATGGTCAAACGATCAGGTGAAAGTTTTTGTGTTAGGAAGGTTAAATTATTGTTTTAAGATAAAGTTGTGGTCACATCAATTTAAACTTGATCAGATATGTACATTATGATGTGAACTATTAAAAATATAAGCCAAATTATGGATTTGACCCAGATTCCATGGTCTACTGAAGATGAAAATGTTTTAAGTGCAAGCAGGGCTTGGTGTCCTGTTGATACATATTCTTGTGAAAGTTAATAAAAAAATTTAAGTGCTTTAATGACTAAAAGCTAGTAACTGCTACAAGACATCCATTTGACTTCACCTGCCTCTTTTCATGTATGTCTATACTTATTCTGCCAACAGAAGTTGGTTCAAAGAGTATTTATTTTGTATATATGCATTGTATCATAGGTCAAATTTATTTGTTCAGTGTATGTTCACTGGTGTTAATATGTCCTTTGATTGAGTTAAGCCATTTCAGTTGATATTTTATAGTGTGTCTTTCTATGTTGTGATGTTACACGATTGTTTCAGAAAAAGGGTGAAGGTTTGGTACCATTAAAACGTTTAAACCCGCTGCAATTGTTTGCACCTGTCCTAAGTCAGAAATCTGATGTTCAGTAGCTGTCGTTTGTTTATGTGGTTCATCAGTATTTCTCGTTTCTCGTTTTTTTAGCTCTCCGGGGCCCAAAGGGCCCCATGTGAGCTTATGCCATCACTTGGCGTCTGTCGTCGTCGTCTGTCGTCGTTGTCTATTGTCGTCTGTCATCGTAAACTATTTCAAAAATCTTCTCCTCTGAAACTACTGGGCCAAATACCTTCAAACTTTAACTAAATGTTCCTTAGGGTATCTAGTTTATAAATTGTATCCGAAGTTTTGATCCATCGACAAACATGGCCGCCATGGCTAAAAATAGAACATAGGGGTCAAATGCAGTTTTTTGCTTATATCTCAAAAACTAAAGCTTATAGAGCAAATCTGACATCGGGGAAAAATTTTTTAATTGGTCAAGATCTATCAGCCCTGAAATTTTCAGACGAATCGGACAACTCTTTGTTGGGTTGCTGCCACTAAATTGGTTGTTTTAAGGAAATTTTGTAGTTTTTTGTTATTATCTTGAATATTATTATAGATAGATATAAACTGTAAACAGCAATAATGTTCAGCAAAGTAAGATCTACAAAAAAGTTCATATGACCAAAATTGTCAATTGACCCCTTAAGGAGTTATTGCCTTTTAAAGACAATTTTACACAATTTGTTCATCAAGTTTGCTAACATTTAAAAATCTTCTCCTCTGAAACTACTGGGCCTAATACTTCTTAACTTTGAATGGATGTTCCTTTAGTCTAGTTTATGAATTGTATTTGAAGCTTTTAGAGCAAATCTGACATTGGTAAAATTGTTCAATTGGTCAAGATCTATCAGCCCTGAAACTTTCAGACAAATCGAACAACCCATTGTTGGGTTGCTGCCACTAAATTGGTTGTTTTGAGGAAATTTTGCAGTTTTTTGTTATTATCTTGAATATTATTATAGATAGATATAAACTGTAAACAGCAATAATGTTCAGCAAAGTAAAATCTACAGAAAAGTTAAATGACCAAATTTGTCAATTGACCCCTTAAGGAGTTATTGCCCTTTAAAGACAATTTTACGAAATGTGTTCAAGTTTGCTAACATTTAAAAATCTTCTCCTCTGAAACTATTGTGCCTAATACTTCTTAACTTTGAATGAATGTTCCTTTAGTCTAGTTTATGAATTGTATCCGAAATTTTGATCCATCAACAAACATGGCTGCCATTGCTAAAAATAGAACATAGGGGTGAAATGCAGTTTTTGGCTTATATCTCAGAAACTAGAGCATTTAGAGCAAATCTGACACGGGGTTAAAATGTTCAAAAGGTCAAGATCTATCAGCCCTGTAATTTTCAGACACACCGAACAACCCATTGTTGGGTTGCTGCCACTAAATTGGTTGTTTTAAGGAAATTTTGCAGTTTTTGGTTATTATCTTGAATATTATTGAAGATAAAGATAAACTGTAAACAGCAAAAATGTTCAGCAAAGTAAGATCTGCAAAAAAGTTTGCATGACCAAAATTGTCAATTGACCCCTTAAGGAGTTATTGCCCTTTAAGGACAATTTTACACAAGTTGTTTTATGTTTTTTTAACTTTAAAAATCTTCTCAAATGAATCTAGTATAAATTTTGTATTTCATTTCCTTGTACGTCAAGAAACATAGACACTATGGCTAAATTGGAACATATGGGTGAAAAGCAAAAATGATCATTGATGAAAGATTTAAGCAAAAAAAATTACAGGTGAGCGATTCAGGCTCTTGAGAGCCTCTTGTTATATAGATTAGACCGTTGGTTTTCCCATTTGAATGGTTTTACACTAGTAATTTTTGGGGCCCTTTATAGCTTGCTGTTCGGTGTGAGCCAAGGCTCCGTGTTGAAGACCATACTTTGACCTATACTGGTTTACTTTTATAAATTTTGATTTGGATGGAGAGTTGTCTCATTGGCACTCATACCACATCTTATTATATCTATAGTCTCTCTATAATTCGAAAAAATATATATTTTATAGGTACAGCCAGTGTTGCCAGAGCATGGAGTTCTTACTTTGATTCACTCATCAACAAAACCATCCAGCATTTCTTTCAGGACAACATGCCGATGAATGTCGGAGGACTGTCACCTTATCCTGATTTCTTTGCTTTTGGTATAACTTTACTGCTAACATGTAGGTATTTTATGTCTGTTTAAGTATGCATTTGTTTCAGCTTTAGCCCGCCTAGGAGTGCGGGATTTTCTTGCTGTGTTGAAGACCCATTGGTGGCCTTCAGCTGTTTTCTGCTTTGGTCAGGTTGTTGTCTCTTTGACATATTCCCCATTTCAATTCTCAATTTTATGTTTAATTACATTATCTTTGGTTACATTTACGATTTTCACCATGTTTCCAAACTCTTTCATTTGATGTTCATGAAGCTTCTCATTCTACGATAGTGACCATCTTGAATTTCTAATGCCTGAAAAGATTAAATCTTTCATGCTTAAAAATTTTCTGCATGAATGAAAGAATATTGAGGTACACATTAATGAGACAGTAACCCTACAATACAATAGTCATTCAAAATTTGACCTTCAACAATAGACGAGTTTCAGACCATGTGGCATTTAGATCTAAATTTCTCAAGATCTAGATAAAATCCAAATAATTGTTAAGAATATGAATATAAGGCTATACAGAGGAAAACACCAACACACAAGACACAAAAAATGGCCAACCATCTTCTTAAATCCTGTATCTACTCCTGATTTAAATCTTATCAAGTATATTGAGAAAAAAACATCATAATTTTCAGCATTTTGTTTTGTTATGTTTTTCAGGTATTTTAGCTATTGGTGTGAAAGAATCGTCTACATTTAACAACATATTTACCGGAGTGAATTTATTGGTTGTTCTTTATGTTATCGTGTGTGGAGCATTTAAGGCTGATACTCATAACTGGAGTCTTACCAGAAATGAGGTAAGGCCAAAAATGAAATTAAAATTGTTCAATGTTGACTACCTATCCTGCTAAAAAGTGGCATACCCGAAAAATTTTATGACACAAATTCTTTCAAATTTAAAAAAAAAGATTTGTCATGCTCTAATGTTGTTTTCTTGTCTAAAACATGTAACTTATGTTGTTGGCAAAAAAAAAAAAAGAAAAGATCCCTACCTACCTACCCAACCCTACAAGGCATTGGTAGGCAACATAAAACAAAGAATTATTTATGGGTGGCCTAATGTCTTATTTTATTGATATCTGTGGATTCATTATTATTTGTTGGATACCAATTATTGTTGATTTCATTGGTACAGGTGAACCACGAATTTGAATGTTTAACAAAATATAAATTTTTCTATAGGCCTATATGCAAGATTTTGTAAAACCATGAAATCAAATATCAACGAAAATATAAATTTTTCTCAATCAAGGAAAATCGGTAAAAAATCCAATAAAATTAAAATTTAACTGTACAGACCTGCTTTCTTTCCCGATTTATAGGGATTTCACCCAAGAGAGGTGTTGACTGACTCTTGAAATCCTCCTTTATATCAACTGAATACTTGTACTTAACAGGCCTCATAAGCAGTTTAACTCTGGTTGAGAGTTGTCTCAATGGCAATTATACCACATCTTCTAATTTTTATAATACAATTTTCTCAAAAATCTTATATCCTGTGCCCCCCCTCCCCTCAATTTTTTTTACACTTTTAACTTTTTGAAATAAAAGATTTCTTTGATAAATTTTTAAATACCAATTAAAAGATCGAAACAAATAAATAACATTTGTTCCTTTGTCAATCTCTTAATTTTTATGTAGTTCTATAATTGTTTGGCTTAGTGTTAAAACACACTTCAGTCAGGTAAGAATAAATCTTCAAATATTTATAAAACTCAAGGGGCTGTTTAAACAACCATGAATACCCATGAGCTAGGGTCTGGCATGGCAGAGACAAATACACATGTATATATGTTTCTGGGCACGGTTGGTTAAATTTAATAAACATTGAAATTAGTTTAGACTTAATACAAAATATTAATGACCAATCAGTAACCTCCCCATAAGACTTCATATTCATTCATCAGTATCTTTGAATGTATTAATGTGCAAATGAATTATCTACCCTGAATTGGTGTATTTTTATATTTATAAAAAAAGTGCAATTGTATACTTTTACCAATGAAAGGTATATGTTATAGAATAAAAAAAAATGTTTTAACATCTATTTTTAACAGTTTGATATGTTTCAGAAATAGATAATACTGCTTTTGTAAATAGTTTTATAAAATTTAACCAGTGTGTACATTTGTGTACAAAAAGATCTTAAATTCACAAAACCATTGATTTGGTTATAATAAGCGGGCTAATTAGCCATTTGGTTTTTTTAGTAATATTTGACCTGTCTGTATAGACAGTACATTCAAGCAAAAGGAGTAAGAACTGCAAAGGTAAGGGATATATAGTAATCATAACTCACCATTTTATAATTTCAATATTAAATATAATTCTTACATCTCGATAACCGTGAGGGCATTTCGATGTATTGTTGCCACAGAGATTTCTACTTACGTAACTTTCGTTTTTGACTGGTAACCGATCTATAAATACGCATACATTATCGAGTGCAAAATAACATTCCATATCGCTTGTTATAAATTCATTTCTTCAATGAATACTCATAAAAATATTTTTGTTTAGAACATAAAATAATAATATGAAAATGTTTTGTCGTTAGAAATATATATATATTAGTAAAAAATCATTAATAATATCTATGCACACGTACAGAAATATTGTGTTAACGCATGCGGAAGAATATCTCAAGAATGTTTTGCGGGAAAATATGAATGCCTACTCAAATCCAATCTATTAGAAAAATCGCTTATTACAGAAGAGGTGTCCACCATGCACTTGCAATGCACTATTATTAGAATAGTAGAATAGAATAATATACAAATGGATGAAAATGATATACACATGTAACTGTTAATATATACAAATATTAATTTAATATATAACAACAAACCAGAGTATAATGATTTGTATCACCACAATATAATAGTTATTACGGTGAGATTGAATTCGCTGTCATTTATTCATCATCCACGCACAAACTTGTCTCAGAAAAAAATATATGTCTGTACATTAACCTCACTTTCAGGTATAGATATGTGATTTTTTTTTTCTGAGACAAGTGCTTGTGACCATCCACAAGAACTTGTGGTCATCGGATATTCAGTACTTCAGTACTTTGATTTATCCTGCACGACTTTTCTACTTTACTAATACAGGTGTACAGATAACACGAAACGATATACTTATACTACACGTATATAGTCTCCTGGTATCCTGCTTCTGTTGCGAGCGAACCGTTATGTCAAATTACTGTTTACGTCACAGTTCAATTTGGGGTCCTCATTGCGGTCCGCGTTTAAGTTATGTCAATTTGTTTCAAAAACAAATTCAATGATTGGGATGGAAAAAAAATGTACAAAATTAATTGCAGGATAAAGACAATACCCGGTAACTGTTTAGTGTCTTTAAATATCAGCTGTATTTGTACTCGGCTCGAAACAGGAGTAATAGCTTGCTGAAGATCGCAATACACCTGTTTCTTAGCCTCGTACAAATACAGCTGATATTTAAAGACACTAAACAGTTATTGTCTATATCATTTCAAAAATAAACATAATGGAATTAAATAGTGACCAAACTTGGATTATTTTGTGATTTGCCAATACAATTTGTTCAAAATTCCACGTTTAATTCTCATTAATCTGTAATCATGAAGATTTGATTTCATAAAATATCTTTGAAGTTTATTCTTGTCAAACTTATCAAGTCTGGTGAAACAAAGTAATGAAATACATGATTAGCTGGTCATTATAAGTTTTTAATTAAGAGGCCAGTTGATTTGAATCATGTCGATTGTCACAAAGCAATAAATGCATTTTCATAAGGAGCTGAGAAGAGTGATATAGGCACAAGAAGAGCTTATATGTCCATCAAGCTTTAAAATTGGGGGGTCTAAAATGGTTCAACAAAGGTGAATTGAGGAAATTGCCTCACCAAATTATAAATCAAATGTAATATCTTCATTGTATTTAATATCTTAAAGCAATAATCTTGAAATTCTTTGTACTAAAAGTTGTCTTTAAGCCAGATTTCAAAGCTTTTTGTGAAAAATTGATTGATCAACACAAATTATTGAGAATATTATATCAAATTTTTAACATTTATTGCAAAATCCCCAAAGTAACTGAGTTCTGACATTGAACTCAGACTTCTCTTAAATTGACTTTTACTGTGCGTACTGTTGTGGGTTGAGATCTCAAAAAACATGTTCAACCCCGCCACATTTTTGCGCCTGTCCCAAGTCAGGAGCCTCTGGCCTTTGTTAGTCTTGTATCATTTTTAATTTTAGTTTCTTGTGTATAATTTGAAGTTTAGTATGACGTCCATTATCACTGAACTAGTATACATATTTGTTTAGGGGCCAGCTGAAGGACGCCTCCGAGTGCGGGAGTTTCTCGCTGCATTGAAGACCCATTGGTGGCCTTCTGCAGTTGTCTGCTCTATGGTCGGGTTGTTGTCTCTTTGGCACATTCCCCATTTCCATTCTCAATTTTATTGATCACTAATTTCAATTTAATTTTTGACATGATAAAATGAGTAAAAATACTATGTAGACAAGAATTGCAGTTGGTCACTGAAAAAGCTCATTTTATTTTCAGCTATTACTTACCTTACCTTTTAAAGTAACTGATTGTTTTAATTGTGCTGTCTTAACTAGACAGGTCAAATATTATTTTATTATTCTATTTGGCAAATTCCGCGATTTTCGGATAATCTCAAAAATTCTGGTGGTACAATCTAAACTTAAAACCTTTTTGTGGACAAGTACACACCCTGGTTAAATTTTATTAAATCATTTACAAAAGCAGCATGATCTATTATTAAAATATATATCAAACTGTCAACAAAGATGTTAAAACACATTTTTTAATTCTATAAAATATTCCTTTTATTAATTCATATATACCTTTGCAATTTTTTTATAAATTATAATTAGACATCAAATCAGGGGAGATAATTCCTTATGTTTGGAGTTCTGCATTTATCAAAAATAAAGCTTTATTAGGGACCCAAGCCCCCCTAAATCTGCCTCTGATAAATAATGATTGATTATTTATTACTGGACATTGAAAGCCATAACTCTTAGCCAAATAATTAATAAACTACAAAAGAGAAAAGACAACAAAGGTAAGGCCAACTGCTAATTAAACTCATAATGTTTAAGTCATCCGTTTCTTTAACGGTTCATTAAAAGGAATTGAAAAATATGGCTCTGTTTACACCACAAAATCTACTCTGAGTACAGACAAACCAATGCATCAAGGAAAGTTTTAAGGCCTGGCTAGACCTAGATATATAAAAGTTAGATATGTATGCAGTTTATGTTCCAGAAAATTAAAAACTTAATACCTGGATTTTGATGTGTTGTAAAGACAGCCTGGTATTTGCTAGAACCTTAATCTGTATTGAAAGTTTGAAAGAAAAAAATTTACTTCAAAAAGTAAAAAGTGTATCAAAAATTGAAAGGAAAGGAGGGGGGGGGGGGGGGTCAATTTAGAATTAAGGATTTTTCAAGGGAAATAAAGTAATTTATTTTGTATTAACCCCTAATTTAATGATGCTGGGTTTTTGGTGGGGTTCATGTTGCTGAAGGTTTAGAAGTTTCAATTGTAGTAATTTGTTGTAGTGGTAGTATAATTTTTATATGTCTGTACCATTGTATCTTTTTTTGGGGGTGTTGTCTGAGTCTAGTTAGCAAAAATGCATTTATAACAATTTTTTTTTTCGGTAAGGGAGGTCTATTATAATATCCTAAATGGGATAATAAGGGAGGAGGTATAATGACATTTTAAGCCACTACATGTACTTGTATGGCCCATATTCTCTTTGAAAATTGAAAAGTTTTATTTGTATTTAAGACTAACGTTAATCTAAATCAATAACAAACAATTAAGACTTTCATTTACCATGCACTGCAGTAGTCATTCAGATATAAATTGTCTATTTTGTCTTAAAATTTTTTTTAGGACTTTAAAGAAATAGTACATTTAGGGATTTTTGTGCCCTCTCAATGACTTAGTGGCTTATATTGATTTACTCTTGTGCATACAATTTCCTTTATTTATGCACTTTTAACATGCTTAATATATGTACAATAGAAATACATTTTCAAATTGTTTTCCAGAGGCTAACATCATTAAGCCTCCGTCAAATCATTTGAATTATGGAAATGTTGTTCAAGACCATTGAACTCAGATCTAGTTCCTATTAGACTGATTTATTTTTTTTCTTTCCAGAGTAATGTCCCTTGATGAGAGGGTCGTAATGGGGGTACCTTCATGACGAATAACGGTAAAAAATCTTGCCAAATGATGTTAACGGTAATTTTTGGTGCATGACGATAAAATGTACATTTTCTTTATGACGATAAAATATCGACTGATTTTGAAGGAAATAATGGTAACGGTTAATTTTTTGAGACCTCTGACGAATCACAATAAGGATACTTTGACGAATCACGATATAATTTTAATTAATTTGACGCTAACCGTAGCCGAAAATGACCGTTTAACGCCTGACGGTAAAGGACATCCCTACCCTCTTGATAAAGCAGAATATTGCCATAATTTTTGTTTTCAGACAATAAGTAAGATGTAGTTTGACAGATTTCACTTTTGTCATTTTAGAATTATCATAGGCGGATCCAGGGGGGTGGGGGGTGGGGGGGGAAGGGGGGCGGTTGCCGGGCCCCCCCTTTTGTGGGAAAAATTTGGTTGATTATATAGGGAATCACTGAAGCATGACTGGAGCGGGCCCCCCTTAGGTCAGTCAGCGGGCCCCCCTTATGAAAAGTTCTGGATTCGCCACTGATTATGCCCCTTATTAAGTAGGTAAAAAGCAAAATTTTTGGTTAATCTGAAAGATAAAGAGTGAGCACGGACCGGAAACATTTTCATTGTTTTAACCAAGAAAATATGAAGTTGTATTTAAGTGGCTTCATTGATGACAAAGATTGAGTTCCAATTTCATTCATAAAAGCTAATACATTGGATGTCTCCTGTACAATTTATTTCATGCAATCACTGCCCAAAACCAGGCTATATAAATTCTTGTCATATAAGAAACTGCCATTGTATTTAAACTAGACAAAACCTGTAACTTAATTAGTTAACGGACCGTGCAAGACCTTCATGGGAAGTCAAGGTTGTTGAAAACCCCCCTCGTCATTAGAATATCCATGTTTTTCCCTATCTTTGCGGATTGGTAACTCAACAGTTTATGGGACAGGGGATTTATGTCTTATGGGTTCTCTGGAATGGCTGTTTAGACAAGTTATTATAATATATCCCTGTTTTTTTCCTATCTTTGCAGATTGGTAACTCAACAGTTTATGGGAAAGGAGGATTTATGCCTTATGGGTTCTCTGGAATGATGGCAGGGGCAGCTACCTGTTTTTATGCCTTTGTAGGGTTTGATTGTATAGCAACCACAGGTAATTACAATGTCACAATTTGACTGTGACATCCACCCAACAACACATTAAAAATCTAAAGGTTTAACCCAAACAGTCTTCTATTCATTTGATGTTTAATAGTTACCGTACTCAAAACCGGACACTAAGTTTACAATAAGCATTGTGTATAAGTTTCATAACATTTGGATACGGTAAACTAAAGTTAGAGAACGGAAACTAATTTTGGGACATACGGACGTACAAGAGTATCACTTAATGCACCCTCCACCGGGGCTGGGGCAAAAAAAGAGGCAGAAGGTGCCAAGGGAACATAAAAAACCTTGACCAAAAAGAAAAAAATAGGAAAAGACAAAACAATAGTCTATAAAACAGATGCACTATACAGAAAACAAAAGACAAAGGAACATGGGTTATTCTCAGGAGCTTTAGGATGGATAAGCTGATCCTGCTCCACTATTGCCACCTGTATGTTACTTTTTTCACATTTTAATCAACATTAAGATAAATGCTTCCACTAGTTTCTGAATTTTGCAATATAAAGCTGCTGTTATTACATTTCTGATTTGTTCAAAGGGAGAAATAAAAAACATTGTAACCAGTCATGGAAAAAAGTCAATTCAATCACAACATTAAAAAAATCTGATTTTTGACTTTATTGAAGTTCATGAAACTAAGTTACCGACAATGTATATAATTTCTTTGTCCTGGTAAAATTATTATTAAAACAAAAGGTATAAAACTAAGGAGTTCCTGTTTGTTTAAATTTAGCAATAAGCATGGATCAAGACATTGATAGTACAAACCTCACTCAGAAAAAAAGGGGGGATGGTTTAACCCAGGAGCTCCAGAATGCTAAGCTATTCCTGTTTTACTAGTAACCATCATTGTGTTACACATGTTCAAAGCCAATGAAATGAAGTAATAAAATGATATTGAGGGAATAGCAGAAATAAAAAATTTGAAAGCCATGCTTGATCTATATTCTTCATCGCAAAATCATACATGATAACTTTCAGGATGAAGAACAGCTATAAAATATTACTCTTTGACTTATCTACTACTCATTTATAAGAATAGTTTCAGTGTGTTTCAAGGCATGTGTGCATCAACCTCGTATATCATTTTCCCGTCCATCAAAAAGACTCAGATTTAAATTTTTAATTACAGGAGAAGAAGCAAAAAATCCACAGAAAGCTATTCCAATTAGTATTGTTGTGTCTTTATTTACTATTTTTCTGGCATACACTGGAATGTCTATAATTCTGACCTTGATGTGGCCATATTATGACCTTGACAGTGATGCACCATTACCGGAGGTGTTCCATAATGTAGGATGGGATGTGGCAAAATATGTAATTGCTGTTGGTGCCGTCTGTGGACTTTCCACAAGGTAAGTGTGAAGATATCAAAAGGCAAGTTCATTTTGATCTCTAAATAAAGGGACAGAAGATTAAAGTCCAAAGTTAACTTCCTTTAATTTGTGCTGCCTACAAAAACAGCTCTTATTTTCTTCATACACATTCCTAATTTATTTTTTCATGTTTTATACATAAAATAGCAAGTAAGGGGTTGAAACTACACGGTAAAACATTTTGGTTCATGCATTTTGAGTTAAAGTTATGTTTTTATCCAGTTGACAAAATTCAAAGATGAAATGTTTGAAGCTGTTAAACTGAGTTAAAAAACCCTTGAAAATAAATCTGTCCTATTTTGAGTTTGAGCTGATGAAGTGTTCTATAATTTTGATATATTTTGTCCCAAAACTAGGACACTTCACTGTAAAAATCTTATTGAGTAAATGCTGGTGGATTTTTTTTTCTTTTGCATTTATTGTCTCAAGTAATGCATTGCCAAATTAATGGTGGTCTGTGCAAGAATAAAATGGTATAGTAAGGTCTATAATTATCATGATTATGGGCTTATCCTGATGTTGCAAATTAGAATACAATATTTGTGATGAGATTAAGTAATAGTTAAAGCGAATAAATATTTTTTCATCATTTTTAGCGAAGCTTTTTCTCTGTTTTAATTAAGACGATATTCCTGAAATTGGTTTATTTTTCGCTGAAATATAATAGTTTTATATGATATCACTTTCAAATCATATCAACAAGTCAATACTAGTGTCCAATTGAACAAAAAATTGTAAAGCTGTACATAAATCTATTTTGTAGTTTACTTGGAGCCATGTTTCCATTGCCAAGGGTGATATATGCCATGGCATCAGATGGATTGGTATTTAGATTCTTATCTAATGTCAACAAGAGATTTCAGACTCCATTAATAGCAACGTTCATCTCAGGGTTACTAGCAGGTAGGATGAAAAGCTGTTAGATATTATATTATATCACATAGCTGAGAGGGTGATAGAGCAGATTGTTACCCTGAGAAAACATTGTCAACTGAGGCGAAGCCAAGGTTGACAATGTCTTTTCGAGGGGTAACAATCTGCTCTATCACCCTCTCAGCTATGTGTTATTTAATTTATTATTCTGAATGTTCTGTTATTACTGTCTATTAAATTTCAAATTCAAAGTAATTAAACTATGTCGTCTTGTGCATAACAATCATCGGTATTTATTAAAGCGCACACTTGAGCAAGCATCTCCGTGAAGGGTAATAGAGTATTTGCCATGGGATAGAGTAAATTGTCTCCCTCGTATTAACCAATCAAAATCTGGCATTTATACATGAAGTGTAATAATATATTATATTATATCATCTCACCTTGGTTGTCTCATGGGAGTGTGCGTGCCGTAAGTGGGGAAAGTTTTGGGTTCAATCACTGACCATATCAAACCAAAGACTTTAAAAATTGTATTTGTATTTCTCTGCTAAGCATGCACGAGGGTTTTATTAACAGACTTTACTGAAATTTTCAAACAATGTTAAGGTCAAATTTTGATGATTTTTCAAAGTGTTGTTTTAAAGTGATGGGACTTGATCATAGTTCATACAACAAATTAAAGTTACTACAATTTTTATATACATATTTTCAGTTCTGATCTTATGGCACTTCTAACAATTGAAGCAACAAAGTGAGAGAAGCACATTCATACACTTATTATGCATATTATTGTTTTAATATTCTTTTTCTTTTGAAAGAACTTAAAAAAAAAAACAACTACCCCAGATGATGTCTTGAGAATAGAAATATGGTTATCCCTAGACTTCTTTGTTCTTTTCCTCAATATGTTTGTAAAATTTGAGCAGGAAAATAATTAAACAAATCAATAAAAAACCCAACAATTTTAAACTGTTTATGAGAGAATGTATTGAAAATTGCATAAAAATTAATTATTGGTAAATTATTAAACTATGGATCTTTCTTGATTCCAGATAAATTATTAGTAAAAAGTAAAATTAAGAACTCTTGTTGATTCTATATAAATAAGAATTAAATACATTAACTATCAAATCTATTGAATCATTGGATAAATTATAAGAAAATACGTAAAGTTTTGAATCTTTATTGAATCTAGTAAAATTTTGAGGAAATAAGTACAGGTATATTGAAATAGTGAATCTGTAGTAAGATTCAAGATAAATTATTAGTAATTGTGTTTTCCAGATAAAAGCAGGTGTACTTTTATGGAACTGCTTAGGTCAGTGGCCCAGGCATATAATGCTACCCATGTATGCCCTGCCATCCTGTCATTCTGTCATACCAAAATCCAACAATTGTCCAGACTTTTTGTTTGTAATGCCTACAGATATTAAGCCAATTTTTAGTTTGTAAGTGTACAAAAGTAATGCACATATTGAATTCATATTTTGTATTGGTTGGCTTACTTTTCATGGTATTATGATTGTTGGCATTTGGCAAAAAAAAGGGCGATAATGCATTTGCATTGCAATGACACATCTTTTTTGCTAAACTAATTACAGGTGTTATGGCAATGTTATTTGACTTACAAGAACTGGTAGATATGATGTCTATAGGAACATTACTGGCTTATACATTAGTAGCAGTTTGTGTGCTAATTTTAAGGTATGTTCATGTTTATTAGATTTTTATATAATTCAATCATAAGATATATAACTATCATCTCTAAAATAGGAATTTGGGGTTTGGAGTTTTGCATTTCTTTTTTTTTTTAGTTGATTATCTCCCCTTGGTTATTTCAAATGAAGCAGATATCAAATGACATTATAACATTGAAGGTATTATATCTGTTGAAGGTGATGCTGCTGTAAGTAATGATTCCAAATAAATAGTGCATTTATTAAAGTATTAAACAGCTTTTCTTTCAATTCGAAATAGTACAATCTCATTTTAAAAGAATGAATTGTACAAGCTGTTAAAAAATTAAGTCTCATAACTGGCATGTCAGTAACTGCTAGTAGTCTGTTGTTATTTATGTATTATTGTCATTTTGTTTATTTTCTTTTGTTTCCTATTCTGACATCGGACTCTGACTTCTCTTAAACTGAGTTTTACTGTGCATACTGTTGTACGTTTGTTTTTTCTACATTGGCTAGAGGTATAGGGGAGGGTTGAGATCTCAAAAAACATGTTTAACCCCGCCGCATTTTTGCGCCTGTCCCAAGTCAGGAGCCTCTGGCCTTTGTTAGTCTTGTATCATTTTTAATTTTAGTTTCTTGTGTATAATTTGGAGTTTAGTATGATGTCCATTATCACTGAACTAGTATACATATTTGTTTAGGGGCCAGCTGAAGGACGTCTCCGGGTGCGGGAGTTTCTCGCTGCATTGAAGACCCATTGGTGGCCTTCGGCTGTTGTCTGCTCTATGGTCGGGTTGTTGTCTCTTTGACACATTCCCCATTTCCATTCTCAATTTTATCATTTTGCATTTCAATATGAAAATTTTTTGTCTTTTGGTCTTTGCTAAGATTTAGTTTTGTTCAAAGTCATTGATTGCGTTAAATTATTCTGTCAAATTTTGTTAACGTTAGTAATTGCCAGTGAGTCAAGATAATAGCATGATTGATCAAAAGCCAAATCTCATGAAGACTATCAGCATATAGAGGAATGCTGTTGATATTTTTTCTCCAAGAAGTATATGATAGATACTTGAATTTGCACATAATTGAAATATTACGAAACTTTCTGCAATCTACCTTGACTTGAATGAAATCTTTCTGAAAAAAACCACTCATGTTCTCAACTTTACAAAATATAGATATGTCTTACAAAGAATTATAATATTTAATAACAATTTTAATATTGATCCCCAATAAGTAACACCTACTACATGTACTACATATTAACCCTTTCATATTTCAGATACAAAGTAAAGTGTTTTGCATTCAAACACAAGGTTGAAGTTTATATTGAAGAGGAAGATGGGTAAGTCAGATCTACTGTATACTGTAAAGAAGGTAAATTTAGCAAGGGCTATATTTTTGCTTACTTTGCAAAATTAAAACATCAAAATATCACCTTGCAATGACTTGGTCTTTAAATTTCATGGTGAAATTTTTTTTGATTTTTCATGCTAAGAAGCTATATCACAAATGACTTTTTGTGGTTTGCTAAATTGCAGAAAATTTAATCTCATTTGGTACCCTGAAAATTGAACAGCATATGTGAAAAAGTTTCAGCTTTACAACAAGCCATTATACATATCAAAGAGAATTCTATTGTTTGAAAAGAGGATTTGGAGAAAAAGTTTCCATTATTACCTACTTGAAACAATTGTGCATAATTACTCATGTTAAGGATGTTACTGTTGTTTTTCACTTTTTGTTAGGTATGCAGAATCCTCTAGTTTTATCATTGTAGTGACAATACAAATTTAGCCCGCTAACCTCTACTTTTCTTTTCATAATTTTGTTACATATAGTTTTAAAAGCCATTTTAGAAAATCTTATAAAACCCTTGTTATTTTTTCATAGTTTTTGAAAGAAAAAGGTGGCAATGTTATACGTATGAAAAGTCTAGAGAGATTCATTTCATGCCAAATTTTTAATTGATTATACCTCAAAAACAAAGACACGACCCTGTCATTTTTTTCTGCTTTTTAAGTTCCTTTATTTATATACTATCAATTTATAACAATCTTTTAAAAAGCTTGTTATTTAGAAACAGAAGAGCGAACATCCTTAAAGGAATCCTGTAGTTTCACTCATCTGATCTTTAATACAACAGTACGTAGGTGTTGTCAAGAGTTTTTCAATGAAGTTGCATCAAAAGATACAGCTCCTTGCATTTTCTGCATTATTTACACTTAAAGTGAATGTAATTAAAACAAACAACTATTGAAAAATTTTGAATGTTGAAAAATGTTCCCCAAGTGATCGAACAAAACATTAACTCAAAATTACCAGATTAAAGTCAAGGAGAAGGCAACCTGATCATCACAAGAAAATCAATCAGTGTCAGTTTTAGGGTTGCTGATTTATTGGTAGATCTAAACAAAGATAGACATCGTGAGGACGGGTGCATTAGGTTTGTGCGCATTACCATTACATTTGCGCGCAAAAATCATTACGTTTGTGCGCAGCTTTTGATTACATTTGCGTGCAAACTTTTACAGGTAAACTCAGGTAAATACAGGTACATATAGATTATACCTATTTATTTATGAGATATTATTTTCGAGCAGAATAAGTCCTTTGTATTGTGCACAAGCACTTAGTCTTGGATATATATACAGATAAAAATGTAAAAACATAGTAAATCTAAAGAATAATAGAACTGATTTTACATGTCGTAACACAATGAATATTTGAAGCCCACTGCTTTAAAAAACACAAATTATTGCTATTCTTCATCTCGGAGTCACAGTGAGGCCTTTAATGTCTTTGCTATTATGGGATTTCTCATGATCACTATTTTTTTTTTTAGAATTCAAAATGAAAAATATATTATTTAAATTTACAAATATGTTCAAAATTCACAATGATCATAATCATATTTGTTGTGAATTATCTTTATTTTACCTGTGCTACCTGTAAAATGAATGCATGCAAATGTAATCAAAAGCTGCGCGCAAACGTAAAAAAAATTAATCCCCAAATGCGCGTAAATGTAATGCGCCCGAGAGGACAACCTATATTTTTACCAACTTTTTAGAAGCATTTATAGGAAATGGAAAGATCTCAGTCAACCTTGAACTCGACCAGTTTAGATGACTAAATATTTCACATCAGCTCCAAATCAATGAATTGACAATGACATAGATCAATAAATTTCTATTGCATGCATACCCAAAAAAGTACACTTGAGTGACTTCAGGTAAGTTTGATATTTTAGTCAGTAAAGATAAAATGGCAAGATATTTTTCTGTGTCCACATATTTTCATGTAAATATGTTTTATGATATAATTTCAGGCAACATGATCCTTCCAGCAAAGACCATTTATTAGGCAACAGAAGCAAGAAAAAAGAAATAACCAGTAGTTATCTTAAAAAGATGTTTGTTAGAGATAAAAATCAAAAGACTCCAACTAAAGAAACAGAAAAAATCACAGAGTATAATATAGCAATAATAGGTAAATATTTGCAATGTAAAAGATTTGTTGGGAATTATTTAGATAATGCTAATAAAATGAACCATGGAAACATGTCCTAACTCCTTACTGATCTCTTGCATTTAAAATTTGTATAGCACTATATCTCTGCAGCTTTTTTTGAAAGCTCAATAATGAATTAAAAATAATAAAATCTTGCATTTGTGTCTGTTTAAAATCGCAAAAAAATGAACGCAAAAATTTCTGAATTTACAATATTCGATCCTTTTTGATTTAGAATTTATGGATACTCTTGAAAACATGTCTTTAGAGAACTCTTGTATAAGGACATACTTTGAACACTTCTAAGTGATTTAGAATTTATAAATCAAACACTTTAATATAAAGATAACGAGATTGTCAATAAGAAAATTAAGCTCCAAAGACCTATGGTTGAGCATGTAAGCAACAACAGGTCAGGCCACCCTTATAAAATTCTTTGTTTGATATTGCCTACCCATGCCTTGTAGGGTTGGGTAGGTAGGTAGGTAGGGATTTTTTTTTTGGCCAGCAACATAAGTTACATGTTTTAGACAAGAAAACGACGTGACAGCAGGAAAAAAAATCTTTAAAAAAAAATTTGAAACGATTTGTGTCATTAAACTTTTTAGGGTAGGCTGCTTTTTTGGTGGGTTTCTAAGGAAGGCAATAACAAACAATTAAAACTTTATATTTGGCCTCACTGTATAGTTCAGCAATGAACAAAAGATATTTTATGACATAATTATGTCATAGTAGGCACCTTTTTCATGAAAATAAAAAAATTATGCAGTTTCTGTACATATTTCCTTTATGGAAACATTGTGCTTAGCCAAGAAATAACATAAAAAGTTAAGAGAAGCTTTATCATACTGTAGCTATTTGCATAATATCACCAAATATGAAGTCATTTCTTTGTTGCACACATAGTTTTCCAATCCATAAGTTAACTTAAAAGTTTGTGTAAAACAAGGAAAATCAAGAAACTTTACAATGTGAAAATTTTTTATGGTAACTACCGGTAGTCAAATGTGAAAAAAATAAATTCTGAACATGTTTTTACCTTATATATATAATTAGTTTGGTTGGGACAAAATTAAAAACACACATGGTAACGTTTAAATTTGCCATATATTTGGACCAAAAAGAGAGCTTTAATTTATGGGTATTTGTTTTATGTAATTTCTTTATAAAAGAATATATACTAACCAAATTTAAAAAAAAATGCATTAGTAAACATATATAGATATAGGAAGATGTGGTATGAGTGCCAGTGAGACAACTCTCCATCCAAGTTACAATTTATAAAAGTAAACCATTATAGGTCAAGGTACAGCCTTCATCACAGAGCATTGGCTCACACTGAACAGCAAGCTATAAAGGGCCCCAAAAAATTACCATGCTTTGAATACTGTAAATTCAGAAATTATTGTGTGCATTTATTAATGCGAATTTTGTAGAATTGACTAAAATGCGAGATTAATTATTGCGATTTCAAGAAAATCTGCATACAGTTAAAAGTATCAGATATAAGAATGTGAGTTCTTATTATTGCGATACTCATTCAGTCGCATAATTCGCATTGATTAAAACCTCGCAAATATTTCAGAATTTACAGTGTTATTTTTATTTGAACCATAATTTATCATTTACTTTATTTTCACATAAATTATTTTTTCAGTAACACTATAAAAATATGTTAAGGCTTATTTTGCTAGACTTTTCTTCAGTCAAATGAATTATGGATATTAAGAATCAGCCTGATTAACTTAAAGTCTCATTTTGTTAAATTTTTTTTCAGTTTTACTAATAGTAATTTTAAGCCTCATTTTGGTGGTAGCAGAGGATAGTTTATCAGACAGTAAGGCGTGGGCTATTGTTTTAGCTGCAATATTTGTTATCGCTATATTTGTAATGGTGTATTCTATATGGGTTCAGCCAGAAAATCAGGATGCTATACATTTTAAGGTAGGTTAACTACCAAATATATTGGTAACTTTTGATCAGATATTTTTAAGGAATGAAGGAGAAGTCAACCGACTTTTTGTTATTAAGACCCAGACCTCTTGGTCATGAAACTTAACTGAGTACTCAGAGTTCAAAATTTGTGCACAAAAACACCAAATCCAGTATACTGATTGATTGAATTCTGAGTATGATAATGGTACTCAAAAATTTTTAAAGCCACAAGGCCTGATGATGTCACTATAAAATTGACTACATAACTACAGGATATAGAAAGAAACAGCATATATTTGTAAGCCTCAAATCTATGTCCAGCCTCAAATCTATGTCCAGCCTCAAATCTATGTCCTTTCCGCAAATCTGTGTCCTTTTTAATATTGCGTCATAGACGTTCCAAATTTATGTCCTTTATTGTCTCAAATCTATGTCTTTTATTGTCTCAAATCTATGTCCTGTATTGTCTCAAATCTATGTCCTTTATTAACTCAAATCTAAATTTAAATTATTCAAGGTAAACATAGATAAAGTGGTATGAATGTCAATGAAACAGCTATATGGACGAGAGACAAAATGAAGTATGTTGGTGTTGCAAAAAAAATATTCAGTCTTTACTGTTTTTTTAGTGAAAAAAATATGTGTAGTTTCATTCTTGAAGGCACGTTAATAAAGTAACATGTATGCTCGTTATGCCAATAATTTGTACACAGAATTATGTTGTGGTTGTTGAATGTTGATGTCATGGTACACAATGGATTTAAAAAAATACATAGATTCGAAACTGTAATAGTTTCACCAGAAAAAAAACTTTTTTAATAAGATAGTAAGATAGTGGCACAAAATGTCGTTGTTAAACACAATAAATTATACCCTAAACATTTTTATGTGGTATCTATACATTGAAACATTGAACAAAACGTTTCTAAATATGTGTATGTGTTTATAGCTTACGATACAGAATAGGTTTAATTCATTGTTGAAGGCCGTACATGTATCTTTACTTGCTTGTATACAGATGTCATTTTGTCTCAGGTTGTTTATCAACTTATATTTCGTATTTGTTATCAAGACGTAATGATGAGTAAAGGGAAGTAAAGATAATTACTACAGAACAATTAAACACGGGATCAAGAAAAGCAAACAATTTAAAAATGTTGTAGTTTTACAATAAAATGTATATGTTACTATAATTACACACGGATGTAAAATTTTTAAGCACACACATGGAGAACACATGCCAAATAAACATTGAGTTATGGGAAATGACTTAAGGAAACAAAAATCCCATAAGGCCGTACTTATTAGACGGGCATAAATTTACGCATGGCGAAACAAACTGGAAAAAGATTTAAGAAAAGGACACAGATTTGAGGCCGTATCTTTTTTAAAGGACATAGATTAGCGATTGACGTCAAGATGGGGCACAGATCTGAGAAACGGACATAGATTTGAGGCCGTACACAGATCTGAGGTTTACATATTTATTAAAGTTTGCTTTATTTTTATAGTTTTTTTCAGCAGGGATAGAAAATCATCGACACAATATGAAATAAAACATCTATAGGTCAACATACATACAATCATTAATGATAAACATTTTTATGCCCGCCTATGACAGTAGAGGGGCATCATGTTTTCAAGTCTATGCTTCTGTCCATCTGTTTGTCCATTAGTCCATTCTGTATCAGATTCAAGTTTTTTGATAGGTTCTTTTGGTCACATCAATTTGAAACTAAGTACTTACGTTCATTGTGAGGTGACATTTTTCTGTCCATCTGTTTGTCCATTAGTCCATTCTGTATCAGATTCAAGTTTTTTGATAGGTACTTTTGGTCACATCAATTTGAAACTAAGTACTTACGTTCATTGTGAGGTGACATTTTTCTGTCCATCTGTTTGTCCATTAGTCCATTCTGTATCAGATTCAAGTTTTTTGATAGGTACTTTTGGTCACATCAATTTGAAACTAAGTACTTACATTCATTGTGAGGTGACATTTTTCTGTCCATCTGTTTGTCCATTAGTCCATTCTGTATCAGATTAAAGTTTTTGGATAGGTACTTTTGGTCACATCAATTAGAAACTAAGTACTTACGTTCATTGTGAGGTGACATTTTTCTGTCCATCTGTTTGTCCATTAATCCATTCTGTATCAGATTAAAGTTTTTGGATAGGTACTTTTGGTCACATCAATTAGAAACTAAGTACTTACGTTCATTGTGAGGTGACATTTTTCTGTCCATCTGTTTGTCCATTAATCCATTCTGTATCAGATTAAAGTTTTTGGATAGGTACTTTTGGTCACATCAATTTGAAACTAAGTACTTACATTCATTGTGAGGTGACATTTTTCTGTCCATCTGTTTGTCCATTAGTCCATTCTGTATCAGATTAAAGTTTTTGGATAGGTAGTTTTAGTCACATCAATTTGAAACTAAGTACTTATGTTCATTGTGAGGTGACATTTGAATTTTATATGACAAATTACAATTTAACCCCTATTCCATGGTTTACTGAGCAAGGATATAGGATAGTTCAAGCAGAGCATAGTGTTCTACTGACACATATTCTCATTATAAGTATTAAATGAATTCAACAGAAACCACCAAAGAAGACCTGCAAACCACTTCAAAGTCCTAAAAATATAAAATACAGTTAAAAAATACAAATCAAATCAAATCAAATATTTTATTGTCGTATAAACTTTACAGTTTGTGACCAAGCTGTTATGAGTCCCCTGCTCTCAGTTCTAATGACTTTTTCAAGAAGGATCCTAACTTATTTGTTTGTAAAGGCGTTGATGGATTTAGTAAATAATGAATTTTTTCTTCTTCATTTAAATTATTAAAGCTATTATTTTCAGTACATATGTGTTCAAAAAAGGCATTTCTTAGTGTTTTATAATAATCACAATAGAGTAAAAATGTTTCTCATCCTCTAGTATTTTACATTTATGACAAAGTCATTCCTCTCTTGGGATTTTAAAATATCTCCCCTTTTCAATTAAGAGGGAGTGATCACTTAGTCTAAATTTAGTGATCAATCTCCTTATCTGAAAATTAGATATATTTAGATAAGATTCTAGTTTGCAATCTTTTTTAAGTTTTTTATATAGATCAAATTTACTTTTATCATCAATGTTTTCAAATTTAGTTTCAATTAAATCTTCATATCTATTTTTCATTTTTAACTTTATATTGTTTTTTATTTTATATATACCTGTAATGAGATTTATGACCTAATGCAGATTTACCTAACTTGCTTAACCTGGTGTCAACTGCTGAAATTCAAAATTTCTTTTTCTCATTAGTTTTCCAATAGAGAATGTATACTACACATCTTAAACTATGGACAATATAAAGAAGTATGTGTGCTGGTGTTTGAGATACAAGCATTTGAAAAACTAAAATATTGCAACATGAAAGAAATGTCTGCATTTTTGGCATGAAATGTAAAGGAAGAATGGAATGTTTATAAACTGTGCAAACAATGTAGAAGAAATAAAAATATTAATGAAAATAATTGTAATAAAATTTGGGCGCAGCTTGATACGACCGCAGAGGTCGAACCCTGAACAGTTGGGGCAAGTATGGACACAACATTCAAGCTTGATACAGCACTGAATTTGGATTGTGATTAAATATTTGACACAGCATAGGTTTCTGACACAGAATGAATGTGGTCTAAGAACTTAAAAATTTTTAATTTACATATTCAAACCATATCATTATTATTTGCTTATTTGAAATAACCAATTTAAAATGGAAAATTTTAAAGAAAAAAAAGGAAAAAAAAAATCCCCCCTAAAATTTTTTGAACCCCCTTATGATTCATCACCCCCAAACTCAATCCCAGCTTTCCCTTTGTGGTATGGTACCTTGCAGTACAATTTCAGAGAGATCTGTACACTTGAACACAAGTTATTGTCTGGAAACTACAAAATGCTTGTTTTATGGCCCCTTTTTGGCCCCAAATTCCTAAACGTTTAGGGCAATTACCTCCAAACTCAAACCCAGGTTTCCCTTTGTGATATGGAACCTTGTAGTACAACTTCATAAAGATCAATACGCTTACACACAAGTTATTGTCCTGAAACTAGAAAAATGCTTGTTTTTTGCCCCTTTTTGACCCCTTATTCCTAAAATATTGAGGCAGTTACCCCCAAAATCAATGCCAGCCTTGCCTTTGTGGTATGGTACCTTGCAGTACAATTTCAGACAGATCCATACACTTGAACACAAGTTATTGTCTGGAAACTAGAAAAATGCTTATTTTTGGCCCCTTTTTGGCCCCTTATTCCTTAATGTTTTGGGCAATTACCCCCAAACTCAATTCCAGCTTTCCCTTTGTGATATGGAACCTTGTAATACAATTTCAGAAAGATCCATACACTTACACACAAGTTATTGTCATGAAACTAGAAAAAATGCTTGTTTTTTTCCCCTTTTTTGGCCCCTAATTCCTAAAATTTGGAGGCAATTACCCCCAAAATCAATCCCAGCATTCCCTTTGTGATATGGAACCTTGTGGTAAAATGTCAGAAAGATCCATACACTAACACACAAGTTAGACTTTTGTCTGGAAGTTACAAAAATGCTTATTTTTGGCCCCTTTTGGCCCCTAATTCCTTAACTGTTGGTACCATAACCCCCAAAACCAATCCCAACCTTCCATTTGTGGTATTGAACCTTATGGTAAAATTTCATAGAGATCCATTCACTTAAACTAAAGTTAGAGTGCGAAAACCAGTGTGTCTTCGGACGATGACGACGACGACGCCAACATCATACCAATGTACGACTGCAAAATTTTTTTGCGGTCGTATAAAACTGTGTGTGTGCATTTATTAATGCAATTGTTGGACCATAAACACAATTGCGAGTTCAATCCTTGCAATTTCAGAAATAATGCTTTCAAAAATTAAAATGTGGGTTTTTTATTTTTGGGACACATGTATCGTCACAATTTTCACAATAAGGATATAACATTTCTGGATTTACAGTATGCATTCTGGGTAAGTGCAAGTTATACTTTAAATCATAATAAAACTGACATCAAATTCAGTTGTGTCAATGAGGTATTCTTTATGCATGTTTACTGCAATCTAAAATTATTTCCTATTTTGAACAGGTTCCATTGTTGCCATTTTTACCTGTGATCAGTATTTTTATAAATATCTACCTGATGATGAAATTATCAACAGCTACATGGATCAGATTTGCCATATGGATGGCTGTAGGTAAGTTATCAACAGCTACATGGATCAGATTTGCCATATAGATGGCTGTAGGTAAGTTATCAACAGCTATGTGGATCATATTTGCCATATGGATGGCTGAAGGTAATTTATCAACAGCTATGTGGATCATATTTGCCATATGGATGGCTGTAGGTAAGTTATCAACAGCTATGTGGATCATATTTACCATATGGATTGCTGAAGGTTAGTTATCAATAGCTATGTGGATCATATTTGCCATATGGATGGCTGAAGGTAAGTTATCAACAGCTATGTGGATCATATTTGCCATATGGATGGCTGTAGGTAAGTTATCAACAGCTATGTGGATCATATTTTCCCTATGGATGGCTGAAGGTAAGTTATCAACAGCTAAGTGGATCAGATTTGCCATATTGATGGCTGAAGGTAGGTTATCAACAGCTACATGAATCAGATTTGCCATATGCATGGATGGCTGTAGATATAAAAAAGAAGATGAGGTATGATTGCAAATATGACAACTCTTCACAAGAGACCAAATGACACAGAAATTAACAAATATAGGTCACTGTACGGCGTTCAACAATGAGCAAAGCCCATACCGCACAGTCAGCTATAAAAGGCCCCTAAATGGCAAATGTAAAACAATTCAAACGAGAAAACTAATGGCCTAATTTATGTACAAAAAAATGAATGAAAAAAAAAATATGTAACACATCAACAAACGACAACCACTGAATTACAGGCTCCTGACTTGGGACAGGCACATACATACAGAATGTGGTGAGGTTAAACATGTTAGTGGGATCTCAACCCTCCCCCTAATCTGGGACAGTGTTGTTATGGTACAACATAAGAACGAACTATAAAAATCAGTTGAAAAAGGCTTAACTCAGGTAGGTTATCAACAGCTACATGGATCAGATTTACCATATGGATGGCTGTAGGTAAGTTATCAACAGCTATGTGGATCAAATTTGCCATATGGATGGCTGTAGGTAAGATATCATCAGCTACATGGATCATATTTACCATATGGATGGCTGTAGGTAAGTTATCATCAGCTATGTGGATCATATTTGCCATATGGATGGCTGTAGGTAAGTTATCATCAGCTACGTGGATCATATTTGCCATATGGATGGCTGTAGGTAAGTTATCAATGGCTACATGGATCAGATTTGCCATATGGATGGCTGTAAGTAAGTTATCAACGGCTACATGGATCAGATTTGCCATATGGATGGCTGTCGGTAAGTTATCAAAGGCTACATGGATCAGATTTGCCATATGGATGGCTGTAGGTAAGTTATCAATGGCTACATGGATAAGATTTGCCATATGGATGGCTGTAGGTAAGTTATCAATGGCTACATGGATCAGGTTTGCCATATGGATGGCTGTTGGTAAGTTATCATCAGCTATGTGGATCATATTTGCCATATGGATGGCTGTAGGTAAGTTATCAACGGCTACATGGATAAGATTTGCCATATGGATGGCTGTAGGTAAGTTATCAACGGCTACATGGATCAGATTTGCCATATTGATGGCTGTAGGTAAGTTATCAATGGCTACATGGATCAGATTTGCCATATGGATGGCTGTCAGTTATGAAAGGCTTCATGGATCAGATTTGCCATATGGATGGCTGTAGGTAAGTTATCAACAGCTACATGGATTAGATTTGCCATATGGATGGCTGTAGGTAAGTTGTCAATGGCTACATGGATCAGATTTGCCATATGGATGGCTGTAAGTAAGTTATTAAAGGCTACATGGATCAGATTTGCCATATGGATGGCTGTAGGTAAGTTATCAACAGCTACATGGATCAGATTTACCATATGGATGGCTGTAGGTAAGTTATCAACGGCTACATGGATCAGATTTGCCATATGGATGGCTGTAGGTAAGTTATCAACAGCTACATGGATCAGATTTGCCATATGGATGGCTGTAGGTAAGATATCAACGGCTACATGGATCAGATTTGCTATATGGATGGACATAGGTAAGTTATCAATGGCTACATGGATCAGATCTGCCATATGGATGGCTGTAGGTAAGTTATCTACAGCTACATAGATCAGATTTGCCATATGGATGGCTATAGGTATGTTATCAACAGCTACATGGATCAGATTTGCCATATGGATGGCTATAGGTAGGTTATCAACAGCTAAATAGATCAGACTTGCCATATGGATGGCTGTAGGTAAGTTATCAACGGCTACATGAATCAGATTTGCCATATGGATGGCTATAGGTAATTTGTCCATCCAAGCATACTTTAGATTTTGAACCCTTGAATATGATTGGCTACAGCTATGTTAAATTATCAGGAGCTTAAAGAATCAGACCCACTTACTTTGTAATGAGTGGTAGATATTAGTTCCTGGAATAGGTTACTATTTGGTTTATATGCTAAGATCAGGAAATTAAGATGAAAAATATGATGAGGTTGCTATGCACTATGCAATCATAAGTTATTGAAACTAATCAGATTTCAATATTTTTTCACAGATGCAATTAAAACCAGTAATAGAATGCATTATGGTAGATATTTGTCAAATTTATTTATTTCTCCCTGAAATAGGGTAATCTTGAAAGCTATATGTGTATTTTTTGTAAAAAAATATATGATACATATGTATTTTTTTCATTAAAAAAACCAGTCCTAAGGACCACCTATATTGAACCACCACCTACTGTTAATGACCACCTTTCAATGCCCCCCTCCCCCCATCAAATAGATTTCCCAATATATTCTAACTGTATCAAGTGACTTCCGGCATTAAAGGCGACCAGCAATCGCATTAATTTGTTTAAACTGACCACATGCACTTCTTAAACAACTACAATTTACTTGGAAGGATCAGCGACTTTCGAAAAAAGTGTGATTGTACGGCCCTTTTGATGATCGATGTTCACTTTCCACTCATTGCAGCTCAGTCAATTCTGTTGCAAGAGTAGCACATTCACTCTAGGATTGCCAATAGTTCACATTCTATCAATCAGAAATCCTCCAGTGAATCTGCTAAGACAGAATCAATGGAGTTTAGACGATTGATTCTGATCACGACTTCAACAACCAAGACCTCTGCTATCAAGCTATTGCTGATTATTTTCATTTTTTTTTTCTTTTGGTGTTTTTAACGCCACTTTTAAGCACTGCTTTTGGGCTATTTCGTGGCGGCCAGTTTTTTGTTGGTGGAGGAAGCCGGAGTGCCCGGAGAAAACCACCTACCTTCGATAGGAAAACTGACAATCCTAGTCAATTAAGATTGGAGTCGAGTGCACCCGCACGAACGGGGTTGGAACTCACAACCTCAGTGTTGACTGGGTAGTGATTACAGTAGTAACTACTTAGACCACTCGGCCACCGAGGTCCCTGATTATTTTCAAGTTTGATATGTAAAATAAGTTTTTTTCAATAAATATATTTTTTGTCTTTTTTTTTTATAGGTTTTGCTATATACTTTGGTTATGGAATACGACACAGTTCTGAAGGCAAAAGTGGGCAGAGTGTTCCATTATTAGAAGATTCGTCATCAGATCACGAGGATTGAAATCATTTACAATATACAGGTTGTGCCAAAATTGTATATTTTTGATACAGATTTAAAAATTGTGTTTTTATTGCATCATGGTCAGGGCTTTTCCAGAATTGATTGAATGAAAGGGGGAGTGGGGGGGGGATGGGTTGAAAGGTTATTTCAGCCTTAACAATTATATGAAATAATCAATAAAAATTTTATGTATGTTTTGGTTAAATAAAAAGTGCCTAACAAACACCCCCTACATTTATTTCTGGGAAAGCCCTCATCTCTTTGAATATTAGATTTGATAGATTAAAAAAATTGACTGTTAATAACAATTACGCTGCCAAATTTTATTGTAGATTTTTTTTAATCATGTTTTGTCAAAAGATAATTATATTAAATGATTTTTGTTCATGTTGCCAAAATTCTGTGTCAAAGGCTGATTGTGTAGAACCACTAATTCAGGCCCGGTCAGATAGAACATACATGAAAGTAGTACATGTTTTAAACAAAATAGTTTCTACTCGTAGCTGTCACTTTGTAAATACGTAAAATATTTGTGTCATTTTGGTATAAAATGAAAGCTTTAACGCTTGGGATCACTATAGAACTTCATTTGAATACTTACAAAAATATATGAAATTGAAATACCGTAGAAAGGCTTGTATAGTCCGCGGTTTTATTCTCCAAAATTGGACCTTCCAGACGGGGTGCGGACTATAGAGTACAATAAGCAAGAAATAAGAGAAAAATTTCAATTTCGCGGTCGAGGTGGTTTGTTTACGTTCCGCCATCTTTGTTATTTCTATTGTAGAGGGCGCTCTTATCATTTTTCAAACTAATAATTTTAACTCATCCATATTAATAAGTTATTTCTATTCAATATCAAATTAATACTGATAAATATAAAAACTAAATCTTTCATTACAAATTTCTCGTTTCTTTTCAATGCATTGGTTGAAATAAACTGGTATCTGCTCGATTGAAACGATACAAACATAGTGAAAAAGACAACCGTAAACCAGCTTAGAATTTGTAAACTACAAAACGAAATCGGTTATTGTTCGTTCCGTTTTGGTGTTTCATACTGACTAATATGGTTTGTATTAGCTTAAGACCCTTCAAACATTAATGTGATAGATATATTAAAGACTGTTTTACAAAAGGATGGAACTGTTTTACTTTCAAAGTCGTATTATAGTGATATCTGATATGTACGGATTTCGACTCTCACCGGTTAATTTCTTCTTTTACACGTGCTTTTTAAACTTCCTGTTTAAACATACACAAGTTTCTAAATTGTTTTTTAAGTGAATTAAACTTATTTTAACAATCATGAAGCGTTCTAGAATCATTAACAAGCAGTTTCAGCTTCTGTTTGATGATGGAAAACAGGTTTTTCCAAGAAAATACCGCAAACGACCGCACAGGATTTGAAATTACCGGAGTTTCATTAGACCTTTTCTAACAGTTACAAAAAGTTTTTTTACCTAAAATTTCGTGGGGAGAAGGGGGTGCGGACTATGTACCACTGCGAACTATACAAGCCTTTCTACGGTAGGCCATATTTGCCTGTGGCCCAGATCAGAAGTCTCTTTTTATTTTACTACCAAACTTCAGGGACAGTGTGTTCTTATAAAACACAATTAAAGGAATGTTCAATTTTTAGGACAAACCAGGATGGGGCCAACAAATGATTGTCAAAATATTTAAACTTATGACAAAATAGCTATATAAAAATATGGAGATGTGGTAGATTGCCAATGAGACAACTATCCACCAGAGTTCAAATGAAGTAGATGTAAGCAACTATAGGCAACTGTATGGCATTCAACAATGAGAAAAACCCATTATTGTATAATTGTATATAAAAGGTCCTGACATGAAAAATTTGAAACATGAATGCTTGAAATTGCAGATTTTAACATAGAAAGTGATGGACTAGCTATGAATTAGTGGTTTTACTCCTATTATAATACTGTTTTTTTTATCTATAGTGTTATAAATTACATGAGGCTTTCATATTGATCTAGTAATTGGTCAAATGCTTGACATATTGGTCTAAGGCATATTTATTAATTCATTGAAATAGTGTATATGTGGAGAAATCATCAAAACCATGTCAAATGACTAATTTGTATTGCTATTATAAGAGGGGCGTAAAGGGGGGGTATCTGCACGGAAGAACGCGAAATAAAATTGCCATTTCACGATGAAGGAACAATTAAAAATTTCTTGCACGTTGATCTTTTTACCGATTTCACGAAACACGGTGAATAACGAACCATTTTCACGGCTGCAAGTGAAATAAAAATAGCAAAACACGTTGCACGAAAAATAACCCTTTAACACCCTCTTATAAGGTCATATTCTGATGCATGTAAATTGTATTTAATATGTCTGTTTTGATTGGATAAAATTTGGATCCTGCATCAGAATATAAATAACTGAAAAGTGTTTAAATGATATTTGCCATCATATATCATAAATTTTACAGCCACAAGTCTAAATTTGTAAGTAAATCAGGAATTGATGTCAGCAAGTATTTACAAACAATACATGTACAATTATTTCTTCATTTTACTGAATGTCAGTTGTGTACCAGGACTTTCTTAGTGTATATCTAGTCATAAATTATAGTATTTAATGATATCTTTTAATACTCTTTAGAGCTAAGTAGACTCTACTTAATTGCATACCTGTTAATTAAGAATTCATATATTTGCATAAGAATTCAAAACACATATCCATTTCCTGTCTCTTGCATATCAGATGTTATTTTATTGTATAAGAACATTTATTCTTTTATGAGGGTCTGAATGGGTGTTCTGAAGTTCTGTATTCTTTAAATTTTTAGGGCATTTTTCTTTATCTTAAAAAGAAATAACACTTATTATGACCTGTCAAATTCTCATGAAATTGATTGCGCTTTTATATTTTCATGTAATTTAGTGATTTCTTTATTCTGTACATTGCTCATTTCTGTAATCAGTAATGTATTACCTGTTATTTTACATAGTTATTCTTTATACCTATGCACCCAATTATTCTCCATACTTTATATTTTTTGCTAATTTTTCTCTATTCATTATTTTTTTTTGCAATTATTCTCTATCCTGTAAACCCCATTTGTATAAACATATCTACAAAAGGAACACGAGTTTACCTTTATACTTATCAAAAATGAGGTAACCAGCAGTGTTTTCCCAACATACTGTGGATTCGTGATATTTGTAGAGTACCACTTTTCTTAGATTTTATTGGTATAGGTAAACCATAAAATTTACTTTTCAAAGAAGTATACGTTTCCTATAAGCTTGTATGCAAACTTTGGTAAAACCATGAAATTGTGTATCCAAAATATACAATCGTATCCCCATATGACATAAATTGGTACCACCAAAATGATTATATTCACAGTATTTCTTTTAGCATCCTGGTCAACAGAGAATTCCGAAATACTACTGTAAATTTTCAAAATTAATGTGAGGTTTTTATAATGTGAATATTAAATATGACAGGGGGAGTACCACAATAATAAGAACTCGCATTCTGAAATCTTATACATATATCTCTATGCTGATTTTCCTGAAATCGCAACAATAAATCTCATTTTTTTGGTCAAAAATCGTGATAATAAATGCACACAATAATTTCTGAATTTACAATATCTGTTTCTATATATAAAGCATCACATTCATAAAACAACCTTTAAGAAAAATTATCTTAGATAACATCACATTCAAGCAATAAAGTATCACATTACCTTGATGCTGAAAGGCCATATATAGGGACAACACTGAAGCTTGCTTAATTGTGTTTTTACAAGAATATATTTTTATATTACTGGTTATTTGTTGCCTTGTCTTTCTTTTTCATTAATGTCTCAAGTAAAATAATGAAAATTTCACTATCATTCCAGTTTAAAAAGTTACTATAAGAGTTATCTCCCCTTATATTGCCAAGTTGAAAAATTGCATTGAACAAAAAAAATAATTCAATAAATCACTTATATTCGTTATTTAAACTAACAGTCTTCCACATTTATTGCCAATATTTGCAGATTCAAGCAAAGACCTAGCCTGATTGTGTCCTGCTATTTAACAATCCAAGATGGCGTACCTTAACAATATGCTGTGGATTCATTGTTATTCGTGGGATAACAATTTTCGTGGATTTCACATAGGTAAAAGAAAACCATTAATTTCAATGTTTTAGGAAGTACAAATTTTCTATAGGCTTGTATGCAGACTTTGCCAAAACCATGAAATCAAATATCAACGAAAAATACAATTTTTCCTCAATCCACGAAAATTGGTACCCATGAAATTAAATGAATCCAAAGTACCTACAAATCTTGTAAACAAAATGTAGAAGATTACATTTATATCTCATTGCATCCATTTTTCTGTTACTTATACAGTGAAACCTGTCTAAACCAAATCTTGCATAAACCAAAAACCTGGCTAAACCAAACATGTTCTTAAACTCAGTCATATCAAATTGTATGCGTTGTGAACATGACCATACCAGACATCTGCCAAAACCGAACAAAATCTTAAAGTGGTTCCGTTTAGAAAGGTTTCACTATATTTGCATATTTCCTCTGAGTTTGGCCTATGCAGTAACAAAAATGAGAGGAACTCACAGTACATGTTTTACAGAGCTGAGAGTTTAAATTGAGTAATAATAGGATTGGATGCTGTGTTATGTGTAATGTTCCACAAAACCTGTTAACTAAAATATTTATAAAAATGCAGATTGTCAAAATTTGAATTTAAATTCCAGAGAGCTGGGACTTCAATAGATAAATGTATTAGTAGTCCTAGCCTAGTTGTAAATTGATAGCTATTATAATGTACTGGATACAATGGTAGAGTTTGTTTCTCTGATGAATGGGGAACAGTTGATTTATTTTATTACACTATTTTTCATTTTAAGATGTTATTAGTAAGTTATTCATTAATAGATATTTACTTTTAATGTTAAAAATACTCCTTTACTCATATTTACATTTTAACATAATTTCAAGTTGAGAATCTGAAAACTAGAGAAAAGTTTTATCAGTGGCGGATCGGGGGATTGGACCCCCCCCCTTTTTTGACGATCAATGCTTTTGAATGAAGACATATGGTTGAAACCCCCTTTTATCCTGGGTTGGATGGTCAGGTTGTTGTCTCTTTTACACATTCCCCATTTCCATTCTCAATTTTATTGGACCCCCCCCCCCCTTTTAAAAATGGCTGGATCCGCCACTGATTATGCTTATGTTGTAGTTGAAAGTACAAACAATATTATGTAATTGCATTAGGAAACTTAACCATTTTGTCATTATTAATAAATTTTTATTGTAAAACTTCATAATTTAAACTTAAGACAAATCATGTAGTATTATATTGTACTTGGTGCTATTACTGTAAATTCAGAAACATTTGCTATTTTTTTGTTATTACAAAAATTGCCACAGTATAGGTTTCCCAAAAATAAGAACTGGCATTTTAAAATTTTGAAAGCACTATTTGTATGCAAAATTACCTGAAATCACAATATTTAATGTTGCATTTAGGTCAATTGTTAAACAGTCAGAAATTTCTGAATTAACAGTATATCGTGATAGTAGTAATTTTTTGTTTGTTAATTATACAGATATTAAATTGTATGTTTATTTGATATGTAAGGCAAGATACATGTACCGGTACAATGGTCAAAGCCTTTGTTATTCATCGTAGTGTTCAGATTGAAAAAAAAAATTGTTAAGAAGAAGGTACTTTTTTTGGGCGAAATGGTCTTTAATTCAACAAATGCAATGATGGAAGCCTTTGTTGTTCATTGTAGTGTTCAGATGAAAAAAAAATGGCTAAGGAGTAGATACTTTCTTGCGGACATAGTGGTCTTTGATTCAGTACACATTACAAAAATAAATTAGAAATCCAGTTTTACATAGCCACATTGTATTCAGTTGTTTTAACAAAAAAAAGCTATAACCCTAAGCTTACACTTAATAGTCTATTTGCCAATTCAGTAATTGACCCTGTAATTAGAGATCTATTTTATAAGTTGCTTTTCTTAGTACGGAGTACGGACATATATTTTCATTGACAATGATGAACTATCAGAAATACCAAATTAATATGTACATAATGTGAGTAATCTCGAAGTTTTAAAAATCTATTTCATCCATTAAATCTTATAATTTTTTAACTAAAATCAATAGTTATTTTTTATTAAAACTTAATTAAAACGCCTATATATCACTTTCAACTTATAATGCTTAGTACAGGCAGCAGCCCATTTTTTCTGGTATAGAACCAGTCTACAATTGGCAAAGGGAAACAACCTGTGTTAAAAGTGTGTAATAACAGAATCAAAACTGTAATTGGCAAATAGACTATTTTACAAACAAATTTATTACCTTACATCATATTGTAATTATTTGATTGGCTAATACCGAATCACGTGTCATAGTTTAATTTCGATGTTTTTTCCAAAAATTGGCAGGGGCAGTGTACATACGAGAAATATTTATAGACACAAAATAGTTTTCTAACGTAAGTGTTTTGACAGTCTGTTACAATATTTTACTTTTAATTGTAATTTGTTCGTTTGGTATAAGTTATGGCCTATTGAGTTAGTGAATATCCAAAATTGTCAACCCAAGTAAGGGTTGACAATTTTGGATATTCACCTCCTCAGCAGGCCATAATTGTATAATGATTTAAGGTTAATTTTATGAAATTTCAGGATGCATGTACACAAGGTCAATAGTACACCAGAGTATTTTCCCTTTAAAGTCTATTTAGAATATATTATTTATTTAAGAATATCTGTGATGAGAGAAAATTGTTGAATAAATTTTTTTAAATTGTTATTCTGTTCTTCATTATACATTGTATTGAGATAAAGTTGTTGAATAAACATGCTTTCAAGATATTACAGGTTTTAACAAACAAAAATAATCTTTGAAGACAAGGGGACAATTTTGAATAAATGTATAGAGGAAAAATATCCAAACTTACAAGGAACAGTGTAGAAATAATAACTCTCATCTATTACAGCAAGCAACCCACCTCGATATTCCACATTATCGCTATTTTATGAAATTTTCCTTTGATCTTGCTGACTGATAATTTCCTTTCTCAGCGGAGTCGAGTGATATGAAAAATTATCGCTAGAAACTAAGGGGGCACGTGGCGTTGCTAATGAAATTGACATGAAATTGACAACGTCGTCATAGGTAAAATAGCGATAAACAGATTATCATTATCAATATTTTCCATCTCAAACAACTCATATGAGAATGGTTTTCTGTCGAGAAGTGCGAGAAAATGTGACATCATTATACCAAGTCATTAACTTTGCCTAGGTAAATAGTGATTAATAGATTATCTATATGGTCTTTCAACTAAAACCATTGATTATTTATACAAGAGTGCACACGCTGAAATGTCTCACCTACTATACTGACCATTGATTTTATGTTGATACCCCTAAATATAAAGTTTTACTATAAGTATCACATTAACATTTATGATCCAAGAAAATGAGGTCAAGGTCAGATAAACCAAGCCGGAAATACATGTACACCTTTAATACAATCATTCCATACACGGAATATAGATGACCTATTGCTTATAGTATAAAAGAAACAGACCAACCATGGAAATTTTATATTGACCAATGAATTATGAAAATGAGATGAAGGTCAGATGAACCCTGCCAGACCAACATGTGCACCTTAAAATCATTCCATGCACAAAATATAGTTGACCTATTGCTTATAGTATCTAAGAAACAAAGTTAACCAGGAAAACTGAACATTGACCAATGAACCATAAGAATGAGGTCAAGGTCAAATAAAACCTACCAGACTGACATGTACTTCGTAAAATATTTCCATACACCAAATATAGTTGACCTATTGCATACAGTATTATAAAAACAGACCAAAACACAAACAAGATCGCACACGCTGAAATGTCTCGCCTTCTTTACTGACCATTGATTTTATGTTGATAGTCCTAAATATAAAGCTTTACTAAAAGTATCACATAAACTTAACATGATCCAAGAAAATGAGGTCAAGGTCAGATAAACCAAACCGGAAATACATGTACACCTTACAATCATTCAATACACCAAATATAGTTGACCTATTTCTTATAGATTCTAAGAAACAGACTTAAACAGGAAAACTAAACATTGACCAATGAACCATGAAAATAAGGTCAAGGTCAGATGAACCATGCCAGACAAACTTGTACACCTTAAAATCAATATATGCATTAAATATAGTTGACCTATTGCTTATAGTATCTAAGAAACAAACTTAATCAGGAAATCTTAACAATGACCAATGAACCATGAAAATGAGGTCAAGGTCAGATGATACCTACCAGACAGACATATACACCTTACAATCATTCCATACAACAAATATAGTTGACCTATTGGTTATAGTTTAAGAAAAACAGACCAAATCACAAAAACTAAACACTGAGCAATGAACCATGAAAATGAGGTCAAGGTCAATTAAAACCTGCCAGACTGACATGTACATTGTAAAATATTTCCATACACCAAATATAGTTGACCTATTGCATATAGTATTAGAAAAAAAAGACCAAAACACAAAAACTTAACTTTAACAACTGAACCATGAAAATGAGGTCAAGGTCACATGACACCTGCCAGTTGGACATGTACTACATCTTCCATAGACCAAATATAGAGGACCTATTGCTTAAAGTATCTGATATATGGACTTGACCACGAAAACTTAATCTTGTTCACTGATCCATGAAATGAGGTCGAGGTCAGATGAAAACTGTCTGACAGGCATGAGGACCTTGATAGGTACGCACATACCAAATTTAGTTATCCTATTACTCATAATAAGAGAGAAATTAACATTTTCAAGTAGTCACTGAACCATGAAATTGAGGTCAAGGACAATGGACATATGACAGATGGAAACTTCATATCATAAGGCATCTGTATACAAAGTATGAAGCATCCAGGTCTTCTACCTTCTGAAATATTAAGCTTTTAAGAAGTACACGTACACTTGAACTCTCTCTTCAAAGTTCTTTTCAACTTTTCCTTCAAGGCACTGGTTTCCTTTCAAGACTTGTGCCGGTATTTAGCTTTAGATGGAGTAGAATTGACTTCTGGGACACTTGGTGTTGATCAGATATTATTGAACTGTTCTTTTCAACTTCCCTCATGGTACTTGTCAGCTATCAGACTCGTGCCCGTATTTAGCTTTAGATGGAGTAGAATTGATTTCAGGGATATTTTGTGTTAATCACACGGCAAAGCTACCAATAGAAGAGGAGGCAAAGGATTTCAAACTCCAACTTCTGTATCTGCAGTTTACTTCAGAATACATATGTGTGCAATAAACAAGTATCTGGTTACCTCTGTTACTTTAAAATGTATTGTAAACTTTGTACATGACAGCTTTTATTCCATACAGATTCTTGATAAAGCATATGGAAAATCATATTTCTGTTTGTTTTTTCCCCAAGATGAACAAATAGAACTAATACACACATGTAGGACCTATAGTTGCCTACATCCACATCATTTAGACCAGTAGATAGTTGTCTCATTGGCAATCATACCACATCTCCTTATTTTAAAAAAAATTGGTGAATGGAAATGGTCTTTGATATATTCCCCCTTTTTCTCAAAATACCATCATGACATCAATAACTTGAATATTTCCCAATGTGAACACAAACAATCATGCTGTCACAGTATTATATGAGAAGGTGTTATCCCTAATTCCTTGAAAAATAAACACTGAATCCAAAAATTCATAAAAATAAAGCATTCTTTCTTGGATCCCAAAAAGTTAAACATTAATTCACGAGATCCATTAAGTGTAAATCCTGAATTCTTTCAAGGCTAAATCCAAACTTCCTGAATAAGATCCTCCTGTTACTCTTATAACAGCCTGATCTTATGAATTCAGTAAGTAATGTACTGATATAAATGCTTAGCTTATATATGATCCATTATAAACTGATTTATGCTTTATTAAATATACATTTTATATACATTGTATATATATACATAGTCTTTCTAACCACAATTTGAACACAACTTAGGTTTTAAGGATTCTGATTTGTTCAACAGTTCATAAATTATTTGTATAATCATTATCATACTAATTGTTTTTTTCATGATTTTCAAAATTCAGTAATAAAAACAAGCACTGTTTCAAAAACTACTTCTGTCAATTGCCCGGCCACTGAGAACTTCTCATATCATTTTCCAATGTTATGTATGATCTGTCTTTAGAATTTGAGAGCAAATCCTGGTCCAACTGCTGACACACCGCTAGAAGCATTGGTTAAATGGAATCCTATGGCATTGTCATCATCGTCACCCTGAAATTAAAACAATTGATAGATGCTGTTGTCATTACGATACTTTTTTTCATTGAAATGATGCAATTTTGAGGGTTATGATGACACAAATTCTCACGCTTCAATATACTTATGATTTAAAGATCTATTACTGTAAATCAAGAAATTTATGCATTGTTTTTAATAGTGTAAAAATTGCAACAGGATAGGCTACCTAATAAACTGCTTCGCTGAGCACAGCTAGATACGCCCGCAGAGGTCCAACCCTGAACAGTTGGGGCAAAAATGGACACAATATTCAAGCTTGATTCAGGTCTGAATTTGGATTGTAATTAAATATTTGACATATTATAGGTTTCTGAATAAATGTAGTCAAAGAACTTGAAATTGGTTATATGAATTGAATTTATATTCAATTAAAGATTTCTTGCTGTTGTGCAATACTTAATAAATCTGTTGTCAGACTATAAACAAATAAAGTTCAATTAATTCTCAATGTCATTTTAGAAATTTATGAAAATAAAAAGGGAGCTTACATCAATAAATATAAACAATTCACCAAAGTTTCATGAGAATTGGTGACAGAATTTTTGAGTTATTGTCCGAAAATTGGAAAATCACCCCTTTTTTTAATGAATAAAACCCCATAACTCAGAAATGTAAAATGTAAAATTTATAAAATTCTAAAGGGAGCTTACATCAATACATACAAATAATTCACTAAAGTTTCATAAGAATCGCTGAAAGCATTTTTGAGTTTTTGTCCGAAAACTGGAAAATCCCCCCTTTTTTTATGAATAAAACCCTGTAACTCGGAAACGTAAAATCTAAAATTTATAAAAATCTAAAGGGAGCTCATGTCAATAGATATACACAATTCACCACAATTTCTTGCAAGTTGGTGAAAGCATTCTTGACTTTTTGTCCGAAAACTGGAAAATCCCCCTTTTTTTAATGAATAAAACCCCATAACTCGGAAACGTAAAATCTAAAATTTATAAAAAAAGAAAGGGAGCTCACGTCAATAGATATAAATTCACCAAAAGTTTTATGCAAATTGGTTAAAGCATTTTTGAGTTAATGTCTGACATGTTGACGACGGACGGACAGACGGACGGACGGACAACGGTATACCATAATACGTCCCATAAACGGGCGTATAAAAATAGAATTCCTCACATTTTGAATTTTGATAGCATTACCTGAAATTGTAATAATCAACCTCCCATTTTTGTCAAGTTCAAAAATTGTAATAATAAATGATCACAAAAATTTCTGAATTTACAGAATAAATTGAAAACGAGTGTTATTGTGTACATTTATTCATGATACAAAATCCCCTAGAGCTACTTGGCAAAATTCAAAGCAAAGGAACATCACTTTTATTGCTATTCTTCATATTGCACTTCACTGTATAATAAAGATGGCCCCTAGCACTGATTCATTAAAGCAGATATCTTTGCTAGACATTAATACTCTACATCTGACCATTTACAGCAGAATGCATTGAGTGTGTAGGTAAAGGTAATCTCTTTGGTTAGCTTGCTTGTTAGCTGAACCGTGAAGTCATTATTAGGTTAGGTAAACTACCCTCCTTTAAGAGTAGACTAGTCCGACCGATAACCAATCTATCTGTCTGTAGGACTATACTACTCTGAAAGGAGGGTAGTATACCTAACCTAATAATGACTTCACAGTTCAGCTAACAAGCAAGCTAACCAAAGATTCTACATACACCTACTCACTCAATGCATTCTGCTGTAATAATTACACAAATACAAATATTATCAACAAAATAAATTATATACTTTTAATAAATGGTAATGAAATATAATAAAAACTTATAAGTAGACTCTTTATAGCAAGCACAGAGTTTATACTTACCAATAATTTGTTGTAAGCTTTGCCACCAGATGGCGGTTTAGGTGAGTTTTGATGTTTCCTTGGCTGTTCACTCTTAGCAGGCCACGTTGGGAACATTGAAGGGTCTATGGGTTCTGGGGATTCTTTGAAGTATTCCACCTTCATTGCTTCTTCTGCTGTTATTCGTTTTGTTGGACTGTATGTCAGAAATCTGTAATCAAACAATCATTAACTTTTTGTCTAGATTTTAATATCCTTTTCTATATTGCTTTGCCGCTTTGGTTGTTTTATATCATTGCACATCAATCTATGAAAACGGGTATAATTACCATGCAGTACGTGTTTTGCTCATTATTGAAGGCTGTATCGTGTCCTGTAGTTGTTAACTTCTATGTCTTTTGGTCTATAGTGGACAGTCGTCTCATTGGCAATTTTACCATATTTTCTTCTTTTTATACCAACAAAAATTACAGAATCCACAGTAATTTGATATATTTAGTATGTAGATATAAGAAGATGTGGTATGAGTGCCAATGAGACAACTCTCCATCCAAGTCAAAATTTTATAAAAGTAAACAATTATAGGTCAAAGTACGGTCTTCAACACGGAGCCTTAGCTCACACCGAACAGTAAGCTATAAAGGGCCCCAAAAATTACTAGTGTAAAACCATTCAAACGGGAAAACCAACGGTCTAATCTATATAAAAAATATCTTTATTTCCACAACTTTATAATCATATGGAATGTTTCAATGTGTGCTTTTATAATTACTATCTGACTATGCCTAAGCTATTAATTTTACATTTGAAATCTTACATCCATCCTGTAAAATTTTTTTTTTAAAGAAAACACTAGATGATGTAGATAGTGTGGAACGATACTTCACCATAATGATGCCCAATTTCCTAATTTCAAAACTGTAACGTTATTATGGCAACCCTAATGTGTTTTGTTTCATAATCTGCCATTTAAACTACAACACTATTCTGTAGTGGAAATCCCCTCTTTTCAAAATTAGGAAATATAATTTTCCACCTAAAATATAGTCTGATTTGAGTAATCAGTATAAAAACTTCCACAGATTTATTGCTTTGTATGAACATTGTATCGTTCATTTGGTACAGGCCATTAGCAATAAAACTTTGTAAACTATAGTAATAAACTGACCTATTTAGTAAATTAAAACCAGCATCAGAAAGGTAAGATCCAAATTTCTGCCGTAATGTATTATATGGATGGTCAGCAAAACTACCAAATGACAATTTTTTTATCGCAGGAAGTTCATTGTAGCCTGGCCATATCTTCTCACTAGGTGTCCCCAAATCCTGAAAATAAATGCTCATTGTAAATTGACATTGAATTTGAATTTTTTGGGTTTAAGCTTTTGTAAATAAATTTTGTCATGAAATGACCTGGTGACTACACACATTGTTTGTACAAGTTGTAAAAGTGCTTACTGTAGTTCATTTTATGAATAATGGATAATGTTACAAAGGGTTGCATGTGTAATGTGTTTGCAAGTTTCTGTATTTTATCAGATGTATTTAGGGCAAAGTTGTTGGGTCAGAATTGGATAAGGTTATCAAGGACATGCTACCATACTATAAGCTAGCTATTAATAGCAGATACTGTTTAACACATTTTCCTGCTGAAAACCTGTAGTTGGGATGCCTTTTGTGCAAACAGATGTGAATGCACCCTTTGATCATCTCTTATTTCATATCAGTTCTGGAAATCTATGAATTTGGTAACAAATTAATTAACTGAACCATTCACGAATTCGTTAACTTCAGTGTTTATTTTTGGTTTTGGAATTTATAAATAAATATGAAAATGATATGGATTTTGGAACATTTGACATGTTTAATCAATCAGTTTTTATCAACCCCGTAGATAGATTTTAATTTTACCAGGCAGAATTCTAGAAATTCGTCTGTAGTTCTGTCTGAAACTACATATGTATTCCCAGCATGCTGTTTTTTATCTATAAATGCCAAAACCAAATAAACACTGAAGTTACGAATTCGTTAATGGTTCAGTTGATTAATTCGGTAACGGTTACCTGATTCGTTAACGTTACCTTATTCGGAGATTTCCAGAACTGATATTTGTTTGTGCATGAATTCACCTTTGTAACATTCATTGGAAAAGATTACAAATGTGTAAATGGTGTTTTCAATAATTATTTTTTTTTACATTCAATGAAAAATTTATGACCTTTTCAGTATTATATGCTTTATCACAAATTATGTAAAAGGAAAAGCTGAAGTGCATTCACCATCTAAATAATAAAATTACATGGCTGCTTACATATTTATCTTAAACTCACCTTAAAAATTCTATTAAGTTGATCAATATCTGATTTCCCAGACCATAAAGCTTTCATCATTAAAAACTCTGCAAATATACACCCCACAGACCACATATCTATAGGTGTGGAATATTCCTAAAAATAAATCATAAAATATACTGTAAATTCAGAAATTATTGCGAGGTTTTTATTAATGCGAATAATGCGACTCCACAAGTATCGCAATAATCAGAACTGGCATTCTGAAATCTGGTGCACATATCTGTATGCAGATGTTTCTGAAATCGCAATAATTAATCTCGCATTTTTGTCCATTCGTCTAAAATCGCAATAATAAATGCACGCAATAATTTTCGAATTTACAGTAATTAAATGTATGCCAAAAAAGGAATATATGAGATACCTTACTGACCATCATGATAAGGGATAACACTTTTTTTACAGCAATGATTCATTTAAGGTGGTACCAAACACCTTGACTAAAATTAATTTGGTTCGTTTAATTTTCATAAAATTTTGACAAAATATTTACTTTGACCCTTTGAAAAAAATATAAAAATTTCAAAAAACTTGAATGACACACTTTATCGGAAAATTTCATTGGATATATAGCAATTTGACAAACACTTACTTTGATCATTAAGAAGCTTAATATTTCCTTAACAATAGAACGTGATTAAAACGTTCAGCTGATTTTTGCAGAGTTATCTCCCTGTAGTGTTATGTACCACCTTAAAAGTACTATGGCAAGTAGTACAACTTTTGATTCAAAGATATCTGCATATATGTAAAAATAAAATGCTCCGCTGGGGCGCAGCTTGATACGACGGCAGAGGTCGAACCCTGAACAGTTGGGGCAAGTATGGACACAACATTCAAGCTTGATACAGCACTGAATTTGGATTGTAATTAAATATTTGACACAGCATAAGTTTCTCACACAGAATGAAAGTGGTCTAAGAAATTAAAAATTTTTAATTTACCTATTCAAACCATATCATTATTATTTGCTTTTATATATAAATCAGAAATAACCAATTTAAAATGGAAAATTTTAAAGAAAAAAAAAGGAAAAAAAAATCCCCCCCAATTTTTTGAACCCCCTTATGATTCATCACCCCCAAACTCAATCCCAGCTTTCATTTTGTGGTATTGTACCTTGCAGTACAATTTCAGAGAGATCCATACACTTGAACACAAGCTATTGTCTGGAAACTAGAAAAATGCTTGTTTTTTGGCCCCAAATTCCTAAACGTTTAGGGCAATTACCCCCAAACTCAAACCCAGCTTTCCCTTTGTGATATTGAACCTTGCAGTACAATTTCATAAAGATCCATACACTTACACACAAGTTATAGTCCTGAAACTAGAAAATGCTTGTTTTTTTGCCCTTTTATGGCCCCTAATTACTAAAATTTTGAGGCAATTACCCCAAAAATCAATCCCAGCCTTCCCTTTGTGGTATGGTACCTTGCAGTACAATTTCAGAGAGATCCATACATTTGAACACAAGTTATTGTCTGGAAACTAGAAAAATGCTTATTTTTGGCCCCTTTTTGGCCCCTTATTCCTAAACTTTTATGGCAATTACCCCCAAACTCAATTCCAGCTTACCCTTTGTGATATGAAACCTTGTAGTACAATTTCATAAAGATCCATACACTTACACACAAGTTATTGTCATGAAACTAGAAAAATGCTTGTTTTTTGCCCCTTTTTGGCCCCTAATTCCTAAAAGTTTGAGGCAATTACCCCCAAAATCAATCCCAGCATTCCCTTTGTGATATGGAACCTTGTGGTACAATGTCAGAGAGATCCATACACTTACACACAAGTTATGTCTGGAAGTTACAAAAAAGCTTATTTTTGGCCCCTTTTTGCCCCCTAATTCCTTAACTGTGGGTACCATAACCCCCAAAATCAATCCCCACCTTCATTTTGTGGTATTGAACCTTATGGTAAAATTTCATTGAGATCCATTCACTTAAACTAAAGTTAGAGTGCGAAAACTAATGTGTCTTCGGATGACGACGACGCCATCATACCAATATACGACCACAAAAATTTTTTTGCGGTCGTATAAAAAAGATGTGGTATGATTGCCAATGAGACAAATCTTCACAAGAAACCAAATGGCACAGAAATTAACAACTATAGGTCACTGTACGGCCTTCAACAATGAGCAAAGCCCATACCGCACAGTCAGCTATAAAAGGCCCCGAAATGACAATGTCAAACAATTCAAACGAGAAACTAATGGCTTATTTTATGTACAAGAAGTGAACAAAAAACAAATATGTAACACACAAACAGTCAATTCCACAGTTGGTGGTCAGAAACATTAATTGGCGACAACATTGCACAATTGCAGAACTTTTGACTTTTTCAGGATATTTTAAAACTTTACAAATCTTGCAATAGAAAATATCAATTGAATGACAGTATTGTATTTGATGAGTCATCACTATTAATTTGTGTTTTGATTGTCAAAACATATAAGTGTTCTTGGCTCTGCTCAGCATCATCAGTAAAACTGCATTTGCAAGTGTCAAATCCCCAATTCATGACAGCAACTCATTAAATATAGTATTGTAATTCCAAAATTTAAAATTAGATTTTCAATGACACTATATCAAAAATGAAATGAAAATCATATTATTACAATTAACTTCAATTTAGGTAATAGATGTAAAACTAAGATAAAAAAAAAAACACAAGGGCACTACAACAGGAGATATCTTTTTTTAAAATTTACCTTAATGCCAAGTAAAAGTTCAGGAGCTCTGTACCACAGTGTTACTACAACAGGGGTGTAATGTTTTAATGGTTCTCCATACTCTCTTGCTAATCCAAAATCTCCTATCTGAAAACCAAAATATATCAATATGACATTAATTTAGGGTTAAAATGTTGACAGACTATATCAAAACCTAATGCAGAAAGGTTTAAGCAATAGTGGTTTTCAAACAATCATAACTTCTATTCATAAAAAGATTAATTTACTTAAACATTAAAACTTTAAATTAAACATGATAAAACTGCTTTGCTTAATTTGATGCAATTATATAACTTTATATATTTCAGAGGGTTGTTTAGTCAATTCTATTAAAATTGAACAAACATATCAAACAAATTGATGAAAATATTATTCACTCACTTTTAGTATACCCTTGTGACTCAGTAATAAATTGGATGTTTTTAAATCTCTGTGTATTATCCAGTTGTCATGGAGATGAGCAACACCTAGCAACAACTGCTTCAACAATGTTTTAACTTCACCTGGAAAAAAATTCAAACACTTCAACATAACACATGTATATATGTACAATAACAAAAACCAACAAACTAACTATATTATTTTTTAGGGTACTCTTGATTTAGCTAAAACACATAAGTATTAATGTAGCCTGTTTATAACAAAATAGCTAGTTGACAGTCTTTGAGATATTAAAAAATGTATTACATATATATGATCATGAAAAAACCTTAACTTTCAAAACTTTAGAAATAATTTCCATGGGTAACAATTTTCTGTGAATTGAGAAAAACTTGTGTTTTTATGGCTTTTGTTTCTCATGGTTTTGCCAAGGTCTTCATACCATCCTAGAAGAAATTCGTGTTTCGTTGATAATTTAAATTCATGGTTTACAATAACACTCAAATCCATAAAAGTTGACATACCAGGGAAATAATGAATCCCCAGTATCATGACCCCCATCAGCTATACAATTGTCACATGTAAACCTAATATCATTGATTCTATAATCCATATATACAAATCCTTAAGGAATCTGAGAAGCTGACCCAAGCAACAAAACTTAACACAGATTTTTGAACCAGGCGATTGAGGACAAGGTTACCTGCAGGTAATTATAACCTCTGTCACACGTTTCAATGACATCATCTCCATTATATGGGAATACATGTATGTCGGACACTACTATGGACATTTAAGAATTTACACTGAATAATATGCTTTATAAGATGCATATTTTAGTATAAACATATGTGTATCTTACGATAACGTTCATCTGGTTCGGGCATTTCGAACATCCCTTAAATTTATCTTCCATCGTATATTTTGAACAGATATATCATGTTATGGAGGGGTATTTGCGAAAAATACCAGTCACGGGACTGTTAAATTTCCCGAGCCGCTAGGCGAGGGAAATTCAGTCACAAGACTGGTATTTTTCGCAAATACCCCTCCATATATAACATGATATATCTGTTTAATTACACCGAATAGATTTGGATTGAAACTAATTCATTAACATGTTTATGCATAATTTTGAGGATAAGAGGATATTATCATAGAACCGCGGGAATTATACATGTACTAATATGCGTTAGCTAGCTTTTTTATGTAACGTCATATCTGAAAAATTTTGGCGGGAAAATTCTCGAGAGGGTAAAAAAGGAATATCCAAAAATGGCAAATACAATGGTATTTGAGTCAAATTCACCGGCAGTTGTGAAAAACAGGCAAATTCGTTTGAAATGAGGAAAAAATATTAGAATATGCGAAAAATACACTGGCTATCAACCAATCAAAATCTGGCTTTCTTATATAAGGTGTAATTACTTCTCAAAACATTGTTAAAAACGTAAAACTCCAGTAAAGTATGAGTAATCATAAAACGCATATGTTTCAATATGGCGTCGAGAGAAAACTGAAGAGTTGACACAAGGGAGATAACTGGAGGTATTATCTTATTTACACTAGAAAACTCTACGTATGTATGGGGAAATAGAGGGAAATTGCAAATAGTTAAGGAGGCAGATAAGTGGAAATATTGCAGTGAACATATGTGTATCTTTCTACAATTATTTCATCTCATAATGTACATATACGTTAGTTCAGGTGGTATGTTTATGCAGTCTTATTTGTGTTTTAGTAAACTATTATCAGGTCTATTTTTTAGATACTAACCGACTAAGAAAGGTTGTTTCATAGTCTCCATTAAACTCTTCAGATCATGTTCTACATAGTCCATAACTATATATATCTTGTCCATATTACTACCCACTACAATCTCCTGAAATGACATAAAAAAATTCTGAATTTATAAGAGTAAAATTAACCAAAGGCTAAACAGATCTTTTCATAATTATATACAGGCATGCTAATTATCTGCTATGGACAGGGCAGTGCTGTATTTTTCTGATGACAATCTGACTGACTACAAATAAATCCTGATATAAATTTTTTTATTGTTCTGTTACTCAAAAATTAAACCAGATGATTTGACTATAAAAGTTAATGACTAATTAAAGGTTACTTTTTGACCAAAAGAAGATGTTTCCCAGATTTCTATCTACTGCTATCTAAGATTACAAAGAGAAGTAATTTTACAAAGAATGATTCAATCCTCAAAAAGCTTTTGAAATGCAAAAAGCAAACCAACTAATTTTCAAAGAAATTACTTATTTGGTGACTTTCACTATTAAATTCAATAAGAATAATATAAATAGTCACAAGTCTGTCAAACTTGGATATTTTTTAATATGATTACAATGCAGCAACATAAGAAAATAGTGAGAGTATATCACAATTACGTAAGCTAGAGAGAACTAAACCCAAAAACAAATATCAGCAAATTAAGTCTTGAATTCCCAGAAAAATAAACGTTTTTAAATAATTCTAAATTCCAGAAAAATTAAAGCAACCCCAAAAATTATTTATTAATTCCTGATTAGTGTAAATCCTAAATTCTTGCAAAATAATGGTCCAATACTGTTGTCCATAAAATAGTTTATCCTCCATTTTATTTTATGTTGCAATTTTGTCATTCTTTCCATTTGTAATTAATGATTGGAAAAGTGTGCATGTGTTTGTACAGGCTAGAAAAAATATATTTCAAAGATTGCCTACTGGTATTAACTGTTGATCATTCTTCAATCCCCTTTCTAAATCTTACGTTTACTATTACTTACCCTGACAGTAACTATGTTTACATGTTGAGCCTTCAGTAGTGTGTTTATTTCTCTCAGTGATGTGATTGGAAAACCCTCCTTTTCTTTCTCCATCTTTAATCTCTTCAAGGCAACAATGTCATCTGTAACAGATCAAACAAGTAAAACTGTGAGCTACTGCTCACTGATGATACCCCCGCCGAAATATTTCGGTTAAAAGGAAGTTGTTGAGTGATGAATCTGAAAACGCATCACACGGCATAGCTGACTTATATAAACCCTGAAACCAAATTTCAGAAATCCTTGTCAAATAGTTCCTGAGAAAAATGTGACGAAAATTTTCAACTTGGCAATCATGTGTAAAATAATACAAGTGTTTGGTAAACAGGAAGTTGTTGAGTGATGAATCTGAAAACGCATCACACGGCATAGCTGACTTATATAAACCCTGAAACCAAATTTCAGAAATCCTTGTCAAGTAGTTCCTGAGAAAAATGCTACGAAAATATTTATGGGAAGGACGGACTAACGGACTGATGGATGGACTGACGGAAGGACAGACAGAGGTAAAACATTATACCCCCCTTTTTTAAAGCGGGGGTATAAATATCTTTAAATATTACAAAATAATTTAATCAGGAAAAATGAATTAAGTGTTTTGGCTACTCATTTAAGCAGGGTCTGACACTTACGGTTGTCCGATTGCCCGGGGCAAGTTAATGCCATATTCGGACAAGTAAAAACATCATCTTGGTTGTCCGATCAGGCAAGTGAAAAAAAAAAGTGTTATATGATTAAAATTTCACAAAATCAATAGTGTCTGTTGTTTTGTCCATAGATTACTCAGTGATAACACCGCACGGTCAAGTAAAGTGGTCTTAACCCCCCTTCAATGCGTTTATTTGGTCATTTGTTCACACTGAATTCCCCATTTTACCAAAAATAGATCATGTTTAAAAATATTGGCCAATCAGGCGGCCGTTGCTTCGTCATTATCATTATTAATCGGGACACCACTCTGGCTTTTCAGACGCACATGTTATTCCCACGGACCAATGGAAAGTGGAGGTCTATTTTCGTTGTTCAAATTTTAGAATTTGACATCGGATGTGTATTTCCCTAAGATGGAAAAATGTAAAAGCTTGAAAGCGAAAATGTAATTAAACTTTAATAAATTTGTCAGTTGTTGTCAGTTTATCAAGAAGGGTTTTTTGAAATGGCATTTCTTAGATAAATTATTATGAAATAAGTATCTCTATGTAAATGATCCAATTCCCGTATATTGTCGATCTTTTCCCTCCCTCCTTCTTGACTTCATGATAAATGTGGTTTAAAACATTAACAATAAAAACTTGCAGTTGTACACTACTACTCCTAGTACTCCATTTATGTGTATAATTTTGAAATGACTCAGAAAACTGAATGATAGTTTGATCTAAAAATTAACTCAGTGACTAATTGTGTCAATCATAAGATTACTCCAAATGTTATTATATTTGAAAATGTATGGTTCATTAAATTGTTTCAAAGTTTAAATTATATTCTCGATTCAACTTAATTAAAAAATCAGTTCATGACACATCATGCATGGCATTGACAAAGTCTTAGTCTTCTTGAGTTGAAATTCTGGTAAGTAGACAGCTGGGATTCTGGAAATATTATTGACTTCTCAATTCATCATGATCAATATTCATACTCCATAATCAATTTACATCCCATATACATGAAAACTAGTATATTTTATCTGCATGTACTACATTACAACCACAAAAATAGCATGTAAAAGTTTGGGCATGTAGATTTCACTTTCGAACAAGTAAAAGTAATAGGGCACTTGCTCAACTGGATAAGTTGGTATAAAAGTTAATGTCAAACCCTGATTTAAGGTCTTTTTTATCACACAGCCTCACATGCATTTACCTCTCAAAGAATGTTTCAGTTTCGAATCTGAATTACAGGCAGGGATCCTGAAATGTTCAAAAAGGGGGGTGTATTCTAGATGGTTCTACCTGGACAAAGAGTGTATCAGCCTAGTTTTCATCCATCAAAACCGAATGAGGAGAAAAAGATATGTTTTACCTTTATTTATCATTGCAGCAATTAGCCTAACAAGATGTGGTCAATTTTAAAATGAGATAGGAAGACACTTTCAATTTTGTTAGCACAAGTTTTAATGGTAAACTTGAAACTCACACTGATATGAGATTTATATATATTTCTCAGACTTAGCTGATTACTTCAAAATGAAAATGGTTATTGCCCCTAAAATAGGTACACGAGAAGGTAAGCATAATCTTACATCTTTCGTATTTTGCTAAATTGACAACAACACTTAATTTATCGTATCTAAAAAAAAATTGTATAAAGGTTGCATTTGCCTTTTAAGAGAACCTAATATTGTTTCTAGTTTTTCTATTTCAATTTTCTTTCCTTTGTGTTAATTGTAGCATATATTATATTCCATCGTAAAGTGGTTTATTTTTGTTGGAATCTAAATTTTGTGATTTCAAGGACAAACCCACTTGTCCGTTTTTTTTCCTAGTCCCTGCTTCATATCTTCCTTGAAAATCAAATTTACATGAGGGAATATTTTCATTATTTTATCTTAAAATTAGTGAAATTAAGCCACATAGAAATGTTTTTCTACTTTACAAAATATCTTTATTGTCTACATGATTACATCTACATGTATGAACTAAAAAATTTCCCTGTAAACAGCTGTTTTCAGTTTCCACTTATTAGATAGATTTTAATAGTGTTTTTAAAGATGGACACAATAATAGAGGAGATGCAAAAAGGGACTTGGCTTTAAAAATAGAAGTATTAAGTAATGGGCAAAGTGCAAAGTCTTTACTCTTATCATCTTATATAATCTTTACCTGTGTTGTTTGTAAATTTCTTTTCAAATCAGACCATGATATCATTTACTACCTATCTCCTTCATATTTTCCTTTTAAAAACAGAAGGTCAACTGGTACCCTTTATTACCTTCCTTCATATTTTCCTTTTAAAAACAGAAGGTCAACTGGTACCCTTTATTACCTGTCTTTTTATCCTTAGCTCTATATACAACACCATATGCTCCTTCTTCAATCCTATTAAGACACTGGAACTCCTCTACATTCCTACAGCCTTGTATTGCTGGGTAGTATGGAGGTAGGTCAGGCAATAATTCTACAGGCGAGTCTGGTGGAGTGGCTTCTAAATAATACTGGGCATCTTCCTGGTCACTCATGTGGACTGAGTGTGTTTCACTCTCAATATCTGAATGGTCATCAAACTTTGATTTTACTTTTTCTGAAGAAAAAAAATCGTGTATTAATAAGACTTCTGACAAAGCAGACCGTGAAAAAACTTTAATGAGTTAATATCCCTAATATGCCTCAACCTAGAAATAGAAATAAAAAACCTGTATGCATTGATATTGGACATGATGCTATTTTTAGGAATTGACTAAGCTTAACCATTTGTCCTATTCTGTATAGCAGAAGACTGTACAATTAAGATGTTAAATTTTTTGGAGTTATAAAATGTTTGTAAAGAACTGAATTTCAAGAGAATTAAACTGTGTGAATACAGGGACTTTTCACTTGCTGAAGAAGCATCATATGGGGCCCTTCTATGCTTCCCACTTTGTGAAAAATTTAATCACACTTCGTACCCTGAAATTTTAACCACATGTGTGAAAAAGTCTCAGCTTCGAATCGAGCCATCATACATATATCCAAGTTAACAATATGGACAGAGGAAAAGAAGAAAAGAATACCAGTGTCGCCTAACTGAAATGAATTGCGTATATTGACAAAAATATGAGAATGATTTTATTGACAAATTTTTTCAAAGTTGTTGATATTTATATACCTACCTAAATGAGGTACTTCTTCTTCTTCCTTCTCACTATGTTTACTAGCCTCACTTTCACTTTCGCTTTCACTATCACTGTCACTTTCTGTAAAAAAGAAAAAAAAAACATTTAAAATCATTATAAATCATTGATTACTCCTAATAAGATATTTTATTTTATAACAAACTAAACCATATATCCAAATTACAAAAAGTCCAGAAGAAACAACTAACAATGCTGCGGCTTGCTATGATGTATATCAAAATTTTTTGCATATTGAAGACCAGGCGCCATCTAAATATCCATGGAGATGACCTCCATAGACTACTGATGGTCATATAACCTGATATACATTTACACATAGAAATAGATATAAATAGATAACAGCCATGTGCAATCAGATTGTTCTAAGTTTGTTGGATTACATGTTACATGTTAAAAATATATTTCTCTAATTTTTGTGCTATTTTCACATTTCTTGATCGGTGTAAGAAAAATATTTCTCCTCAATAGTGAAATATCTGTTCTCGGCAAATGATTGGTCGAAATTTAATTATGACATAAAAAAAAAGGCGACAATGCCTGATGACGTCACATATAAGGCTAACTTAAGTTAGAGAACGGAAATGAAAAATTCAGCAATTTTTCCATTTGTAAAGGGGCAACTCTAGAACGGTTAAAGTGACGCCACTAAAATTCAAACTTGATCTGTGTTTTGTGGTAATAAGCATTGTGTATAAGTTTCATAACATTTGGTTGAGGCAAACTAAAGTTAGAGAACAGAAACCAACTTTGGGACGTACATACAGACGGACAAAGGTAAAACTTAATGCCCTCTCCGCTACGGCGGGGGCATAAATATAATCTCTAAATACATTAAAAAATCAAATATCTAAATACATTAAAAAATTCCTAAAGGTTCCGCGGAACCCAGTGTCTCGCCTACTTTTTCTGTTAATCGCAGGCTCAACAAAAATGAGGAAGTAAATCAATAAAAATATTCCTCTTGATACTATCTTTTGATTGTAAGAAGCTTCTGTCCAAGTTTGGTAAAAATCCAGGATAGTTTATGAATCTAATAAATGTTTGAAAACTTTAACTGCAGACTGAATGTAATGTTAACTGGAAGAAAACAAAATTTCCTTCTAGATACTAGCATTTGATCATAAACAAGCTTCTGTCCAAGTTTGGTACAAATCCAAAATAGTATAAGAAAGTTATTAAAATTTTAAAAACTTTAACCACAGAGTGAATGTGTTGTTTCCTGGCAGAAAATCTAAGTCCATTTAAAAGTAAAATACGGAAAAAATGGATTTATTTTTTTACAAAATTTCCTTCTAGATACTAGCTTTTGATCATAAACAAGCTTCTGTCCAAGTTTGGTACAAATCCAAAATAGTATAAAATAGTATAAGAAAGTTATTAAAATTTTAAAAACTTTAACCACAGAGTGAATGTGTTGTTTCCTGGCAGAAAATCTAAGTCCATTTAAAAGTAAAATAAGGAAAAAATGGATTTATTTTTCTACAAAATTTACTTCTGGATACTATCTTATGATCATAAACATGCTTCTGTCCAAGTTTGGTAGAAATCCAGGATAGTTTAAGAAAGTTATTAAAATTTCAAAAACTTTAACCACAGAGTGAATATTTGTGGACGCCGCCGACGACAACGACGACGACGCCGCTGACGCCGACGGAATGTAGGATCGCTATGTCTCGCTTTTTTGACTAAAGTCGAAGGCTCGACAAAAATCAAATATCTAAATACAGTTAAACCTTTAATCTCTTTAACACATTAAAAAATATAATCTCTAAACACATTAAAAAATATTGTCTTTCAAAACTGCATTATTAACAGTTGTTGGTGAAACATGTTTTTCTTTTGAGGATGATAATTATAAGCTGCTATGGAAAAGACAAAGTATTTTGCAACACAGGTAATTATATAAATCAAAATTTACAGAACGTGTTCAATTCATGCAAATACAGAATTTTTATTGGCTGCAAGATGAATCTCCCCATTCTGTCCTACAATTTCAACTTATGCCAACCACTGTGTACTGTGGATTCATTTATTTTCGTGGCTACCAATTTTCATGGGTATTTAAAATCGTGGTTTTGCCAAAGAAAATGCATTTTTTTTACTACATTGATTTTTTAAATTTTTGCTTCACCTATACCCACAAAAAAAAATAGTATCCAATGAATAATTATGAATCCATAATACATGTTTATTTTGAAAGTCTAAGAATTGAAACCTAAATCTGTCTTCTATTCTGAATTTCCTTTATAAAAGAAACATTTACCTGATTCAGAATCTGACTCTGAGTCTGAATCTGTTTCTTCTTCTGATTCCTCTTCAGTTCCTCCTTCTTCCTCTTCCTCCTCTTCTACTTCTTCTTCAGCAGGCTCTTTCTTCTCAGGTTTTGATGGAAAATCTGTCTGTTTCTTAGGAGATTCTTCTTCTAGGACTTCTCTCTTTTCTGGTTGCCTTCTGCTTTCTGCAAAAAAAAACCCAAAAAAACTTATAAACAACTTGTAGCTGAATGAAATTTTTTACAAAATGTTGACACAACCTCCTAACACGGGAAACAGTAAGGTAATCTCGACTTCGTCTAGTCGATACAAAAAATTATGTTCAATGCTAAGGTATGGTAAAATATGAACTTTGTCCTGTATTCATTATTGAAATTGCCTTAATGAAAAGGACTCTTATATGCAATTTAAATTGTGAATTACTTCTCATTGATCACAACCTTTCTTTGACAAAAGTTATACATGGGAAATTTCATATTTTCTGTAACCAAATCAAGTCAAGCTCCAAATCGTCCAAACTCTAGAAAAGTTGTGAATTAATTATTTCCTTAAATACAATTTTTATCTCAATCCCATACTGTCAGTTACCTTTCTGTTGAGACATTTGAGGTGACTTATGTTTATGACGACTTCTTTCTTCCCTCCCTCTATCATCTCTCCGATTTGGGTCTCTACTTCTACTTCTATGTTGACTCGATAATTTGTCTGATTTCCTTTCATTTCTGTCTTTATCTGAACGATAAGCTACAATAAAGAAAATATATAAGTAACAAGGACCATAACTCTGCACAAAATCATCAGACCAGAACAAAATTCGAACTTGATGTGTAACTTGTCATGATAATACAATGCACCAAATATCAAATCAATATCTTCAAGCACGAAGAAAAAATGTGTGGAAAACTGATTAGACAGACTGATAGACGGACGGAGTGCACTTCGACTTCGTCAGTAGGGGACTACTAAAAAACAAAACAAGAATGCATGTGTTGTTGTGTTCACATTACTCAGCATATGGCCATTCATAATTTCAAAGTAAGGGAAAACAGGAATTAGGTATTTGACAGATCCAATAATTCCTCACAAGTTACAACTCAAGCTACTGACAAAAATGTAGTTTTTCTGTTTCTGAGAAAAGTGTAACAATAATATATGTTAGTTGAACAGTATGATGGACAATGTGATTGCAATATCGTCCACACTACGAGTGTGGGATATAATTAATAAAAAAAGAATGTTTCCGAGGACACAAATACCCCAGCCCAAGCTTTGCAATCTTCCAAGTTAAAAAGGGGCATAACTCTAGAACATTAAATGACTCACTGTCCAAATTCAATTTTGTCTGCATGTTGTGGTTTCTAGCATTATGTATGAGTTTCATAAAATTTGGATGAGGAAAATATAAGAAAGAGTGCGGACACAAAATGGGACAGACTGACGGATGGTCAAGGGTACACTTAATGCCCCTGTTGCCTACAGCGGGGAAATAATAAAAGATGTAAATTACTAAACAAAGGAATTATTTTATAGGGAGGAAACAGGTATTAAAGTTCTTGTAATTTCTTGAATTTTATGATTTTGTGCTCTTCCTGGAAAATGTAAGCAGTGATCGGGAAAGACGTGCGCCATGCGCCAATTGCGCTTATCGACCAGAAATGGTGCATACAGCAACAAATGTAAGCGCCCACGTGGCGCACAATATTTTTCACTTTGTTTTGAAACGTTTAGATATAGTCAAATGGATTTCCGATCGTGTTTCGTGTCGCCATGTGTGTGTACACAACTGTGTAGTGTTCCCTCCAATCATAGCTATATATAGGAGCACCTATATTTTTTGGGGACTCTCGGGTGTTTTCCTATGGTAATAATAGCAACATGCGGTATAACTGATTACCTAAAAAACGTAATTAACCATCATTCATGATATAAATTTTTATAAACAACTTTAAATTTCTGAAATTTGGCTAGTACAGACGAGAATTTTTCTCTTATTATAATCTTTTAAGTAAGCTTGCTATTATTTCTGTTATTGTATATTCATTGAAATTGAAATTACAAAATCGCAATGAACAATATCCATGATATCAATTAGAATCATACAGGTTACTACCACTACCTCTTTGCTGAAATATACACTTTCTTTTACTTTTTTTTTTTTTATTGTAAACGAATGGCCCACTCATTTGACAACATGGCCCATTAACTCTAAATATGGCCCATTGAATTTATTTTTGGGTGGCCCTGGGCCCATAGAGAAAAAATCCTTCCAGATCACTGTGTAAGCATCAGATTAGCATGGTCACATCATAAATGAATTCCTGCATCTTTTACAATGAATTTGGACTTCCCTTTCCCCAAAGTGTAATGTTGACAGCCAAAAACTAAGTCCATTTATCAATTAAATACAGAAAAAAATCAGTCTATTTTCATCAAATGCTATTTCTTGATCTTGGAGAATCTTCTGTCCAACATTTATAAGATTCAATTAAGGTTTAATAAAAAAATTGATGTCTAAAAAAATGAATCCCAGACTATATGTAAATATTTTAAAAAATCTAATTCCAGACTTTATGTAAATGTTTAAAAAAAATTAATCCCAGACTGTATGTAAATGTTTAAAAAAATCTAATTCCAGACTTTATGTAAATGTTACCAGCAAAAAAGACTAAATCCTTTTATCAGTAAAATAAAAATTTAACCACAGACTGAACCTGTAATGTAGGGTCACTTTGTCTGGCTTTCACCTCAAAATGTCAGCATGGTCACAGGCTTGACAAAAAAGATAACAAAAATGAATTTTAAAGAACAACTACATATACTCTGAAAAAATGTTACTTCTCTATAATCTAAAACAAAAAAGAGAAGCTACGACCAAATTAGTTCTATAACTAACATTTCTCCATTGGAAAAAATCATTGTTAAATCTATCCACTTCAATAAAACATGGCTTTTAATAGTTTAAACAATTCCTTTTTACTTGTCTTACAGCCAGTCAAATGACAGAAAATTAAGTATACTGGCAAAATTATTCACACTCTTGATGATTAGACATGTAAAATAATAATGATCTTTTAAAAAATTCTGAGAAAACACAAGAATACAAACACTTTAATCTGAAAATGAATAGCACCAAAATTAAATATTAGGTTTTTTCTTTCTCATACCTTCTAATCTAGCCTGTGCCTCTCTGTATTTTTCTTCTTCTCTTTTCTTTCTTCTTTCCATTTCTTTCCTCTCTCTATCTTCTCTCAGTCTTTTGTCTCTTTCTCGTTCCCTTTCTATTTTTTCTAATCTCTCCCTGGAAAATACAATATTTAAAAATCAAACCAAGAACACAAATAAACCAAAAATGATATCTGATGTGTACTTCCAGTAAACAATATCCCCCCTTCCCAAGTTATAGTTTTATCTTTTGTGTCATGGTATTGTTGATTTTCCTCAACTAATGTTTTATTATCCTTTCGGTGTCTTCTGCTTCTTCTTTTTTTGTATCCATCAACATAACCATTTTTAGCAGGCATTCCAACTTTACCATAACGTTCCATGAACAGCCTAGATAATTTTGTGCCAAATGGTCGTAATTTGCTTGCATCTTTTATGGAAAAGCTTGGGTTTTAAAGCCCTTTGGGCAAAACAAAAGATAAGGTCAAAATTGATATTTGTTACTCCTTCACTAATACAATTATCCAGTTATCAAAAGAATGAACAACACTTTAACAGTGGTTGTGCAACAAGAAAAATTGTCAGAAAGTGAGGTTATACTGATAAGTTGAGATGTAGTAGTATAAAAAAAATATCGCCTCAATGTGTTGGTCTAGTGATAAACAAGATTTACAGTTTTTTTTCAAATCCTAGACATGCTAGATGACAAAAATCCTGAAAATATATGAAAGATAACTAACCTACTGTACATCAATTCTATCATTGTGTCTTAAAATAAATTTTAAAAATACATGTGAAACGTCAGTTTGCAAAAAATTCCACTCAAACGGCCATCTTAAACTTGCATTGAGGTGAGAGATTTTGCTCTGTGTTGGAGTCCTCACTGTGACTCTAGAAATGAGAAAACAGCAATAAAAGCGCTGTACCTTTGCTTTTCATGTTTTTTTACTAAATTTTTTGTCATTGATGGATACCCCATATCCTTACTTTTCTATTTTACAAACCTTTCTTTGATAGATCTTAGCCTTTTTTCTTCTTCACTTTGCATGGTCTGTTTATCTCTAAATCTTCTTTCTCTTTCCTTGATTTTATCCTGATAAGAGTCTCTCTTGCTGACAACATGTTTGTCTCTTGCATATTGTGGTCTTTCTGCTGTGGATTTCAGTGAGACAGAGGACCCTGGAAGGAGAGTTTCTTTAGTTTTAATTTGAAGGCCATACTCACATTGAAGAATCTATAATATAGTTTTTTAAAGAGTTAATGTTGCTTTTGCCAGACTTTTCTGACAAATGTCTGAGCTAAAATTTGATTTTGTTAATGTCCAAGTTGTATTTCCAAAAAGCGTTCTCCCCATATTAAAAAATTTCATCAACAAAAACTTATCTGAGAGAATGCTGATTTGGATTGATTGATTGATTGATTGGTGTTTAATGCCACTTTCAGCACTATTGTGCTATTTCGTGTTGGTAAGTTTTTATTAGTGGAGGAAGCCGGAGTTCCCAGAGAGAACCACTGACCTTCCTGTTGATTTGGAATGTAAAGTACTATAATATTGCTTATTTTTTTAAAAGATGCATACAGCTGAGTAACATTTTCATTTAACATACTTAATCTGATATAAGTCTATACAAATAGTTTATTTATCTCTGTTCTTTTCTTCTATCTCCACTGTTTACTAGTATTTAGAAAGGAAAGTCATAACTCCACAAAGTCTCTAACTGTACCATGTGTCCTGTGTGGTACACATATTTGGCTTCTGAATATTCAACATAAGGGAGAGAATTTGCATGTACAACCTTTATCTCGTCTATATCAACGTCCAGTAGCTGATTGGAGCACAATTTTAACTGTTGTTAAAATTTTATAAAGTTAAATATAAAAAGTAAAACTTTTGTACAATCTAAAAGCTAACTAACTACAGATAAATACATATATATGAACATCTCTGAGCACCTCTCTCATCATTTCGAGTTAATTAAAAATTTTCTGCCATAGTGTAAGCTAAAACAGTCTCCTTGATGTCATTTCTATATTTTCCAAGATTTTAAATATTATGGAAGCAGGTTTTTTTTCACAAGAATATGAACTTCTAATACATAAAAAAGAATACAAAAGAAAAAGAAGCACAATTTTGTGGAAGATAAAAAGTGAAGAAAAGAAATAACTAAAATAAAACTAGAGGCTCTCAAGAGCCTGAGTCGCTCACCTGTATTTACTGATGCTTTGGAAATCATGTAAAATAAGGTTAAAATCATAATTAATAGTATAAGATATTAGATATTATAATGATATCTAAGATAATAACAAACTAGAGGCTCTAAAAAGCCTGTGTCGCTCACCTTGGTCTATGTGCATATTAAACAAAGGATACAGATGGATTCATGACAAAATTGTGTTTTGGTGATGGTGATGTGTTTGTAGATCTTACTTTACTGAACATTCTTGCTGCTTACAATTATCTCTATCTATAATGAACTTGGCCAAGTAGTTACAGTGGAAAATATTTTGTAAAAATTTACAAAAATTTACAAAATTTATGAAAATTGTAAAATATTGACTATAAAGGGTAATAACTCCTTAAGGGGTCAATTGACAATTTTGGTCATGTTGACTTATTTGTAGATCTTACTTTGCTGTACATTATTGCTGTTTACAGTTTATCTCTATCTGTAGTAATATTCAAGATAATAACCAAAAGCTGCAAAATTTTCTTAAAATTACCAATCCAGGGGCAGCAACACAACAACGTGTTGCCTGATTGGTCTGAAAATTTCAGGGCAGATAGATCTTGACCTAATGAACAATTTTATCCCGTCAGATTTGCTCTAAATGCTTTGGTTTCAGAGATATGAGCAAAAAACTGCATTTTACCCTATGTACTATTTTTTAGCCATGTCGGCCATCTTGGTTCGCAGGCGGGGTCATTGAACACATTTTTTAAACTAAATACCCTAATGATGATTGTGGACAAGTTTGGTTAAATTTGTCTTAGTAGTTTCAGAGGAGAAGATTTTTGTAAAAGATTACAAAAATTTATGAAAAATGGTTAAAAATTGACTATAAAGGGCAATAACTCCTTAAGGGGTCAACTGACCATTTTGGTCAAGTTGACTTATTTGTAGATCTTATTTTGCTGAACATTATTGCTGTTTACAGTTTATCTCTACCTATAATAATATTCAAGATAATAACCAAAAACGGCAAAATATCCTTTAAATTACCAATTCAGGGGCAGCAACCCAACAACAGGTTGTCGGATTCATCTGAAAATTTCAGGGCAGATAGATCTTTACCTGATAAACAATTTTACCCCATGTCAGATTTGCTCTAAATGCTTTGGTTTCAGAGATATAAGCCAAAATCTACATTTTACCCCATGTTCTATTTTTAGCCATGGCGGCCATCTTGGTTGGTTGGCCAGGTCACCGGACACATTTTTTAAACTAGATACCCCAATGATGATTGTGGCCAAGTTTTGTTAAATTTGGCCAAGTAGTTTCAGAGGAGAAGATTTTTGTAAAAGTTAACAACGACGGATGACGACGGATGCCAAGTGATGAGAAAAGCTCACTTGGCCCTTTGGGCCAGGTGAGTTAAAAACTGCAAAATTTTTGTAAAATTACTAACTCAGGGGCAGCAACCTAACAACGGGTTGTCGGATTCGTCAGAAAATTTCAGGGCTGATAAATCTAAATCTGTTGAACATTTTTGCCACCTGTCAGATTTGCTCTAAATGCTTTAGTTTCAGAGATATAAACCAAAAACTGCATTTTACCCCTATGTTCTATTTTTAACCAAGTTGGCCATAATGGTTGGAAGGCGGGGTCATCGGACAAATTTTTAAACTAGATACAACTAATAATGATTATGGCCAAGTATGGTTAATTTTGTCTCAGTAGTTTTCAGGTTTTAGAGAAGAAGATTTTTGTAAAAGATTACAAAAATTTACGAAAAATTGTTTAAAAATTACTATTAAGGGCAATAACTCCTAAAGGGGTCGACTGACAATTTTGGTCATGACAACTTATTTGTAGATCTTACTTTGCTGAACATTATTGGCGGGGTCATCGGACACATTTTTTAAACTCGATACCCTAATGATGATTGTGGCCAAGTTTGGTTAAATTTAGCCCAGTGGTTTCAGAGGAGAAGATTTTTGTAAAAGTTAACAGTCGAAGGACGACAGACGAGGGACGCCGGACGACGACGGACGCAAAGTGATGAGAAACGCTCACTTGGCCCATTGGGCCAGGTGAGCTTATAAACAAACCAATCTAAACATGCAAAAAATATTTTTCAATTACATACGTTCTTTTTCTTTCACTCTTCTTCTGTCTCGATCACGATCTGGGTCATGTTTATTCTTGTTTTTCCTGTGATCATCTTTACGTTTATGTTTATGGCTTTTTTCCTTTCGTCCTGCATGTGTCTGTGGAGGTTTGATATCTAATGCATCACTGTCTTCACCGCCAAGGTCTTCCCTGTAAATTTAAAGAAATTTATTTAAGGATGTTTGCTACTCTTGTTTTTGACTTTTTTGTCAGATATTAGGAATCCTCTAGTTTTATCCATGTAGTGCCAATAAAAAAAAATTCCCGCTAATCCCTACTTTTCTGTTCATAATTTTAATACATGTAGTTTGACAAGCCATTTATGAAAATCATATAAAATCCTTGTTATTTTTTCATAGTTTTTGAAAAAAAAAAGGTGCCAATGTTAAATTAATGTTAAATGTATGAAAAATCTAGAGAGAATCATTTCCCGCCAAATTTTCAATTCATTATATCTCGAAAACAAGGTCACTGACCTATCATTTTTTTCTGCTTTTTAATTTCTGTTATTTATATACTATCAATTTATAACAGTCATTTAAAAATCTTGTTATTTTTAAACAGAGGAGCGAACATACTTAAACTACTCCTAGTATAAGACTTTTGACTGAAATATTTTGGCAGACATTGCAGACATGTCAAATTCTCGTTTTTGATATAGATTAGACCGTTGGTTTTCCTGTTTGAAGGATTTTACACTACTCATTTTGGGGCCCTTTATAGCTTGCTGTTCCGTATGAGTCAAGGCTCTGTGTTGAAGGCCGTACTTTGATCTATAATTGTTAACTTTTTATATATTGTGACTTAGATGGAGATTTGTCTCATTGGCACTCATACCACATCTTCTTATTTATATTGGCAGTATAGCCAAAATATACTACAGTGAAAGTAAGCTTCTTAATAGTTGATGTTGATTTTCATTAATCAGTTAATTGAGTACAAAAAGTTTGTCCATTGGTTCACTAAATTTTATTTAACTGTCAGACAAGCATGACAAGCATGACAAATAGCAAATAACAGAAAACTTTACATTACGTTAGCCAATCAGCTATGGAACACTATGTGCATTGTAGAAGGAAGTGTAAAGTCTATTTACATGTAACGAACAAAATGTAGGAAAAGGAAGCAACATTGCCTACTGCTGTACTGGTAATTCTAAATGCAACATGTGCAAGTACATTTGTTGTACATGTATATAACTAAGCAATGCCATCATCATGATTATGACATAGTTTTACATGTTGTTGCTAGTGCATGTTCATTTGTTCATGTATTTTAACATCTAGGAATACATGGTATAAAGTTTAAATGTGTCAGCAAGATTAAAATTGTTCAATGAGGTATTCCTTTTTGTATAGGCTTGTATGCAGACATTGTCAAAACCAGAACAGTAAAATATCCACAAAAAATAAAAATTTTGCAATTTTTCCATTTATAAAGGGGCATAACTCTAGAACGGTAATAAAGTGAGGCCACCAAAATTCAAACTTGATCTGTATTTTGTGGTAATAAGCATTGTGTATAAGTTTCATAACATTTGGTTGAGGCAAACTCAAGTTAGAGAACAGAAACCAATTTTGGGACGTACGTACGTACAGACGGACAAGGGTGAAACTTAATGCCTCCACCGCTATGGCGGGGGCATAAAAATGTTTCTTCCCTCATCCCTGAAAACTTTTACTCACTAAAATAAATGAATCCACAGTACATATATTTATATACTGTGGACAGGTGGATTCATTCACTTTATAACTAACAGCACATAATTTTCTCATGTACCTGCTAGAATCTTCTTTCTTTTGTTCCTCATTTTCCTCCTCGTCTAGAGCCTCTTTAGAGTGAACAGACAATGATAGTTCACTGACACTGTCTTCATCCTCTTCCATAGCCTGACCTCCCTCAGGTGTTGACTCAAGCTCTCCTTGTTCATAGGGACTACTTCCACTAGCATCCGTCATGTTTACTTACTGAAAAAAAAAGTCATGGATGGCCATTAAAAAGGATAATTCAGGATCTACATGTAATGCATTGTGTGAATAAAAGATATATGACATACTTCAACAAGACAGAAACTTAACCAACACACTCACACACAAACAACACACTGCTAACAATAGTTGACAAGGAAATGTGCCATAAACATGTACATGTTGATGATGTATGCCAGGATATAATTTGCGTCTTTATATGATTATGTGAGAAGTCAGGTATTTTTATTAAAAATAACTAGCAATTTTCAACTTAACTCAATACAAAATTATTAAATAGAACATATTTCCCCTGCAGTCTTTAAATTTTAGTAGGTTTTGAAAGTAATATTGTAAATTCTTTTGATTGATCTGTATTTTTTTCCTGCACTTTTAACAATTTTTAAACATGTTTAAGATATGTCATGAATGTACATTTTGAATTTCCTGTCTGTCATTTGTCTGTCAATGTATGTGTAGATAGATATATTTCTTAATTGTGTACATCTTTCATTTGTCTTTTAAAAAACTCATGCTGTTAACATTTTAATTTTGTGATAGTTTACATGATAAAAAAAGCTTTTAACATGATTAATCATGTTAATGTTGATTCCTTGGATAATTTTATAAGATGGAAAATAAAGCTTGCTTTTTTGGGTACAAACATGTAACTTTTGTTATAGATAATGCAGATTTATGTACATTCCAATTAATTTGCTCCCAAAGTCGTGAAATTTGGCATAAATAATATCAGGGTCGGTTTGGGACAATTTCATTGTGGTACTGATAGACCTTCAACAACCATGACAACATAGCGGACAATAGAATTTTTTCAGCTTTTTCGTTTATTTTCTGATTCTTTATATTATTATAAAACATCATTAATAATATACACATGTTATAAGGAGTGAACAATTTCCTGCAAGTTTGTATTAAGGAGCATTTTGGAAATTTGTATATCTGACAGAATACCAAATAGTATGATAAATAAAACAAACATGCACCAATAACCTTTGAGAGCTCATCACTGACATGACTGACTTGTGTTTAATATGTAATCTTGTGTTTGTAGAAATCTAAGATAAAGTTGAAATGTATTCCACAAAACGATCTTGAAATTGGATGACATACATTTGGTGGACATTTATAATCTGTGACTTTATGCATCTATATTTGAGTTAAACCCTTTTTAACGCAGTTTCTAGAATGACAGTTATATTGTACGAATCCAGGTCCGTTCGCCCAAAAACATGTTCTCGCCCATTAACGTCCACCCCTTTCACTTTTGCACCCTACACATTCGCACCCAAAGTCTGTTCCCCACCTACACGTTCACACCCTTTTTATTTGTTTTGTGTTTAATAATTTTGTTATCGAGTTTTCGTAAGTGTATTGCTGTAAATATTTTTTTTTTACATTGTTTCAAAATAAAGCGAGATTCTGACAATGTTTGTTTTTTGTGTTGAATAGATCTTAATCATCTTTTGGTAAGTGTATTGCTATAAATTTATGTTTTCATTGTTTCAAAATAAAGTGAGATTCTCAAGTTTTTTTTGTGCTGAATAAATCTTAAATTATGTTTTGGTTAGTGTTGTGATATAATTTTTTTTTAAATGTTTCAAAATAAAGTGAGATCAAATGGGCCAAGCTGTTAAAATCAATTATCTTTCGTGTTTTTCTTTTAAAATTTTCAATGTTTTACTCATACCAAGCTAAACATGCTAAATACATGCAGTATTTACATCAAAGCAAGTTAAAACAACAATCATGATTTTCAAACAAACAACAATAATACCAAATTTAGCTGTGTATAAATACCAATTAGCAGTAATCATACATTTGTACATAATAAACATTTAATAATTAATCATCAAATTGATAAAAAAAAAAAAACATTCATATAATAATTCCCTAATTTTTATTCAGGAAAATAAATTTTTTTTGGTATACATCAGTCAGGGATATAACTCTATAGGGTTATTACAGAAAAATAACATACATTTGTTATTGTGGACTAAAAAATCAAAGAACTGTGATAACATATGTATGTTACATGTTTCAAAGGGACAATATACATCACTAGTTTAGTTAAAATGCATACAAGTTCTATTGATATTACTATTGTCTTTATGTATACTTAACTATAGAAAGATATAACAGTTCATAGATTGCCAATTTTGCATAGTACACCTATATGTTATAACAGAAAAAATTTGCCTGTAATAACTAAAGGGTGTTACCACAGCTTCTCTATATCACTCCAAAAGCATTTTCTCAGACAAACATCATGCTTAATTACAATGTATTTTAATTTATTGTAAGAAATAATGACTAGAGCATGTAATGAGGTTCTGCGCAAGCTTCCCAGTAATTCCCAAGTGTCTCATATAATAAGTTACATTCCTTTAATAACTAAGCTATGTTATTACAGCTAAGTTTATCCCTTAAAAGCCTCGTCTCATTGATTTACCATGGTTAATCAAAAATGTATTAATTTAATTAAAAAATTAATTATCAAGGCTATGCGTTTAGTTTCTGCGCAAAGTCTCAAGAGTTCCCTAGAGCCCATTATAAATTAAAACATTTTTGATTTATTTTAAAAATAACAAACATATGTTATTGCAGATTTAGAAAATTTAAGGAATAAAGAGTAGACAACTCATGAAAGTATCTGTAATAACACACATAAGTTATTTTCTGTAATAACCCTATAGAGTTATATCTCTGACTGTACATGTATACATATAAAAAAAAATATCTAAAAATTCAACTTGAATTTGAATAAAAATTGTGTGCTAACATGTTGGGTGCAAACGGACCTAGGGGGTGAACGTGTAGGGTGCGAACGTGTAGGGTGGGAACGTGTATTGGGCACAAACGGACCTGATACCATATTGTACAGGGTATAATATTAATCTTTTAAGCTGTGTAAAGAATTTCAAAAAGCAAGACCACATTTTCATACATCATAAATGACATTATGACAAGGTTAAAGGGTTGTGTAAGATAACTAGAGTAAATTGTTCGGTGTAAACATGTCTATGTTTATCAATTCCTTCTGAACCTTTCAACAAGAACATTTTGTTTTCAGGTGAAACTTGAAGAAGAAACATGAAGAAAGGCCTAACATTTATGTTTTTTCTATCGCTAGCTTGATAGGTTTCACGATAATTATTTAAAAACAATTTACCTTATCTGGATTTGGCTTTCAACTTGAAAAGTAGTGCGTTTTCAAAATTCAAGTAAAAGTAAAAATCAAAAACGTTTTTCCAAACCGGAAATGTGCAAAACATGCAAATTAAAGACTTCCGTTTGAAGAGTTACTCCAGGGGAAGTTACTCTGGAAAGAAAAAGCAGACAACTATGCCTATGGTTGAGCATGCTGAAAATATTTTCAAATCTATGCCTAAAGAACAACATTATACATAGTGAGTACATAAAGACAAGAAAAATGTACCAGTCTAACACACATTCAATGGGCTATTAATAGAATTGTTGTGGTGTGACTATTTTTACAGGACAAACTGAGACAGGTCTGTTACTGTTACTGTTAGCAATGGTTATACTTATTGCTGTTAGACATTTAGTTTTAGGTGGGATTTTTACTGAGAATACTGGTGATTTGTGATCTATTATTTCACTCTGTATTAAAAGGCATGTATATACAACAGGATGCTATGATTTTCAATCACCAGCAAATTACAATCCCTCAACTTCAAATTGTATATATATGTATGTCATGTACCGGTATGTGACACTTTTGACAGTGATATTCATTCGACTGCATAATATTAGAATGAACAAATGTGTCATACATGGTATTTGTCTTTTACCTTAGTGCAAAAAATGCACCTCTTTGAATTGCATTTTCTGACCTCAATTCTGTCATTATGATATATATGTTATGCTGTTTAAAGGATCTTATAAATATAGTGGCAGTATGATGTGGTAAGATGATCAGGATTGAATATTTCTAAGTTGACAGTGATATAATTATTTGAATCCTTTTATATTGGACTTTCTTTTATCATGTTTATAAAAAATACATTATTACATGTAACAAATTTGAAGAGATTGCTGATTATCGGTGAAAATAACAATTTACTTTCATTTTTACTTTCAAAGACTTTAAGTTCAAGATTTTACTCTTGAAGAGATGATCGAAAGTAATAGTTGAAATTTTAATATGCTGTTACTGTAGACAAAATGTAGGTTAACTTTAATATTGATGATTTTCACTTTTGTTGTTTATTGTCTAAGATTGCTTATTGGAAAAAAAACCTTGTTAGGCCAATTCTGTCAATTAATGTAGATTGCTTGATCAAAAATTTCCTTTTCCAATTTATGTATTACAATATATATGTTTCTCAAGGCAAAATGGAGGTCAAAATTGGGTATGACAATTTTCACATTTACTGTTCAGGAGTTTTTTTGCTTTAACAAAAAGACACTAAACAAAGTAAGATTAAAAATCTTATTTGCTTTCTTTTTGACAGACTCTTCTCGTTGTCATTTGATTGTCTCAATATAAAAAAACACTGCATAGAAAAAAAATCCTCAACTTTGATTTATCTTGTAATTTTAGGGTTGTAGCTTAAAAATGTAAATTTAATAGGGTTGTAAAAGCATTAAAAGTGCTCACATTTGTAGTATGAAGTGCTACCATGTTTATATGAGATGTATTCCTGTCATCACTTTTACATGGTCCAATAAAACTACAAAGTGAAGTCTATTCAATTCTTAGATATATAAATTATAATAATGTTTTAAGTAATCATGGTAATCACCAGTCAGGGGACTTACTTAATGAGTGATTTTTTTTAAATCACTGATTCAAGTAACATTATGTCCATAAAGGATGGAAGTAAGAGTTGTCATTCTTTAATAATCACCTATTTAAGTAGTACAAATTAATCACTAGACTAAGTGATTTAATTTTATTGTAGCTTTAAATATAGAATACTAATGATCCAGGGACTAATTATGTTGCTAAAATTATCAGAACCAACATCTGTGTTGATAGGATGATCTGGTCACATGTCAGGTGATGACCTTGTACTAAATCTAGGATAATGACATAAAAATCACTTGTTTCGTATCATACCTCAATTTCCTTCCAAAAAATCACTTCTTTAAGTATCATTATTTTAATAACCCCCACTAATTTCAACACCCCCAAACAGTGAAATTTTGATGGGGAACAGTAGAATTTTATTACATAATCTATAAGATGAAACCTTGAATTTAACAGGAAAAATACTCCCACTGCTGGGAAAAATCTGTTAAGAAAGTATCAGTTCATTATGTAAGGCCATTTTTATAGCATTTTTCAACTAAAATAGAATTTGAAGCTAAATGATTGCATCAAAGGCATAAACCTTGCTGCTTAAAAGAAGCAAAAAGTTCATTTTTTACAATTTTACTAATGAAAAGATATTATCTAAACCTATGTGTTTAAAATTTTGATAAAACTACAAAATCACAATTTGTGACAAAACTTCGAATTTGCTTCTTAAACATGTGTTTAATAAGTGATTTAAAAATCACTTATTTCAATAAGTCCCCTGACTGATCACATGTTAAATAGTGTAATACATGTATATATGATATTGATGATTATGTTCTGTTTTATCTGATTTTTGTGAAATTTAAACCTGATGCCAACTTTTACTTATGCTAATAACCTGAAAGGTGAAACATGCAAAAATATACTAAAAGGTGAAACATGCTAAAATATCAAACAAATGTATGGTAACCATTGTTGCTCAGTTAGATACAATTAAACAGTGTATTTTTCTTCTTCTCAGGAATGAATTATAGAGGCAGAGGTGGGGGAAGAAGAGGATACATAAGAGAAAGATATGGTAATCACGATCAAGGTATGACTTTCAAATGATCAAGGTATGACTTTCAAATGATCAAGGTATGACTTTCTAATGATCAAGGTATGACTTTCTGATGATCAAGGTATGACTTTCTGATGATCAAGATATGACTTTCTAGTTTTCTAGTGATTGATCAACATGATTACTGTATGACTTTCTAATAGTCAACATGATGATGAGAGCAGCTTTCCTTGGCTTACACTTGTGGCTTAACTAGTCTAAGCCTGGTGTGACTAGTCCATCACATCTATACCAGCAGAGCAAATATTTTCATTTGCAAGACTGCTAGTTATGTAACAAAAGAAATCGACTCTGCCCAGCAAAATTTGACAAGACAGTATTTTTAGATAAGAACAGATTGGTTGCTCCCTGCAGTGTGACCCTCAGAGAATGTTCAAACTAAAGTTGACATCCCTAATATCAATGAATCATATTTCAGATGATGAAGAAGGTGGAAATCACAACTGGAGAGGTCATCATCAAAGAAGACAAGGTCAAAGGCAGTATGATGATGAAAGAGAAGGGCACAGGCAGTATGATGATGGAAGACAAGGCCACAGGCAGTATGATGATGGAAATCATGATAGAAGAGATTATAGAGGTCGAGGTAGAGGTCGTGGAGGCAGGCCACCAGGACTGAGAGGAAAAGAAATTGGATTATTTTATGCCAGAAAAGGAAAAGAAAAAAAGCATAGAGAAGAATTTGAACAGGTAAGGTCAAATATACAAAATTATATGAGTTTAAGATTTCACAACCAGCTGATAGTTTTATAACAGATTTATGTGGATTTCATACAATCATAGTCTATTTTAAAAGGATCTGAAAACATGCTGTTCTACTTTCTGTTTTGAAGATCTATTTGAGATACATGAGTTTTGAAGTACATGTAGTAATATCATTCATTGGTTGATGTAAATATAATCAGAAAAGAAAGTAGAACAAAGTGTTGTCAGATGCTTGTTAGTGAAGTTTGGACACTGTGAAGATCTGTACATGTATACTCTTGAGTCAAGTAGCTCAGTTCATGTTTACAGAAAAAAATGTTTTTTTTTTTTAACAGAGACCAGAAGTGTCAATGCAGGGTAAAGAAGATCACATACAGAAAATGTTAGCTGATATTGAGAATTTGGAAAGTGATGATCAACTGTCAGGTGGAGCCTCCTTCAGTTGCAGGTAATGGTCATATACTGTAAATTCAGAAATTATTGCAAGGATTTTATTATTGTGAATAATGCAACTGCATGAGTATCGCAATAATAAGAACTTGCATTCTTATATCTGATATATATATCTGTATGCAGATTTTCCTGAAATCAGGGGTTCAAATTAGCGGTGGTCCGAGGTCCGTGACCTTCCATTTTAGGGTTCGGACCTTCTCACCGGTAGTTAGTTGCACCTGACGGAGTTTCGTATTTTTGCAGGTTAAAAAGTTACAAAAGCATTTTGAACAAAAATATAAAAATCAAGAATAAAAATAATCTTGAAATATAACTTTGCTGAAAGGAAACTTATGTATTTGCTTAAATTCTTCGCAATAGAATTGATGAGTAGTCACGTGACCAGCCATCGTACAAGATACCAGGAAACTCGAGAATATAAAATTAAAACATAACCAGTAAACGGTATGTCGGTTTTGGAGTGACCCCTTCTAAAAGAAACCCTGATGAAACAGGGAATACAAAGGGGTGATTGATGAAACGGCTAAACGCAGCCAGAAAGACTGGATCTGACTAAAGACCAAAAATACAACAGGGAAAAACAAGAACGTAAATTTTTCCTACAAACAGTGAACGGGAAAGTGCCCTGGTTCATTGGACATCAAAATTGAAACTTGACTCATAAAAAATCATGATTAAAAATAACCACCCAGCATCTATGTATCTTGCCAAAAAAGTGGTTAAAAGAAACTGACCCCAAGTTTGAAAACGGAAGTTAAGCGGTTATCTGACACAAAGTAAGGCCAGTGATTTTTAGCAGCAATTGAAACCAAACCAATTATAAAGGTACAAAGTGTTATTTAACACAGTTTACATGGTATATAGTGTTGGAAAAAGGGGAAGCCTTTTCTGACTAAATTTATTTAAGAAATTCAGAAAAAAATGAGGTTACATAATAATGTAGTAAGATATGATGGGTATTTTGTTATGGTAAGCATTTTCTGTTTTTATAAGTTGAATTTTCAATACAAATTGGACCTTCTAAGAATAAAGGAGGACCTTTTAGTGTCTTTTGTCAAAGGTCCTGGACCTTCCATTGCTTAAAGTAAATCTGAACCCCTGGAAATAATTAATCTCGGATTTTTGTCCATCCTTCAAAAATCGCAATAATAAATGCACACAATAATTTCTGAATTTACAGTAGAACCGAGGAGTGACATAACATTACTTTTCAGTATTTTGCTGACAATTTCATTTCATTGTTATAAGGTTATTCCATTAAAATGAATATGGGAGGGTAGGAAGGGACTTCCAAAATCCCTTCATACTGTGGATTCATTTATTTTCGTGGGTACCAATTTTCATGGATTGGAGAAAAATCGTATTTTCGTGAATATTTGAATTCATGGTTTTGCAAAAGGCTGCATACAAGCCAATAGAGAATTACTTTTTAGTTGAACATTCAAATTCATGGTTCACATATACCCATGGAATCAACGAAAATTGGTATCCAACGAACAATAATGAATCCATAGTAACCAGCATACTTTCATTGATTAATTTTGAAATGTCAAATGGACTTACATCCAATAATAATCAATAGGTCATGTCCAAAAAAATATACCTCCTTTCCCTCCAACATTAATTTTTCCTCAGGGAAAATTTTGGATGGTCAGAGTCAGAGCTGTTCTTTGACTCCTCAGAAAATCTTGGATGCTGGCACAATTGGCTGAAATTTAGGAATATGCACAAGATACAATTCAAGATTAGAATGACTTTAGTGAAGATTGACTCGTTTCGTAAGAAGGGTTTCCAAATCAAATTGGTGGCAGCTAAACTTCATTTGCATCTAAAATTTAATTACTTTTACATTTGGACTTGCAATGTTTATATTAGTTAGAAATTATTGTTTTGCTTTCTGTCCATTTTTCACTACATCGCTTTCTTATACTTTGAATATAGTTTTTGCAAACTAAATCATGTTCTGTTAATATAGTTTAGTTTGTCAAAACCTGATTTAGTTGCAAACCAGTTGATTTGAGGGGCACAATTAAAAAACACAGATTCCTATCAAGTACAGTTTTTACCTGTCATGTTACGATGTAAATAGGTAAAACTCAGCATATATATATTTCATACCATTTGAATCTTCAAAATATATGCCAATGAAAATTGTTTTGATGGAATTTTAAAATCAACAGTTGTATGCTACAAATTTGCTTTTTCTGTTATGATTCTTTTTTCAAGTATACGTAAAAATTATTAAAGCTTAAATTAAAGTATAGCATATAGATTTTGCTACTTTTAATGAACATTTCTAGATTAACCTTCATCGGGTGCTAATAAAGGAGAAAATTATATCAGTCATGAAAATGTGATTTTTTTTTCAGTGCCGGTACAAACTTTCAAAATCTGACTTCACAGTATGGGATCTCTCATTGTTCATGGGCTATGGTGACCCATAATACCCTTTTTCATTGTCATTTGAACTCAGTGCATGGATAGTTGTCCCAATAGGTGGTCTCAATTGCAACTATACCACATCTCCTTATTTTTATGCAGATTTTTGAATGAATGTCAATTCAAAAGTTGCAATGTTTTGTATATGTTACAGGAAGAGACCCGACAGACACAGAGATGAAACAGCCTCTTCATCATTCAGTGATAAGACAGATGACGTAACTCAGGAAGGTAATATTGACTATAGGAAAAGTATCAGATAAACTTTTTTTTCACATAAATTTAAATATTTAAAACTGAATCTATGGTTTTAACAAATCATGAATAAGAAGCAGAATGTGATGATGTGTTCTAATTCTATATCTATAGCTATAGAGTAATTATGATGTCTGCAATGAAAATCTTTCAACAGTTTTCTAATTTTGACATGAAACTTTTTGTACTAGTTGGTGCTTTTTAATGACACCTTTCTCTAAAGTTAAAATGAGAATAATAACATTTTGTATGTACAAAATCATAAAGAAGTAGCTCAACAATTTTCCTTGCACTCAAGATAAAGTTGATTAAATGCAATTAATGTCTAAGCTAAAAACAACAACGTCTTTAAAACATCATTGTAAATCAGTGCTGATTGAAAACTTTTGGAGAAAATTATGCCTCTTGGAAATGTAAATAATATGAATTTGACCATTGTGAGCAATCTTGTGGCTATTTACCCTTAAATGAAATGTAAGCCAAAGTGATATAAGCCAATAGATTTTGGGGGACACTTATTTCCAGAAATGTAAATAATATGGAAATTAAGAAAGCACTCTTAAATCTACAGTTCTCAACAGAGTTTAATGAAATTTATGTCAAATGTTACATCTGCAATATCAGGGATAAGTAGATTAGATATTATAGGAAAAAAGAGGGGGGGGGGGAGTTTTGCCTCTTTGGCATGTAAACATGGTAAACAATATTTAGTATCAACATTGTAAACACTCTCACACCGACATTTACAATAGGCATTCAGTGAATTTTTTGTCAAAAGTTTAAATCAGCAATATGTCTAATGAATTTTGAAATCAGTGTGAATTATTTTATGAAAGTTATGCCCCTTTGAAATATATAATTGGTGATATGGAAAATTCAAATTTATGAGATATTGGCTACTCTGTAGCAATCTTATTGAAAAAAGGCTCTCAGACAGTTTTAATGCAGATCAATGTGAGAACCATAGCTGTGATGTAAATCATTTTTCTTTTAGATGAAGTGACAGAGGTTCCTGACTTAGATCAGATGTTTAAGTTAACACAACAAGAACAGGATTTGATATTAGAGGAATGGAATGAGGGTAAGATAAAAAGCCCTAATAAATCATTTTTCTTTCATTCATGGGCACTTTTGATTAAGGCTCAGCTAGGTGGTTGGAAATACTGTAAAACAACTAATTTTCGTGAGCGATTTATTTAAGAGACTTTCTGGAGTCATTAAATAACAATAATATAAATCATTGTGAATGCAAAACATGAATCTTTCCTTTAATTTAACTACATCAAGAAAATCTGAAATTTGGAAATTAAATGGCTACAAAGAGGGCTAGAAAGAGCCAAACACGAAATAGATTATCAATGAAAATAAGTTTGTTTTTCAGTAATGTAAACCTCATGTGGATTAAATTTTGTTGAACATTAAACTGGTAATTTAACCTAAAAATTTCAGTTTCAACACCAACTATAGATCTACATCAAATGTAGAGTTGCACAGTTGTCATATTTACTACTAGGAAAAATAATGTCTTAAGCTATTCACCGTTTCAGAATCTAATGCATTCTGGGTAACATTTTCAAAAGCAAACACCAAATTGTTTTGATTGGTTTAATACTTCCTAAACAATTGAAATTCAACCAATGACGTAATGTTATTTTCATTTTGAGACTACCCATAGTCCTTTAGATTCTAAAGAGGCTATTTACTCTATATCTCCAAAATGAATAACTGAATAGGACCTACACAGCTACTTTTGCATAGGTACTATTTCTGTACTTAATATCTGTAGTACTGGAAATTTACTTTTGATATTTAGTACTATTTCTTTACTTTAAAGTTATTGTGATATTTAGGTACCTGTATTTTACAGTACTTGATTTGTAATTAAAATTTTGGTACAGAAATAATACCAACAGTGATCACAAAATTCCATGTTTGAAAATCATAACTTTAAGAGATTTGAAATAGACAAACTTTCTAAATGCTAAAAATGTAATGGTGTAACCAAAAATCTGTAGTACTTAAATTTTAAGTACAAATCAAGTACTGTAAAATACCGGTACCTAAATATTACAATAATTTTAAAGTAACAAAATAGTACTGAATATTAAAAGAAGATTTCCAGTACTACAGATTTTTGGTACAGAAATAGTATCTATGCAAAAGTAGCTGTGTATATGTATATAAATCTCTCAAAATATAAAAATTATAATTAAATTTTATGAAAAAAGGTTGATTGCTTAAATATTTTCAAATACTAACTGAGACTCTTTATTTAGAATATGGTCATGCATTTTATAGATATGGACACAGGTGAAGAAGATGAAATATCTTTAGATGACCAGAAAATGATAAAAGAATTAAATGACAAGAGTAGAAACTCTCGGTATTTAAGAATGATGGAGTTCAGAAAGAAATTACCTTCTTATGATATGAGGGAGGTCAGTAAATACTGAAGAATTTTTATGAGTAGTGTGATATTAATGCCAAGAAAACATTAATCTCCTCAAATTTCCTATTTTGTATATTGCATATTCAGAAATATTTGCCATGTTTTTTTTTATTTTTGGGAAATAGGATAGGTTAGGTTTTCCCAAAATATAAATTAGCATTTAAAATTTTGATAGCATTATAAATTGTATTACAACAATCTCAATAATAATGCTCACAGAAATTTCTGATTTTACAGTACTCTTTTTTTTCAGCTCAATTCTGGAAATAGTTTTCTGTCATAGATAATCTTATAAGAATCACATTCAGTTTGAACAGATTTTTATATGACCGCAAAAATAATGCTATGATGTCGTCGTTGTCTACATCCGAAGACACATTTGGTTTCCGGACAATAACTTTAGTTTAAGTGAATGGATCTCTATGAAATTTTACCAGAAGGACCAATACCACAAAAGAAAAGTTGGGATTGATTTTGGGGTTATGGTACCAACAGTTTAGGAATTAAGGTCCAAAAAGGGGCCAAAAACAAGCATTTTGTAGTTTCTGGACAATAACTTGTGTGTAAGTGTACATAGATCTCTCTGAAATTGTACCACAAGGTTCCATATCGCAAAGGGAAGGTTTGGATTGAGTTTGGGGGGAACTGCCCCAAACGTTCAGGAATTACGGGCAAAAAAAGGGCCAAAAACAAGCATTTATCTAGTTTCCAGACAATAACTTGTGTTTAAGTGTATGGATCTCTCTAAAATTGTACTACAAGGTTCCATACCATAAAGGGAAGGCTGGGATTGAGTTTAAGGGTAATTACTCCAAGGTGGGGGTTCAAAAAGTTGGGGAGGGGGATTTTTTTGGGGGGTTCATTTTTTCTTCAAAATTTTTGAAATTTCAAATTTTTGAAATCTTCAATTGCACAGTATTGCGCAATAGCAAGAAATCTTCAATTGCACAGTACTGCGCAACAACACAGTATTGTGCAATAGCACAGAATTGCGCAATAGCAAGAAATCTTCAATTGCACAGTATTGCACAATAGCACAGTATTGCACAATAGCAAGAAATCTTCAATTGCACAGTATTGCGCAATAGCACAGTATTGCGCAATAGCAAGAAATCTTCAATTGAAAACAAATACAAAACTTTTAACCAATTTCAATGGGATTAATTAAGTCTTTAATTTTTTTGGGGGTTCTAACCTTGTATAATTTTTTTGGATATAGGGCCCCATTTTTAAATTGGTCTTCATTTTGTGTCAGAAAGTTATATTATGTCAAAAATTTGATCACAATCCAAATTCAGACAGTATCAGCCTTGAATATTGTGTCCAAACTTGCCCCAACTGTTCAGGGTTCGACCTCTGCTGTCGTATCAGGCTGTGCTCAGCAAAGCATTTTATTTACTAATTCACTAATAAGCAACCAGGGTGATCATTTTATTTTACTGGCAAAGAAAGAATGTATTGATAAAAAAGAAAAAAAATTTACTTAGTCTTTTTTTTCTTTAAATTCAGTAGTTTTGTAAGTTTTTGAAACTATTGATTGTTTAATTATCAAATAAACTGTGACATTTTCAAATTTAATGAACTAGCTCATACAAAACTAATGATTTATTTATAGGTTGTTGTTTTGAAAATTTTGGTTTCAGAAGAAAGCTGACCAATTAAACAAAGGAAATAAGAAATTGTTAGTTTGCTTAAGGATGTTCGCTCCTCTGTTTAAAAATAACAAGCTTTTTAAATGACTGTTATAAATTGTTATAAATTGATAGTATATATATAACAACAATTAAATAGCAGATAAAAATGATAGGTCCCAGACCTTGTTTTCGAGATATAATCAATTGAAAATGTGGTGGGAAATAATTCTCTCTAGATTTTCCATATATTTAACATTGGCACTTTTTTCTTTCAAAAACTATGAAAAAAATAACAAGGATTTTATAAGAATTTCATAAATGGCTTGTTTAACTATATGTATTAAAACTATGAACAGAAAAGTAAGGGTTAGCAGGAAATTTTTTTTATTGGCACTACATAGATAAAACTAGAGGATTCATAATATCTGACAAAAAAGTAAAAAAACAAGAGTAGCGAACATCCTTAAACATATTAAAAAAAATGACACTTTATAAAATTAACCATAAAAAAAACTACATGAAAATATAGAGCCTAAAAATTAAATGTTTTCCAAAACCATTTACATTTTTGTTTGTTAATGAATACTATTGAAAGGTATTTTTTATTAGAGATGTGTTAAAGGGTATCATATGATGAATTCTGTCAACAAAGATTTTCAGTTATAAACAAATATTTTATTGTAGGAGGTTGTGTCTGTGGTGAATTCTAGTCAAGTTACTGTTATCAGTGGAGAAACTGGATGTGGTAAAACTACACAGGTATGCCTTAAAAATTCAGATGAATTGGCAACACAACTAGTCATTGAAAGTATAGGTGTTGTTTAATTGTTGTTAATAGACCAAAGGACAAGGATATATAACAACTAATGTGGTAAAACTTCACAGATAGTGCACATCACTTCAAAACCTTAGGGAAAAGTGACTTTTATAGTTACTGGTATAGTCAAGCATTTATATCTGCTTGTGTGGAACTGTATCTGCAGTCCTAGGACTAGGGTAATAAATTTGCACAGTGTGTCTGATGTGGTTAGCCCTTTCCATAGGTATTTAGTGTTGGGGTTATTTTCTATTATATTGCAATTATGTAAAAAATTTATGCAATTACATATTACCTGTCCAAATATGCAAAACAACCATGGTAACGTAAATAAATACATTTTGTAGTACACTTATATCTCTATGCACAAAGATGATCCTTGTGCAATAAGTTTTTTTTGTTGAATATGCTCAAAATAACAACCTGCTAAAATATCCATGTTTTCAGTAAGGGCTATTCCATTAAAATGTATGTGGGAGGGTAGGAAGGGACTTTCAAAATATCCCTACAACCAAGAACCATTTTTTAGATAAATTTGCATAATGGTAATAGACGCATACTGAAAAAAGATCCATGACCCACATTCAATAATTAAACTTCCCTTCCTACCCTCCCACATACATTTTAATGGAATAGCCCTAAACAGATAGGTTTTGAATGACGTAATATGAGATAATCAACCATTTATTTTCTGTAGTCAAACACATTTGAAATTTACAAAATTATGATAACAATGATGATTATAAATAGTTGTGTGTTTTGTAGGTTCCACAGTTTATTTTAGATGATTGTATTCAGAAAGGACAGGGGTCAAAATGTCACATTATTTGTACACAACCAAGGAGAATTAGTGCTGTTTCAGTAAGTTATAGAGTTAAAGGTTACTTGAGATGGTCAAAATGGGTTGTTTGTTTTTGAATCTCTGTTGTATTAGTTAAGAGTCCGGTTAGAATAACTTAAGAGGTATCCCTTGCAGTCATAAAAATTTTGAGCATGATTATCATACTCAGACTATGAAATCAGCCAATCGAAATAATGGATAAGGTGTTTCGAGCACAAATTTTGTACTCTGATTACTGAGTAAAGTTTTATGACCAAATAATGAATAAAAATGGTTTCACTAAAATTTGTCATTAATTTTCTTAGTTTGCAAACAAAGAAGACATTGAATTGATATTCCAAAAATTATTGATATAACCTGTTATATTCTTGATAGTAGACAATGGCAGGTAAAATGAAAATGATGGCATTGTTTTTAATTTTTTTTTCTGAGTTTCAGTATTTCCACTTGGACAGTCTTTACTTGCTTCAGTCATTTTCTAGTTAAATGATTTAATACACAGAAAACCAGTTTGATAGTAAAAATCCTTAATAATATAAAAAGTTTAAATATAATAATAATTATAAATTATATCATGAAGATACACTAAATATTTAAAAACTGAAGAATAAACACTAAATATTGCAAGGAGATCAAAAACTATAATTTTTTATATGGTGTCCTGTTTTTGCTCTGTGGTATTTTACATGAAAAAGTATGAAAGAAATAAGGAGGAAAAAACTATGGAAGGGGGTTTCGATATTACCGTGGCAAATAGAGAAATGTGGAAAAAGAGGACAACAAGCATGATAAGTCTACAAACCTGAGAGAAAACTGATAATTTAGCAATACAATTAATTTATAGGAGTTTAAATCCACTTTCAGTCAGTTTTTATTTGTGGAGGAAGCAGGAGTGCTCGGAGAGAACCATGATCTTCTGTAGGAAATCTGACAATCCTAGTCAATTAAGGTTGATGTGGAGTGCACCTGTCCAGTGATGGATTCAACCTTACAACCTCAGTGTTGACTGACTAGTGATACAGTAGTTCGACTACTTAGACCAATGCCCATCGAGGCCCCTTGTTTAAAATGAGATAGAACTCATGTGCTCTGAAAAAGTAATTAGTTCCTGTTTTAGTAGTACATGTACAATGATGTATGAATAGATATTACAAATTACAAAAAAAAATAAGAAAACACAGCAAACTGTTTTGAATGCCATTACCAATTTTTACTTCCAACATATTCTTATCTATTTTCTGTTTCAGGTAGCACAGAGAGTGGCTGATGAGAGAGCTGAGGCTTGTGGGAAGGGTAATTCTGTTGGATATTCTATAAGATTAGAAAGGTTATTTTTCTGTTTATATTTTTTATGCTGAGATTAAAATGTTTACCACCAATAAATTCTTATTCCATTTAAGGATGTTCGCTACTCTGTTTCAAAATAACAAGCTTTTTAAAAGACTGTTATAAAGTGATAGTATATAAATAAAAATGAAGGGTCCATGTGCTTGTTTTCAAGACATAAGCCATTGAAAATTTGGCGGGAAATAATTCTCTCTAGATTTTTCATACATTTAACATTGGCACCTTTTTTCTTTCAAAAACGATGAAAAATAACAAGGATTTTATAAGATTTTCAAAGATGACATTTTAAACTATATGTAATCAAATTATGGAAAGAAAAGTAGGGGTTAGTGGGCAAAATTTTTAATGGCACTACATGAATAAAACCAGAGGATTCCGAATATCTGGCAAAAATTCAAAAACAAGAGGAGCGAACATCCTTAAACAGTTTTTTTCATCAAAAACTAATGTCCCACCAATAAAAATTATTTGGAAATCACCATTTTGGTTGGATAATAAATTTTAAGCTTGCGGTATATTTGACTTTTAAATCGATCAGTTGTCAGATTTTATGATATAATGTTTGTTCTGTTTTAGAGAGACCCCAAGAAGTAAAGGTTCAATACTGTTTTGTACAACTGGTATTTTGATCAAATACCTGGAATCAGACCCGTAAGTACTGTTTTTAATACCTTGACATGAGATACATGTAGATAACATTAAAGGGGCATCACAAACATTACATAAAAGTCTAAAGTTTGAGACTGCATTAATGTCCCAGTTTACACAACTATGGCCACTAGAAAAATGTGTTTAATCCTTATAATTCTCAATAATTGTTTGTAATTTTTTTTAATTTCACCTTTTGTGTATAGCGCATTTATTTATCACAATGAAATCTAAACAATGTTTTACCTAAGGGATGGAAGTAGTTTAAACAACATGTTGCATTGAAGTGGAAACCAAGGAAAGAAATTCTAATGGACCAATTGCATTCAAGTATTTGTAGATATGCAGATCATATCAGAATTATCAGAAAATTAAAAACAAGACTTCACTGAAATGTTGTGGTTGGTTGTAAAGCAACATGAGCTCATTTGATTTGAATAATCTATTGAGTCACATGACAGGATGTTTTGTTTTCATTTCAGATCCTTGATCAGGGCCAGTCACATTATTATTGATGAGATTCATGAGAGAGATTTGTTGTCAGATTTCCTGATGATTATTCTGAAAGATTTGTTACCAAAGCGACCAGATTTAAAAATTATATTGATGAGTGCTACATTAAATGCAGAGCAATTTTCAAAGTATTTTAGTATGTTATAGTAGAATATTCATTCTCATAGTATTTCTTTAAGATTTATGTATGCATGACTGAAAATTTCTTGTGTAATGATTACAGGAACAGATTAAAGTTAAATTTTTCTATTGTTTATTCACACATATAAGTGCAACAGCATTAACATGATTAAGTTGTAAATGTGGCAATTACCATGAATTTTTAATATTTTATGAGTAATTCCCCTTTGTTCAGATGAAGATGAAGGTTGGTTTAGTAAAGAGAAGGGTCCATATTCATATCTCGTTCACAAGTTCTTTTTCTGATGTGTATGTAATATTTGCTATTGGTGATTAAACACCAATTCATCATCGTAGAATTATTGGTGGTTGCTTAAATGTGTCTGCCAGAATATATTCTTTGATAAATATCCAAGCTGTGCTATAAAACTTCTCCAATTCCATAAAATACAATTTTGATTCATACCTAGTGAGCTTTTCTCATCACTTGGCGTCCATCGTCTGTGGGCTGTCGTTATCCTTCATCATCCGTCGTCGTCTGTTCACTTTAACAAAAGTCTTGTCCTCTGAAACAACTGGGCCAAATTTGACTAAAACTAAATTTGGCCACAATCATCATTGAGGTATCTAGTTTAAAAGATGTGTACGATGATCCCGCCTGCCAACTTGGTTGGCAGACATGGCTAAAAATAGAACATAGGAGGTAAAATGCAAGTTTTGTCTATTATTTTGAAAACCATTATAAATAAAGAAAATCTGACAAGGGCAAAAATATTCAAAATGTTGAACTCAACCTATTGTCCATGTACGTCAAAACTTTCAGACAATTTCTTAAAGGAGTTATTGCCCTTAAATGACAAATTTTCACAATTTTTTTTCATTTTTGCCTTTTATCTTGAAAACTATAATAGATAGAGAGAAACTTTAAAATGCAAAAATGATCAGCTAGACTTGTTCTACAAATAAGTCTAATGCTGGAAATCGTCAGTCAACTCTTTATAAGAGTTATGGCCCTTTGATGATGAATTTTTACCAAATTTTGGCGTTTTGTCTTATATCTTAAAAATTATAATAGATAGATAGAAACTTAAATAGGCAAAAATGATCAGCAAGACAATTAATACAATATGGTGGAAATTGTCTGATGACTCCTTACTGGAGTTATTGCCTCTAAATGACGATTTTTACCAATTTTTTGGCATTGTTCCTTATATGATAAAAATTATAATAGATAGATAGAAACTTAAATAAGCAAAATTGATAAGCAAGACAAGATCTACAAACAAGTCAATGTTGACGATATAGTAAGAAGACTGTCACTCTTTATAGATGTGATTGCCCTTAATTTAGGATTTTGTTTTACCCTTTTTTGTCTTTTGAGCAAAAACTAAAAAAGATAGAGAGAAACTAAAAGGACTAAATGATTAGCAATACAAGATCAACAAAACAGAGATTTTTGTCATGAATTCTATTCTCGCCTACAATGTTGCAGAGTGTCATTTGTTGAATATGCATATAGCCCAAGGTGAGCGACACGTACAGGCTCTTTAGAGCCTCTAGTTTCTCAATCCATGAAAAATTGGTACCCACCAAAATAAATGAATCCACAGTAACATCTCGCATTGTGATATTTTATACATATAAATGAATGCAGATTTTTTCTGAAATCGTAGTAATTAATCTCGCATTGTTTTCCATTTTTCATAAATCACAATTTTTAATGCATGTAATAGTTTCTGAATTTACTTCATTAATGTGTAAAGTAAGTGGTAAAGCAAAATTACCAAAAAAAATTAGTTTGAAAGTTTATTGATTTCAGGACAATCAGCTGAATTTTTCTAGCAAATTTTACTTTTTTTCCAGATAATTGTCCCAAGTTGAATATCCCAGGTTTTACCTTCCCAGTGACAGAATACAGATTGGAAGATGTCTTAGAGATGACTAAGTAAGATATTGTTTCATATAATACAAGACCCTTACATTCATTTTGTAAGTGTTTTGCTTTGTTAATGGCAGTTAAAGAAACACGAAAATATGACCCCACACAAAATTCCCAGCATGTTTTAAGATTTAGTGCAGTTTAAAGTGTTACATACATTATACTGTTAATTAACAAGTATACACCTAATTGATATGTAAAATTGAGAATGGAAATGGGGAATGTGTCAAAGAGACAACAACTCGACCATAGAGCAGACAACAGCCGAAGGCCACCAATGGGTCTTCAATGCAGCGAGAAACTTCCGCACCCGGAGGCGTCCTTCAGCTGGCCCCTAAACAAATATGTATACTAGTTCAGTGATAATGGACGTCTTACTAAACTCCAAATTGTACACAAGAAACTAAAATTAAAAATGATACAAGAGTAACAAAGGCCAGAGGCTCCTGACTTGGGACAGGCGCAAAAATGCGGCGGGGTTAAACATGTTTTTTGAGATCTCAACCCTCCCCCTATATCTCTAGCCAATGTAGAAAAAACAAACGTACAACAGTACGCACAGTAAAACTCAGTTTAAGAGAAGTCCGAGTCCGATGTCAGAATAGGAAACAAAAGAAAATAAACAAAATGACAATAATACATAAATGAACAAAGGACTACTAGCAGTTACTGACATGCCAGCTCCAGACCTCAATTAAACTGATTGAAAGATTATGTCTTCATCATATGAAAATCAAGTACAATCCCTCCCGTTAGGGGTTTAGTATCATACCATCATAAAATATATGAGAAGAACATAACCCGTATCATACCAACAACTGGTTTTAGAATAAATGTGTTTAATTCCGATGCAAAGACCCTATAAGTGAATCAATATTAAAGCCAAAATATGCAATCTTTTATGACCTGACAACAGTATCGTAACTATATCCCTTCTTAATAAGTCTGTTTAAAGGTTTGGTAATCTTTTGAGGTGAATACTGACATTTTTGGGCTTTGTAATGAATATTACCATAAAAGATTGGATGTGAAATACCTGAACGTATAAGATGTCTGCATGTTGAGTTATATTTACGAATGATGTCCTTATACCGATGATAAAATTTAGTAAATGTTTTGACTAGTTTATGATATCGAAAACCCTGGTGTAATAATTTTTCAGTAATACATAAATTTCTCTCTCTAAAATCTAAAACGTTGTTACATACACGAGCGAATCGTACAAGTTGAGATATATAAACACCATATAAACTATTTTCACCGTAAATGAAAATAAAGTTTTACTAAAAAATCAGCCTTTTCTTTTGAACGACAGATCACACGAATGAGCATTTTTAATTAAGATCTCCGTTCTTTTTAAATAATTAAGTTGGTTTAAAATCATACATGTATTACCTTCTGACAACACAGCAATCAGTGACATGTTTCAAACTGTTAATTAGCCTTCTATTTATCATTGTCATAACCTAAAAATGCTGCATATAATGTGCAAATTAAATTAAAAACAAATTACATTTGCACAGATATTTGCCCAAATATGCTTTAGAATGCTCTGTTATACCATCACAAAAATGATCAAGAGTTTTTAGCATGCTGCAATGTATAAGAGGCATGTGTTACCTGTGAAGTGGATGAAGTCAGTAAAGATAATTCTTTTTTTAAAATACTTCACGGTTTTGCAAAATTGTTTTCCTTAGAAATTTTGTGAAGGATTAGGGATTGACTGAAATGATGGTGACCTTCACTTTTGAAGGATGGGGCATATATGGAGTAATAAGAATTTTTTAATTTTAAACGATCAATAGTCATGTTGTGTTGTCAAAACAATAACTTACATGTTGAGAAAAACATGCATTACTTCTCCTTTATAAGTTTGCACATTCTGGTAAATATCAATTAGTGGTATGAATATACAAAACATACAGAAATACTAAAGAACAGTTTAAATACTGGATTCATTAAATTGTGGATGCCAATTTTTCGTGGATTTAGGAAAAAGTTGAAGTTTATGGATACTTCATGTGTTTGACAAATTTTGCATACATGACTGAACTTCGATGTAGTCATTTCAAAATTGATGGTCACCTATATAAAACAAGGAAATCAATAAAACATACACCAAAGTTCAAATGAAGTGGTTGTTAGCAATTATAGGCAACAGTAAGGCCTTCAACAAAGGAGAAAAACCCATATGTATAGTCAATTATAAAAGGCCCAGACATGAAAAATATGACACAATTCAATTGAGAAAACTAGCAGGCTAATTTAAAAACTATTTGTACTTTTAGGTATGTTCCGCCTACAGCTAAAAAGAAAAAGGTTCGATATGGACCAAAATTCAAACAGGACAGGGATGAAGCAGACTTGAATCAGTGGAACTTGGATGCCTGGTGCAGAAATCTTGAAGGGTAACTGAAATTTTTTGTTGAATATTTTTAAATAGTTATGAAATGAGATCCTTCTTATATCTTTACATGGCTTAGTTTTATGCCACCAATTTTGGTTAAGTTACCGTCCATTCAATAAGATATGTACACTGTTTGTTTGATATAAATTCAAACTGTAATTTTTTTTATTAAAAAAGAATAAGTTTTCAGTATATTATACAGGGAGTATTATTTGAAATATCCGCTTTTATGTCACCAATTTTGGTTTAAGTTAATGTCCATTCAATTAGATGTGTACACTGTTTGTTTAATATACATGATATAGATTCAAACTGGAATTATCTATTTAAAAAAAAAAAACGTATTCATTATATCATACTGGGAGTATTATTTAAAATAGCTTTTCAGTACTTGTGAAGCAAACTGTTTGATAAAAAAAAAATCTGATCATTTATGCAAAAAAATTTATTAATTTTTGATTTTTAACTAAATATTTTGCTATGATTATCTCCCTTGTAATAAAGTAAATAAAACATAGTACCAGGTATTTAGTTATTTATAGTTTTACTTGCATTTCGTATGGACCAACAAGACCAATAGCTCAAACACTGACAGCAATTCTTATTTACAAAATATTAATGTTCCGTTGTAGGTACTCAAGGCAAACAATTCAGTCCCTGAAGGATATGGATTTGGAACTAATAGACCTGGACTTGATACACAGTCTGATTAGACACATTGTATATAAATTGGAGGTAAAAATTTATTAATTGTCATTTTTTTTTAATTTTAAGTGCTACGGGAATTAAAAATATTTGAAGAAATCAAACTTAAGTTAAGTTATATATAATTTTTTGTTTCTGTTCAACTAGTGTTTCTGGACACCAGTAATCACAGTCTTCTGTAGGAATTCGGTATGATTTAAAGAATTTTGTTCCTTTATGTGGGATTACAGTGCATTCTATATACAATTTGTTTTTCCATATAAGTTGAATAAAAAGAGGAAGAAGATACAAAAAAGCTAATAAAAATTTATTAGTCGAAGAGAAACCATGGCAAAAAAATGAAAATCAATGAAAAGACAAAGAACAGTATACATATTACTACATAGAAAACTATAGGCTGAACTACATCTTCAGGTGCTCTTGAAGGGAGGAAGATTCTGCTTATAGAATCTATTTACTGTGGATTCATTTATTTCCATGGATATTTGATTTGGTAGATTTGCCGAAGTCTGTGTACAAGCTTATATAAATTTGTTCTTCGTTGAACAATTAAATTTATGGTTCACCTATTTCCACAAAATCCACCAATAATAATGTACCTTTAGTAATAGTTACAGACTGTAGAAAAAAAAGTAATTAAAACAATTGCATATAAATATTTGTTTGTTTGCAGGAGGGAGCCATATTGGTGTTTGTTCCTGGATGGGAACAGATCAGTAAATTACATAAGTTATTGAATAATGACAGAATGTTTACATCAGGTAAGGTTTGAATAGGCAGATATGTATCAAACTAGAAAAATGTGTGACAATATCTTTTATTCATATTCTAGTGACTAAAAGATCATACTATTCAAATGCTAAATTTTATAGATTAGTATTATGACAATAAGGGGATGAAATGTGGTATGATTGCTAATATAAACAACTATCAACCAGAGTTACCAATGACAAGGAAGTAAGCAATGTTTATTTAAAAGTATCTTTATGCACCATTGATCTTTTAGTGGCCATGCTTTTGCATTAACATTCAAGCATACATCATCATCATCATCATGAGTTGAATTTTTCTGTGATTCTTCAGTTGACTTTAGTACAATTTTTTTCATTTAGTATGATGATGAAAAAGTACTCATATCGGAATATTGATGTTTGGAATACTATAGCATTCTTAATCTGAATATCTTATTTTCAAAACTTCCTTCTTGGTCACGTTATAGCATGCTCTACATTGAGTACATGATCGTTAGGGCATAGGTTTCCATAAGTTTCCATAACTAGCTAAGTCTATTTAAAGACTTTTGAATTACAATATGAAATTTTAAACATGGTTTGACTGCAAGTGAGACAACTATCCACCAAAGACCTGAGGACATGGAGGCAACAGTAGGGTCTCCAATAATGAGCAAGATGTGAAACTATTCAAAGAGAATTGTTCAAGTTTTATATTTTCTGATCTGGTTAATGTAAGAAAAGCTAAGGTATTTGTGAATGTATAAAAGCATATACTATGTTTTAAAAAGTAGACCAGACATATTTCTTTCTTTCTTTCTTTCTTTCTTTCTCAATCATACAAATACCTCTGAACTCAACTTGTTTTTTATCAGCAAACATGTGGTCAATTATCAAACTGATTCATTAAGTCTTTTCATTTTCCAATTTCCATCCTGACATTTTGATGTCTTCATTTGCTTTGTAGGTAAATTTAAGATTATTCCATTACACTCTTTGATGCCTACCATTAACCAGAAAGAAGTCTTTAACAGACCCCCACCTGGTGTGAGAAAAATTGTCATAGCAACAAATATTGCTGAGACCAGGTAAGACTCATTCTTAGATAATGCATAAGGGCTATTCCATTAAAATGTATGTGGGAGGGTAGGAAGGGACTTTCAAAATATCCCTACAACCAAGAACCATTTTTTAGATAATTTTGCATAATGGTATTAAATAGACACATACTAATAAAAAGACCCATGATCCACATTCAATAATTAAATTTCCCTTCCTACCCTCCCACATACATCTTAATGGAATAGCCCTAAATTGAAATAAGATGATGTGGTATGATTGCCAATGACATAACTATCCATCAGGAAATAAATGATGGGGTGTCGGCATTTAAAGGTCACCATATGACCTTCATAAAAGATCAAAAGCCATACTAAATAAACATATATGGCAGATGACAATCAATGGAAACTACTAAATTACAAGTTACAGTATTGGGTCAGGCACATACAGAGTGTAGTGGGGCTTGTGTGGGCTTAACCCTCCTGTAAAAACTGTTTTCTGCTTACCCATCTGATCAAGACAAGCTTAAAAGTTTTTAAACATAAATTTTAACTATTCTTGATAACATCTAAGGTTCGATAAGATCCTAAATATGGTCCTCTTTCTGGCTAAAATTTAAAATTAAGATTAATTGACCAATACAAAAATGAATCAGGATAGCTTATACAATGACAAAATCGAAATATATATATTTTTTTTAATTTACTTACTTGCGCTCTATTCATGGTGTCACAAATAGTACTCATTCTGATTGATTTCTTGGATATGAAACATAGAGTTCAGGCGTTGACAAATAGATCTTTTAGCATAATCTTTGTTTTTTATACTGAAACATTGAACTTAATAATCAAGGCTGAATATGGCCAGGGTAGGAAACTCACTGGAAATGTCTACCAGACCAAAGGGCTGGCTGCATAAAAAAATTACCTGTCCTGATCAAAATGTACCAGCCCTGAAAATTAATGCAATAAAATTCCAATCCATTTTCCTTCTAGATTCTAAACTATGTTTTTGTGTTTTGAGATGTTTTAATGACTAGAAGTATTATTAGATAAACTTGAGGATTTTTTGTGATGAAAATGACTTATGACTGCTTTTGTAAATACACACTGCAACAAGACTTACAAGTGCACATTTAAGCAGACACTGCTAAGCCTAATGACCATTTGTTCAGAAGCAAGGTGTGATTTCATTTTTAGAATTTTGGTGGGCACTCGGGGGTGTTAGTTTGTCTTCAGTGTAATTCAGAATGCCTTTGTTTGTACCTTTGTTCCACAAAATTACTTTTAAGCAAATAAAAATAAAATTTTGGTTTCATTTAAAATTTAATTGCTCCTCATTTTCACAAATTTTGAAAAATATTTTACCATGCGAGTCGTTACAAATCAACCACTTGAACTCTGTTTTCTAACAAGGAACAATTGTCCGCTTCCTCTTATACTGATCGTACAATTCATTTTTTTCTGTTGAGTCAACAGCAGTTTGCTTTTTCGGCGACGAAAGGCCCAAGTACTGTCGTAAAGACATGAGTTTACCAAAACAAAATTGTACTTTCGATTTCCTCTAATATTTATTTTTTATTTAATAAACGCGATCACGATTGGACGATCCGATACCAACTAGCCAATGAGTGCGGATCTTACAAACAACAGGTATCACCATGTTCCCTGCAGAAATCGCGTGGAAACACGTGGTAGTAAAAAAGGCAACAGTAGTATACAGCTGTTCGAAACTCATAAATCGATAGAGATAAAAACAAATCCGGGTTTCAAACTAAAACTGAGGGAACGCATCAAATATAAGAGGAGAACAACGACACAACAAAAACACAACATTAAAATGTAACACACACAGAAACGAACTATAATATAACAATGGCTATTTTCCTGACTTGGTACAGGACATTTTAATAAAAGGTTAATTGGCAGTCATGATTCTTACGTGCTGTTATGAATGGGGTAATACTGAGAACTCATTCCAAAAAGTAGAAAAAGTTAATCCCAACCACCTGCAAAAAATAGACCGTCCACCGGACTGTTGAAATTTAATTTTTGACCGCCCGATCGTAAAATTGGCCGTCTCGGGCGGTCAGGCGGGCTATAATTTCCAACTCTGATATGGCCCTTACCTAACTCATTCAAAGTTGATGTCTGATGTTGCTTATCTTTTCTAATTTAGTATAACAATAGATGATGTCGTGTTTGTTATTGACTGTGGTAAAATTAAAGTGAAGGACTTCCATCCAGAACAGAATATGACAACATTAGAGGCTGAATGGGTGTCAAGGGCAAATGCAAGACAAAGACGTGGAAGAGCTGGAAGGTAAATAACTTCAGTGTACAAGGATATTTATATTCAAGCATTAAACTATAAATTCTTGAAATAATAAGAGGGGGTTTGGATTGGCTTTAAGTGGTATAGTATAGTACATTAATATTTCAAAGGTTTATATATCGTTATGCACTGAAAAGATGAAATTCAAGTTTTAAATTGTTTTCAATTCATACTTAACCATGTGAACATGTTTTTAAAACTGTTTGATATAAAATATAAAAAAATGTTCCCTAAATACTTAACATCAGATGAAAAAAGTACGTACACTTTATGACCTGAGATTTTCTTCTTCTATGAACTGCATTTTGATTTTCATAGGTTGACAGGTATGAAATTATTTTGAAAAAAAATATATAGATTGGAAAAGATGTTATTTTATCATACATTATACTGTGGATTCATTTATTTTTGTGGGTATCAATTTTCGTTGATAGAGATAAAAAGACGTTTCGTGGTATACGTAAATTCGTGGATCGCTGATCACAAAAAAAATTTAAATTCAGATTCGTTATTCGTGGATTTCTTTTTGATTTAGATCATGTAACCTCCTTAGTTTGATCAATAATAAAACAAACAAAAAAGAAGGAATTCGTTGAAAAAGTTTTGAATTGTCAAAATCCTCGCTTGGTCATTTTTGGTTAAAGTGTTCATTGAAAACTTCTATTACAATAATGGACAGAGACAACTAATTATTTGTTTGTTTTACAATTTATAAATTCTTGTCGGAATTTTATAAGGCATTCAAAACTCTATGATTGAAAGCTCATTTCCCTAATCACAATATAATAAACAGTCATATAAGTAAAAGGTGTGAAAATAAATGTTCCTGTCATAAACAATATTACCTACGGGCAATATCCCCGTACTTAATCCTATTGATTTTTAATCACTTGTAAACCAAACTATGACACGGTAATTAACAACTTACAGTTATTTTCCATGAACAGTTTTAATCAATTTTAAAAAGTAAATTATCACTGATATTCGATATATTTATTATTGATTTAATCAAAATACTTGTATCTTCTTTCAATAAAAACGTGTTATGTTACAATGTTCATCGCTAGTCAACACTATACTAGAACTGCATATTAAACATAACCGGAAATAACCATCCGACTCCATACACATTTCTCAGGATTATTCTTCGTTGAATTCTTAAATTCGTGGTTTGCTGTGACCCACGAAACCCACGAAAATTGGTATACCACGAATTAAAATGAATCCACAGTATTGAATATGTCAGTTTACTTTTTACAGAGTACAAGCTGGCCATTGTTTTCATCTGTTTACAAGTTTAAAAGAGACTGAATTAAGAGATTACATACCACCTGAAATTTTGAGGACAAGATTAGAGGAACTCTGCCTGCAGATAAAGGTATGTATGTGATAGGATGTGTTTAGGGCTATTCCATTAAAACGTATGTGGGAGGGTAGGAAGGGAAGTTTATTATTGAACTTGGGTCATGGGTCTTTTTTCAGTATGCGTCTATTACCATTATGCAAAATTATCTGAAAAATGGTTCTTGGTTGTAGGGATATTTTGAAAGTCTCTTCCTACCCTCCCACATACATTTTAATGGAACAGCCCTTATATAAAGATAAGGAAATGTGGTATGATTATCAATGAGACAACTATCCATCAAAGTTCAAATGATGAAGATAAAAGCAATGAATGTACTTAAATGATATAAAAAAAAGCTTAATAAACCAATAAGGGGGACAATACGGTACACATTTGACATCAATGTAAGGTTGCAACAGTGAAAATATAAGTCAAGTCTTTGTATATAAGTTGTGTTGTTATGTTGTTGCTGTTTACACTGTCATTCCATAAGTTATGTCCTTTTTATAATTTTTAGCTCACCTGGCCCAAAGGGCCAAGTGAGCTTTTCTCATCACTTGGCATCCGTCTTCCGTCATCGTCCGTCGTCGTCCGTCTTCATCGTTAACTTGTTACATTTTGAACTTCTTCTAGAGAACCACTGAATGGAATGTAACCAAACATGGCATGATTGTTCCTTATGAGGTACTGACCAAGTGTTGTTACTTTGTAGCCGATCCATCATCCAAGATGGCCGCCAGCGGGGGACTTAGTTTAACGTAGGACCCTATCGACAATACATACAAATGTCTTCTTTTACAGAACCACTGAATGGAATGAAACTAAACGTGGCATGAATGTTCCTTATGAGGTCCTGACCAAGTGTTGTTACTTTGAAGCCAATCCATCTTCCAAGATGGCCGTCAGCAGGGGACTTAGTTTAACATTGGACCCTATGGACAATACATACAAATGTCTTCTTTTAGAGAACCACTGAATGGAATAAAACAAAACATGGCATGAATGTTCCTTATGAGGTGTTGACCAAGTGTTGTTACTTTGAAGCCGATCAGTCATCCAAAATGTCCACCAGCAGGGGACTTAGTTTAACATAAGACCCTATGGGAAATACATACCCCCAAGATTTTTTATTTAATTACGGGGCCAATATTAAACCAAATTTGGCCTCAATCATTATGCCAGAGAGGGACTTAGTTTAACATAGGACCCTATGGGAAATACATGCAAATGTCTTCTTTAAGAAAACCACTAAATGGAATGAAATAAAACATGGCATGAATGTTCCCTAAGAAGTGCTGACCAAGTGTTTTTACTATGTAGGTGATCAATCATCCAAGATGGCCGCCAGCGGGGGACTTAGTTTAACATAGGACCCTATGGACAATACATACTAAAGTCTTCTTTTAGAGAACCACTGAAGGGAATGAAACCAAACATGGCATGAATGTTCCTTATGAGGTGCTGACCAAGTGTTGCTACTTTGAAGCCGATCCATCATCCAAGATGGCCGCCAGAGAGGGACTTAGTTTAACATAGGACCCTAAGGGAAATACATACAAATGTCTTCTTTTATAGAACCACTGAATGGAATGAAATAAAACATGGCATGTATGTTCCTTATGAGGTGCTGACCAAGTGTTGTTACTTTGTAGGCAATCTGTCATCCAAGATGGCTGCCAGTGGTTGACTTCTTTTAACATAGGACCCTATAAACAATACATACAAATGTCTTCTTTTAGAGAACCACTGAATGGAATGAAACCAAACATGGCATGAATGTTCCTTATGAGGTGCTGACCAAGTGTTGCTACTTTGTAGCCAAGCAATCATCCAAGATGGCTACAAGAGGGGAACTTAGTTTAACAAAGGACCCTATGTGAAATACATACAAAAGTCTTCTTTTGAAGAACCACTGAATTGAATGAAACCAAACATGGCATGAATGTTCCTTATGAGGTGCTGACCAAGTGTTGTTACTTTGTAGCAAATCCATCAACCAAGATGGCTCCCAGCGGGGGACTTAGTTTAACAAAGGACCCTATGAGAAATATATACAAATGTCTTCTTCTAGAAAACCGCTTAATGGATTGAAACCAAACATGGTATGAATGTTTCTTTAGAGGTGCTGACTAAGTGTTGTTACTTTGTAGCTTATTTGTCATCCAAGATGGCTGCCAGCAGGGGGAGTAAGTTTAACATAGGACCCTATGGGAAATACATACAAATGTTTTCTTCTAGAGAACCACTGAATAGAATGAAACCAAACATGGCATGAATGTTCCTAATGAGGTGCTGACTAAGTGTTGTTACTTTGTAGCCGAACCATCATCCAAGATGGCCACCAGCAGGGGACTTAGTTTAACATAAGACCCTATGGGAAATACATACCCCCAAGATTTTTTATTTAATTACGGGGCCAATATTAAACCAAATTTGGCCTCAATCATTATTAGAGTATCCGTTATGATTTCCAAAACCAAAGCAGAACCAGGTGAGCAACACAGGCTCTTGAGAGCCTCTAGTTTCTTTATTTATTGTTGCTGTTAAAAACAATGTCATTCCAAGATCATTGTTTATATCCATAATCATGATAATTGATTAATGCAAAGATGTAGGACGACCAACTATTGTTTGAATGACTTGTAAAACTAACCACATAGACTTATTATGAATTTACTAGGCAATATCCCTGGTTATCCACAAACTAATGAACAGGAAAATTTGGCTAATTGTTGTAGGTCCAGTTATTTGTTACAACAGCAAAGAAAAGCATATTTAAAGATGTTTTCAGATGAAAAAAAAACCATACATTTCTAAATGCATTTTATAGGAGATATTTTCTTTTACAGCTATTAAAATTAGGAAAAATAGAACCGTTCATTAACAAAGCCATGGAGAAACCATCTTTACAAGCTGTTCACAAATCTATTGCTATGTTACAGAATCTTGTGAGTATACATCTTAGTGGTTATTTAGGCGTGTTATTTAGTCAACACTTCAGTACTGACATGATTTATAAACAAAACTTTCAAAAATTGTCTGAATTTAGAAATTATTAAGAAACTATTAAAGGTTTCAAATCCCTCAGGCAAAGTCAACCTCAGAGTGATTTTGCAATTATTTTTAGATCCTCTAAGATATCTAGCTCTTCTACTATTTCAGTTCTTATACATCCTTGGTTTTCAAATACTGTGGATTCATTTATTTTCGTGGATACCAATTTTCGTGGATTAAGGAAAACTTACATGTTCGTGGATATTTAATTTCGTGGTTTTGCCGAAGGCTGCATATAAGCCTATAGAAAATTTGTCATTCATTGAACATTTAATTTCGTGGTTCACCTGTACCCTACGAAATCCACGAAAATTGGTATCCAACGAATAATAATGAATCCACAGTATGCGGCTTTCGCTTTTGTAATGAAGGTAAATCCAGAAAAGCACTTCAGACGAATGAAACTATAAAGTGTTGTTTTCATTTTAAGGCCTCTTTTTTTAGACCCTCTGAATACAAAATAAATCTTAAGTACTGTTAATATACTAAATACCACCCTTCGGTTGTTCGCAAGTCGGTTGGGTATTGATAAAAAGGTTTTCATGAACTTTGTTTTTGATATTTACTTTAGACCTTGAAATATTTTTCTTTTGCCAAAATAGCTTCATTTTGATACCTTGTCATTATTTATATGTAGTTATGTATAACAGATTATCAGGCCAGTGCTCAAATTTGATTGGATAAAAAAAATTAAAAATTGCTTTTTAAAATCGGCTCTACATACATTTCAACGAGGGTCGAACAAGGGGGAGGGGGGGTATCTGCACGGAAGAACGTGAAATAAAATTGCCATTTCACAATGAACGAACAATATAAAATTTCTTGCACGTTGATCTTTTTACCGATTTCACGAAACACGATGAATAACGAACCTTTTTCATGGCTGCACATGAAATAAAAATGGCAAAACACGTTGCACTAAAATAACCCTTTACCACCCTCTTCAACTTCATACTTTATTTTGCCTTTTAACCTTTTTTGATTTAAGCATCACTGATGAGTCTTGGATACTGGTGGCGTAAAGGAAATTAAGATTGTTATCTATGATGAGTTTATTTACATGTTCATGATATCACATGTACAGTAACATCAAAACTGACATTTTTTTTACCTCTTTAAAAATTTACAAGATTATATCAATCACATTCATATATCTTGACTACTTACATAACTTTGAAAATGATGGAAGATTTTTACCATCTTCAGACTTTTATAAAGCTCCCCTTGACCTTATATATATTCTTCTCTGGTTGTTTTAAATAGAGTTGTGGTATGATTGCCAATGAGACAACTCTCCACAAGAGACCAAATGATACAGAAATTAACAACTATAGGTCACCATACAGCCTCCAACAATGAGCAAATCCCATATCGCATAGTCAGATATAAAAGGCACCAAATTGTGTTTATTTTTGCTCTTGATATTCCAAATGAATATAAATTCCGAAATATTCATAAAAAGCAGCAAAAACTAGATTTCATTTTGAATTTCATCATTTCAGCAAGCTCTGGATGAAGACGAGAACTTATTACCACTGGGCTACCACCTTGCCAGAATGCCAGTGGACCCACAATCTGGGAAGATGATCCTGTTTGGTGCTATGTTTGGGTGTTTAGACCCTGTCTGTATTATTGCAGCCAGTCTTAGTTTTAAAGATGCTTTCTATATTCCTCTGGTAAATTTATGATGTTATAAGATAATATAAAGGGCAAACTCATATAATAAAGTAGTTTTATTGCCACTCCTTGTTCTGAAATTCTTTGTAAGGTAATAAAACAAAGAAGCTACATTAATGGCAATAAAAGTTCTTAAGTTGAAGAAGATATGAAATGGGTAAAAAGACAAAAAAGATAATGAGTCCACAAGCACTATACAGTAAAATGTAAGATTGAGCAATGTGCTATCTAGAAAGGTCAAATTTTGATGTCTATGTCAATTATTCAAATTAAGGGTTATCTCTACAAGAAATAAAATTTTAAAATAAAACTGCTACAAAAAATTTAAATTGCTTTTTCAAGCACATATATATGTAAAATTTCAACTTTAAACAAGGATTATGCAACTTTGGTGGTTCTGTAATAATCTATTTTTTTGAATTTTGACATGCAGAATACAAAGTATGTTTCAATGCTATTGTCTTTTATATGTTTTAGGGTAAAGAGAAAGAAGCTGATAGAACTAGAGTAAGACTCTCTGAAGGCAGTCAAAGTGATCACATCATGTTAATAAATGCTTTTCAGGTATTTGGAAATTGATGTTTTAAAAATAGTTTTTTTTTTATGGATTTTTAAAAATAGAAAAACAACACAAACTTTAGAAATGATAAGGGTATTGTATCCAGTTCTCACTAAACAATATATGATTCCTTAAATAGCATATCAAGGCATTTAATTGAAATAAATGTTAAATTTAAAGAGAAAAGATTTTTTCAGACTTTTATTTAAAATAAAAGATTTATTTGTGCAAAGCTATTTTTTTTAAATGTAAAATTCTCTTAAGTATTTTTTTTTCTTAAAAAATAAATGAAATAAAGTCTTTAACAAGTAAACCAGTGTCCATATATTGCAGTAAACTATGATGCATGTGTAGACGATGTAGGATTTCAATACTCATTAGCAAGAAAAAGGACACAGGTTCATATATGTTAATGTCAAATATTTCTACTTTTTGTTTAAATGATTAAATATAAGTAGAGTAACTTCCACTAGATTACATGTGTTTTGTTTACTGGTATTCAATTAATTAGAGAACCCCTGCATTTAATTCTGTGTCTTAAAATAGCTATAAAATATATCTTTTACTTGAGGGATGGGAAAGATCCAAAGCAAGAGGAACAGACAGACAATACTGCTACGACAACTTTTTATCTGGGAATACATTAAAAGTAAGTACTTTTCTGGATATATTCTAAGCATGGTCATTACAGGGAATAGCTTTGATGTCAGATATTAATATAAGGATACATAGATAATACATGTATTAAACAGCACACCAACAGTACAATAAAACCCAAAAGGTACTAAATTCTTCTGTGTGATGCAATAGAAAGTGTATTATTGCATGTGGTGTAAGCCCTTATAGACAACTTTCAATTTGAGCGTATTTTGGTATGTTTCCAAGGTCACAATGCTTATGTTTTTACATCACAGTAAGAATCCATTGTTCAATGACATCATTTACTATGGTTTGAAAGCAGTAAGTCTTTCATAAAAAAAAACTTGAAATGGTCTATATTTAATAATTATGTGGTGTTTGGTGGCAAGAGTTGCCCCCGTTCTAGGTCTATGGATTGTTGTCTCATTGGCCATCATACCACATCTCCTTACTTTTATAAAGATGTCAAATTCAGTCTTTAGTTTATCAAAATTGAGATGTGGAATACATGTCAAGGAAACAGCTATCTAAAGATACAATCAAACGAAAAAAACATCTTTTGGTCCTTCATATAATTTTGGTTGTATTAAAAGTTACAAAAATAAGTGAAAAGTTATTTTCTGTCTGATTGTAAAACAGATCCTGGGTTCACACTTCATTATGATACATGGATCTCTCAACTCTCTGTTCTTCTTTCTGTTTTACAGACCTTTCAGGGTCGGCTGGTTTTATCATCATGATACACACATTCAAAATTTTGGAGGCAAAAATCTATAATAAATACCAGAAGAGAAAGTAGAATAGAGTGGTGTCAGATCCTTGTATGCAAAGTATGGACACAAGATTTGTATTTTCTGAATGAGTTATTTTTTCCCCCTTAAATGAGACAAAACCAAAGTAAGTGTTTTAGTGGCCATTTTTGAAATGCAGAAAAACTGTATAATAAGTGTTTTTTGTAAATTTTTTGGCAGTTGCTGGCAGATATGAAAAGACAGTTTGCTGAATTACTACATGATCTTGGTTTTGTTGCCAATAGAGATCCTAGAGATAAGGAAGTCAATATAAATTCAGGTAATGCTTTTGTTCATTGTACTTATCAGATTTTTCCTGTTGTTTTTTTTTTACCATATTATTGGTAGATTTTTTCTTTAGTGTTAGAAAATTAGACACAATATTTTAAAACCTTTATATTAGATCAAAATAAAACTAAAGTGTTCAGTGCTCTACCTATCCTTTTTTTAATGCCTCAAATTGCATACCCTGTAGTTTTAATTAGCAACTTCGATTGAATTGTGAAAAATGCAGGTCTCCCCATATACTCAATGGAAAAAAAAACACAATTCTAACTACTGACCCTATATTTCTTGAGGAGGAAACCCTAAACACATATTCTTTTTTGTTGGCCTTATTCAAATCATTTCATTAGTATAAAGAACAAGTAGGAGTACTACCCTTATTTAGATACCAGAACATTAAAACTTCAAAACTTGGAACTTTGTGGCATTGCAATTGAATCCTACATTGCTGGAAGAAATTCTATGCTACATTCTCCATAATTCATGGTCAAAATCAAAATTGTTAATTTCCTGCATATTTATGATTCTTAAAGTACAAAATTTTTAACTTAAAATTTGAATAATATACACTGTAAGCTACCAATACTGTATAAATAGAGAAAATACTTCGGTTTATTTCAATTAGCATATTTTAGAATGTTATAAGTTATAATTGGTTTTTGAATAGGTAATTTGGCGGTTTAAATTTTAAAGTATCTACAAATTTAACTCATGTATGCATTTCTCTTGGATAAGCACAGTAAAAGATTTAAATTTGAATCAACAAAGATGTTGAAAAAAACTGGTATTTCTTATATTCTTTATGCATTTAAACCAGTTCTTACCCATTTGATAAATTCTGCAAAATCACAGGTTGATTAAAGTTTGGTGCATGTAATTTTCTGCAATATCAATCGTAACATTGCACTTGGCATTTTCAATTAAATCAGTATAGAAACAGATTCCTCCACTTTACCCCAATAGAACAAAAATATTTATTCACTCTCAATAGCTCAGTTTTCAAAAGTTTGAAAGTCAAACTGTCTCCAGAGGATAAATATCTTGATTAATGGAGTGGCATGGTGTAATAAAAGTATTCAAAAAGATGTATTTGTATATTAAAAAGTTTGTAAAGAATACTACCCAAACCAGTGATAGAGGCTGTCTTAAACTTGCAGTGAGGTGAGAGATTTTTTGCTCTGTGTTGAAGGCCTCACTCTGACTTTGAGATGAAGAACAGCATTAAAGGGGCATTGGCTACGAGATATAAGAAAAATTAAAACATGATTTATTTTTGTTCAATCATTAATAAAAGTGAAATAGTGAAATAATAATTCGCTTTTAGAAGTCAATTTGGTTCAATTTTGTCAAAATAAGTTAAGAAACATTGCAGGTGAATTTTGAATAATTCGACCTCATTAAATCCGTATTCATATGACCTGTAATTTAACCCTTTAACTGAAGATGGGTTACACATGTATTCAGCTATTAAAAGGAAAAGAATGTCAACATTGAAAGTGAAACAAGGATGAACCATTTGGTTGACTGATTCGATTAAAGAAATAGCATTCTTATACAGGAAAAAACTATGATAAACATACTTTTTAACTTACAAAATGAAATCAAACAGACCTAGAAAAATCCAATTGTACATGGTTTCTATCTATTTATATTTATACTTATGACTGTCAGCAGTCTTTGGAGGTCATCTCGATGGTTAATTATATGTAGTCTAGACAAAAATACACATAAAATGTTGATACATACATGTATTATTGAGTCCATTCATTGTTAATTGTTTATTTTAGACTTTTTGTAATTTGGATATACGTTTTAGTATGTTATAAATCAAATATGAAAATTTGAGTCAAATCGGTGAAAATGAATTTGACAGCTAATGCCCCTTTGAAAGTGCTGTTCTTTTGCTTTTTTTTTTTTTGCTGTGCATGTACTGTGTCATGGATGGATATCCCATAATCCTTTCTTTTCTAATATATGAACATCTTTTAAAATCAAGTAGTTTTAAAAATTTAAATGATTTTTTCTGTAAATTTTAGAGAATATTGGATTAGTTAAAGCTGTAATATGTGCAGGATTGTATCCAAATGTAGCTAAGTTGACAAATGTTCCACGATCAATGGAAAAGTATGTATGAAAGATTATAATGCTGAAAAGTACAAATTAAATTAATTAACAAACTATGCTTTCCAAAAAGAAACTAAAGTATTCAAATGTTGTATTAGCAAATTAAGAAAAATTCTTTATATAAAGTGCAAACCATGAATATGTTTGGATATGAATGAAATGAGATGTGGAGGAACCACATTATATTGAAATGGATTGATAGTATATGCAATGTCCACAGTGTAGTCTTTTAAATATTTTCAGGACTAGAACATGTAATTTTAATATATATATATGAACCCTGCATTGTATCTGACAATTTTAAACAAGCTATCTTGCAAACTGAGCATCAACAGGCAGAAATTTTCCTATCAAGAACATTTTTCTAACTGTAATACAACCAATCTTTACTTGACTTTTAGAAACTTGCTGTATGCATAGTGGAGAAAACACCAAGTTTAAAGGTAGTGATTTGACCTGGTTGGAGATTGAACCAACAATATTCCACACTTTTCTCACTCTACAATAACCACTAACATGCTATATTTTTATGCCAACTGCCATAGCGGAAGGGGCATTAAGTGTTACCCTTGTCCGTCGTTCTGTCCGTCCCGATAATTGGTTTCCGTTCTCTATCTGTAGTTTGCCTCAACCAAATGTTATAAAACCTATACACAATGCTTATTACCACAAAACACAAACCAAGTTCGAAATTGGGTGGTGTCATTTTTACAGTTCATGAGTAATGCCCAGTTAAAAACATAAAAATTGCTATATTTTTCGTTTCCATTCTCTAACTTTAGTTTGCCTCAACCAAATATTATAAAACTTATACTCAATGCTTATTACCACAAAACACAGATCAAGTTCGAAATCGGGGGGCGTCACTTTTACCATTCTTGAGTTATGCCCATTATATATGAAAAAATTGCTACTTTAGTTTGCCTCAACCGAATGTTATGAAACTTATGCTTATAATCACAAAACAGTCTTAGCTACATGAATCCTGCATCTGTATGTCGAAGTTGACTCATGCATATTTACAAGAGGGGGCATCTGTGGCCCATAGACACATTCTCCATTTATTTTTAATAATAAACAAAAGTTTAATATATATAATGAATTATATACCTTGCTGGCATGTAAATTTTCTAGTTTTTTGTTTTTTTTTTGTAAAAAAAATTATATATATATTTAATTAAATGTAATAATTATTTTTTAACAGATCTCCTAGTTTAGTATTACATGATGGTCAGAAGGTTGCTGCTCATCCAAAATCAGTAAATGCCAATGAAAAAGTCTTCATGTCCAAATGGTTTGTTTATCATACAATCATGAAGACTTCTAAGGTAAATTACTGACACATCTTTGACTTTGATGACGTAAAATCTCCTGCTTGGTTTTGGTTAAGGTTTTCTATAAGATACTTCAACAATCATTGATATATTTTATTTACCCCTTATATATAACTTGACTCACGGTTCCACTGGTGTTGGTCAATTTTGCATTTGGAAAAAAAAAAAAAAACATATATTAGCTTCGATCCATGTAAGCTCCCTTGGGTAAATTTCCACAGTATAATCAGAATTCTTGATCATGAAAGTAATGTTTTAAGTATTATGAATCAGTTGAATTTAGACATATCTTTATTGAATTTGACCATCAACTGTGATTCATAACAACACAGGAACAAGTCTGTTATTAAAGGGGTGCAGTAGATGCCTATAGGAATACCTTTAACATGCCTATAAACTCTTTTGCTCAAACATAGTTACATAGATGTTGTCATGGAGAAAATCCCCAGCTTTAAACATATCATCACAGATCCAGTAAATATATCTACCATACTTACCTTTTTCATTACACAAGAAGGATTTATAACTTTCACAGAATGATTTTTTGTAAATAAGGACAGAAGTTTCTTAAAGATGAAGATATACACAAGATGTAGCAAGGGAAAATATTCGTAATAATTTCGTATAATTACTATGAAATAAGGAATAAGCTGACCCCATAGCATCTGTTTTTACTGATTTTATTTGTTTTTACTGATTTTATTTGTTTTTAAAATTTTTTTTAAATCTTTTAAGTTCAGGTCAATATTTACCTTAACAATATCATGCGATTATTACTATTAAATTTTTTTCTTTTTCCCCCCCTGCATTACTGATAAAATGGACAATTTTGGCAGCCAACATTTCACTTTTTGTACTCTCGCATCAACAACTGCAGGCGAGACACATTGTTTCATTGAACCCTTTACAATTCATTTTGAATTGATTTATGTTGACACATATGGTTGATGAATAGGATGATGTCACATTAATTGTTTAATTTCCTACAACCTTTTTCTCATTAGAATATGATACTCACTGTTTAACATGCTATGAGGACAATTTTGTAACCTGATTTAGTGTGATGTATATTGTTGTATGTAATTCATTTATTTACCCTATTACAGATATGGGTATATGACATGACAGGTATTTCACCATATGCTTTGTTATTTTTTGGAGGAAAAATCAGCACTGAAGAACAATTATGGGTAAGTACACCAAACAATTTTTTTTTAGGAAAAAGGTCCCCTACAAATTGGTATTGTTAAAAGGTTGTTAAGGCTACATATATACAAAGACATATTAGGCATAGAAGTTATAAAAAAAAAGGTTGTTATACACCAAAAATTATTGATTTCTCTCAATAGATGCTTTTTGCAGCAGTAAGGCTATTCCAGAAATAAAGGTTGGGCATGTACAGGGCTAAATCTTGCCAATATTTTTTGCAAAACAAGACCTGTTACAGTGGTTTTAGACAAATAGGAACATTTAAACTACACGTATTAGGTTTCTTGAACCAGGGGTTGAAAATTACCCTAGCTTTCCTGCACCAATGAGGGATCTAAAAAATATCTTTATGTGGTCCAATATTAAAATATATTAAATTTAGATCAGTAGCAAAAGAAAGGTTGAAGTTTAAATCAGGTTTCATAAATTTTACAGTTTTAAAAAGTATAGGGCCTGTCTCTCATCGCTCTGCGGCTTTTGAAGATAAAAAGTTTCAATGGGCAAGGACATATCAGAAAAAAGTTTCAACCTTGCTAAGAACTATGATGACAGTTTCTATTTATTAGGGCCCTGCCGAATGGTAGGTCGCCCTATAGTGATCAGTCCATCCGTCTGCAACAAATTGTGTCTGCTCTTTATCTAGAGAACCATTATAATTTCATACTTTATACTTGACATGTATATTAACCAACACCACAGGGTGTGTCATAATGTTTGTACAACTTCCTAGGTCAAAGATCAAGGTCAAAAACTTTGGTTTCAGAAGACAACCCCATGTCCAATGGTAAAGATCGTGTGCGCTCTATATCTCGAGAACGGTTATGGTTTCAAAGTTTATACTTGACATGTATATTAACCAACACCAGAGGGTGTGTCATAATGTATGTACAACTTTCTAGGTCAAAGGTCAAGTTCAAAAACTTTGGTTTAAGTTGACAACCCCATGTCCCATGGTAAAGATACAAATTTTTTATCACATGCTATTCACAGCAAGGCCCACATAGATGGCTCCCATCTCAATGATGTCTAGTTATTTTGACCACAAAAGTAGCTTTATAAAATTGTATAGAAATACCACTACTTGGGCCTCTTTTACCTAGTAGCAAGTTTTTGTCTGGGAAGGCATTCCTTTTGTTGTGTGAGTTGTATACATATTCATTGCAAGTCTTTATAAGGATTTAAAATCAAACATACATGTCTGGAACGATACAGAACTGAAGCAACAGGTTTCATAAAGGCAGAGATGAAATCCAAATCCCAAATATTCCAAATAATTTATTTTCTCTCCATGATTTTTAACCATTACAGTGATATTTTTATCCACTTTTTACCTTTTTCTGTGACATATTATTTTGAAAGCTGAATTCCAGTGGGGTCAAGGAAGGTTGATTTAAATTATACTTCGTTCACTTAAATATTCATTGATAAACATGTCAATGTTAAATAAGGGAATGTTTGTCTGTGAGACATCTACTTACTAAAGACAAAAGTGATGAAAACATTAAATTTGCATGACTGCATTTCACCATACAGCCTCCAACAATTAGCAAATAGTATACCAGTAGGAAATTTGTAAAAGCTTATATATCATTGAAGAAATACATGTACCATTATGTTCAATAAACAGTTTGTTAAATCATTTCTCAGAGGAAAATACACCTAAATCTGCCATTTTGATGATAGTCTATAAACTCTTTATATATAAATTTGTTTTGTGAAGAACTTAATAATTTAAATGATATATCCTGTTTCATTCTCTAAATACCTCTTCACAACCATGCATGTACATGTAATGGAAATGTAGTTAATTTAAGACAAGAAATATTTCTCTTGGTTTATTACAGAATGATGAAATGAAGGATGTAGTGGTAGTTGACAATTGGGTAAGATTCTGGTGCCCTGCTGAAACAGCTGTGCTTGTGAAGGTAAATGTAATTTCTCACTTAGACCTGTACTCTCAGCCAAATTATTAAGTAAGATTCTGGTGCCCTTCTTAAACAGTCCAGCTAAACAAATTGCAAAAAACTTAATCAGCTTTAGAATATAGACACACATGATAAAGATTGATTGAAAAAATCAAGTTTTCTTTTTTAATGTGTTGGACATATTTTCTACAATGGTTTGTCAATACCAACTTTTAATGGTCTAATTGAAATCCAGATGCTTTCCTTTTGTTTAAAGACCTGTTGGATTCCTCTGGTTTTGTTGTGATAATACACCTTCAAAAATGTGTAGGTGCAATTTTTATTGGCTGCCTTAATTATAGTCATAATTACCAGAACAGAAATTCTTAATAGCAAAATGTTGACACTGGATCTGTGTTGTAATCAGATTGCCACTTTATTTTCTATCAAGCAATCTACCAAGACCAAATAAAAATATTAAATGATTTATTTTTTTCATTGTATTTCAAAATCTAAAATATTGTTCTAAATTACAACTGAAGGGAAATAACTCAAATCCACCTTGAATGTGTCAACAAAAAATCATGTCCTAACAATGCTGAGAATTCTTATTCACTTTAAAGCAGTATTATTTTTTTTTCATTTTATATTAAAAACATAAGGTTATATACTAATTTGCACAGTTTTAAATGTGCAAATTATTTCCCTTCAGATACTAGATGAATAGGGAGTACTTTAAATTTTATTGAGCTTTTAAGTTTAAAACCACTTTTGACTTTAGCAACGTGGCGATTTTCAATTGATGGAGGAAGCTGGAGTACCAAGAGAGACCTGCATGAAAAAAAGGCTACCATAGTCAACTAAGATCTGAGCTTGGTTTGAACTTACAACATCAGTGTCGACAGGCTAGTGATCACTAGATGAACTAATAGACTATTTTGCCACTAAAAACTTAAAACTTGACCTTTTATTAATTCCTGAAAAACTTTTTTTTTTCCAGAAATTAAGGAAGCAGTTGGATAAACTTTTGGAAGAAAAAATAACCAAAACCGGAGTAACTAACTGGGACAAAAGTTCAAAAGAAGGTGTACTAATGCATGCAATAACAGACTTAATTACTATGGAAGAAGAGAATATTTCAAATGGCTGAGAAACCAGTAGGCATGTAATGCAGGACAAGAAATGATGCATGCTGGGAAAAATCTACAATACCTGGTGATGGGTCAAGGAAACTTGTAGTGGATATTCTTAAGAATTTGTGATCTGAAAAATGAATAAATGAAAAAGAGAAATGGTCCCTTTTGTGATTATTTAAACCCATTCTGAGTGCTGTTTATTATTATGTTTTTGCTATAGTTTAGCTTTAAAGTACAATATTCATTTTGCTGTCAAGTTTTAAGTTTTCTTTATTTTGGTTTTAAAGCATCTATAAAAAAAAACCAGGATGCTCAAAGAGAACCACGACATTCGACAGAAAACTGAAAATCCTAGTCAATCAAATTTAGAGTCATATGCAGCTGCCATGTGGGTGGGATTTGAATTCATAACCTAGGTGTTGACAGAATTTTGTTCTTGTTTAAATTTTTGTTTTCAACATAGTTTAGCTATAAAGAGTAAGAGTCTATTGTTCTATTACAACATTTATGCCAATTGATCTTGGGTTATAAAATGCCTACAATGTAGGAATATGATCGGAATAGCACCATCAAATCATGACATTCCCAATCAGCTGACAGACAACATTTTACATTTAACACCGGTTTTCCTGGAAATTGTTTCCTGTAATTTCATCATGTGTACGAAAATATATTCACTAAACTAGCTATTGGAAGAAATAGATTAACAGATTTGAAGTTAGGTATGGTAAAAAATAGCCATGACTGTTGATGAAATTAGAAACATTTGTGACATGGATTTTTTTCCTGTTGTCATGGTGTACGTGTTCACAAATGTTTGCTCTTCCTAACAGGAGTTGCTCTGGAAACATTGTTATAAATAATGGAAAAATATCTGTTCCTGTTGGAGAGTAATTTTTCTCCATTAATTTATTAGTCAGTTATGCACAATATATATCTCCATTGTTGTTAGTAATTTATTGTGTAGTGATATATCCAATGTACAAATCAAAAGAAATGAGTAAAACTGTATTTTATTGGATAAGATTTATTCCAAACTTCAAAACAATGAGTTAACATATATATTCGTAGCTTATAGATAAGTAAAACCATTAATACAAAGTTAAACAAAAACAAAATATTATACAAAGGACATGAGACTTCCACTTCTTGTGTCATTCTACTTGAGACATATTTATAAAACTAGTAAATAGTTATCAAAGGTACCAGGCTTATAATTATTATACGCCGACGCTCGTTTCGTCTACATAAGACTCATCAGTGACGCTCAGATTAAAATAGTTGAAAAGCCAAACAAGTATAAAGTTGAAGAGCACTGAGACCAGCTCACAAATAAATACCCTTGCTCCCCAATTTGTAGCCATTTTGCTTTTCACTCCAAAAAATCATTTTGATAAAAAAAATAATACACAGCAGTTCTAGCTAGGATTTAAGGACAGAAGGGCACTTTTTAAACATGTATTGTAAGTAAGTGCACTTTCGTGTCTGAATATGGACAACTTTATGTTTATTTCTTAAAAAATATTAAATATAATAAGTTGTTATTTTGCTGGATTAATAATATTTATTGGTTGAAAAAAGTCTTTTTTAGTAGTTACAATAATGTCGGCAATGAAAAGAAGCAGATGTAAGCTGGCAGACTGATACATGTACTATTCTACAAAATCAGTGAGTGGGAATATAAAACTGAAGAAAATAGTGATATTTTGTGGTGTACAATTAAACATTAAGGTACTGAAGATTGTGTTCTGATTTTACAGATGTTTTAAGAATTGTTTGAGTATGTCAAATAATGAAAAAAATATTATTTGCATATCCTGATACCACAGTTCACTTGAGACAGATAAATGATTAAATTATGACCGGTTCCTATGTACTGGAAATTATTTTTCTAAAGTCATCATGTTTGAATTAACAAATTATACTGATATATTGTATCATACAATGGCATTTGTGTATTTATATATATATATATACAAATTTTACTGCAACATACAAATATTTGAAAATAAAAAATAAATAGGCATTGATCAAGTTATTAAATATTTATTGGTACAAACTTAAACTTATATGTTCATGATATTATAGATTAGAGGAATTTACTAATGTAATGAATCTTTGGTTTTAAAGTTTTTGAAACAACATTTAATAAACTGTTAACACAGAGATATGTCTCGCCTTTTTGTAATTTCGATAATGCAAATGTTGAAATTAAAATAGCAACACTTTAACATATAAGTTTTGCAAATATTCAAAGTCAGTGAACCATGACTGAAGGTACATGGCTAAACAATCTCCATGGAAATGAGATGTGCCAATGCTAATACAACTGCATACCAAATACCATTGACTTATCATAAGTAGTTCCCTTTAAACAAACCTAAACACAAACTAATACATGTAAACTAAACAAAATTTCAAAGTCAATAGACCTTAACTGAGGAGGAGGGGCCAAATTATCTCCATGGTAATGAGATGTGCCAATGCTTATACAACTGCATACCAAATATCATTGACCTACCAGTAGTGGTTCCCCATAAACTGACCTAATCACAAACTAATACATGAAAACTAAGCAAAAGTTTCTGAGTCAATAGACCATGACTGAGGGCGCCGGGCCAAATAATATCCATAGAAATGAGATATGCCAACACTTATACAACTGCATACTAATTATCATTAACTTACCACTAGTGGTTCCCCATAAACTGACCTAATCACAAACTAATACATGTAAACTAAGGAAAGTTTCAAAGTCAATAGACCATAACTGAGGGGGCGGGGCCAAATAATCGCCATTGTAATGAGATGTGTAAATGCTAATACAACTGCATACCAAATATCATTGACCTACCACTAGTAGTTCACCATAAACTAGACCTAATCACAAACTAATACATTGTTGACGCCGCTGACGCCAGAAAAAGCATACCTATGTCTCGCTTTTTGACTCCATCAAGGCGAGACAAAAATGTATACCATGTACATCAGTATTCTTATAACTTAGTCTAAATGATGTAACTATCATAACTAACAGCTTTATATGGATATGTTTAATTACACTTTCTACGGTTTCTTCTCGATTATATTATCATAAAGACATTTTAACAGATAAATAATTCAACATTTCATATTTACATTTATAAAATTGACATAATCTACTGTATACTCTTGAAATAATTCATTTTAAAAAACTGAAAACAACACGTTTAATAATCTCATGCGTCCGAAGCGCTTTTCTGGATTTACCTTCATCAGGAACGCTCAAAGCCAAACATTTGAAATCTCAGGGAAGTATAAGTACCGAAACAGTTGAAGAGCTATATGACAAAAATACCTAAAACAAATAGCCAAATCCTCAGGTTTGATTTCAGATTTGTATAGTAAGATTTACTATACAAATCTGAAATCAAACCAGAGGAAAACGTTATTAAAACGTAAATATTCTACATCATTTTATTTTGTGTATTGCCTCATTAAACGATATTTATCATGTTTATGCATGACTGAAGATTAAGGGTAATTAAAGACAATGTTGAGTTTTCAACAGGTATTCACTATTTACAATGCTTGTATATTCTGACGCATGTAATTGTATAGTCTGACGCGTGTACAAAGCTAAGGTGATAATTGGATGTTATTGTAGCAATTAAAACAAAGGACACGCGTATCGCTTTTCTCATTTGATTTTTTTTTTCTAAACATATTTTTTTTTCAAAAAGGACAAATGGATTAGACACAATTTTTTTAACTTAGTAAGGTCTTCTCACTTGATGTTTCACATTGTGTGTATTGTTATCTTCAATCTTTTATTCGGAGATTTGTATTTTGGTGATTTTACTTTTTCATACAATGACTTTGTTTAAAACAGTACATACATTATCTTAAACATATTTCGTTATATTTAATAGAACTAGACAATCCCTTTCTTCTTTACAAATGTTTAATTTCTTCATCTATCAATATAATAAAAATAATGAAAATCACGTTATTACTGCCCGTATATATAAAAAAAAATGTCAATGCATATTTTTTTAATATATTTATTTGGAATAAGTTAGTTTAATAAGAATTATTTAAAGTTTTCTTGTCGCTAAATAGTCTTCTTGTCGCTTCTTGTCGCTTCTTGACGCTTCTTGTCGCTAATTAGTGAGATCCCTTTTTTCCAGTTTAATCTTTTTTGGGGGAAATCTTTTCATAGTTACTTTTCTTTTCTTAGTTGGACTCTATTAGCGATGAACTCACATAACAGCTGAATTCTTATTATTACAAGCAACACCAAAATAAACCACCAATTAAATGTATTACATGTAGCAGATTTAAATCAAGAAAATATTTAGACAAAATCATTCTCACTCGTGACCAGTATTAGCAAGCTACATAAATTACTGATATAGTTTATTGTTATTTACAAGATAAAGCATATTCATAACAAATTATCCAGCACAGCAATGTTGCTAAATTCAGAATTAAGAAAATAAGCCACACACTGATTAACATTGAATTAAATGTATATATATATATATGTATGTAAAGATATTGAAGCAGATTCAATTACAGTTATGATAATCCTCAATGTCAAAAAACGCCTTTAAAGAAGCTGATAATGTAACAAAAATAACATAGAGACAAGACAAAATTGGCTTATAATTGTAAAAATTTCTAAAAATAACACACAAAATAAAAAAGCTGAAAACAAAGGAAAAAGGGAAGCACTGAAAATAGTCGACGTGGAGCTACATATTTATATATATAACCCTGAAATCTTGCTCATTAATGGATAGTTAAAATTCAGATACTGTATAAAGCTATAGATAATAAGGCACTAACATTTTTGTCAAACGTTTATGGCACTTTTAAATTATGAAATTATACCAGAAGACTTTGTCGTTAATAGTATTTTAGATAAATATTGCTGAAATCGTAAAACAGTTCATCATTTCAATATTGGTATAATATTTGTTTCGGTTGAAATTTATTGGTAATAACTGGTTCACATTTCAGTTTTCTTTTAATAAATGAGATTTCCTACTAAGAAGATTGACCTCAAAATATTCAATTGGAAAAATCTACTTAGAGTGATACAGAAGCTATATGAAAAAATAAATGTTGATGAAATCTTAACTGACAACTAACGCTATATTGTAGGTTGAAATGTG